AAAGGAATGAGAAATTGTTTAAAAAATGGTAGGAGAATATGGTGGGAAATTGGAATGACTTTCTTGGATCCTGCGAGAGACATTTGTCACTACTAAACATAACAATACTTGCCAATTTGTTAGACACAAAGATAAAGGAAACCAAGGAATGATGAAAAGTAGAAGCAAAAGAAAAGGAAAAAGAAATCCCAATAAAACCAAAAGTATAGGTGAATATCAGACAAAGGTAGAATACTACTGAGCTGAGAGAGAGAGAGAGAGAGAGAGAGCAACAGCCATTGAGAACCAAGATTATTAGCTTACATTGGTACTTTGTAGCAGTAGAAGTAGAACTAAAGAATAAGGAAGGAGAAGAAGTAGTTTTGCTTCTCTCTCTCTCTCTCTCATTCGAGTTTCAATCTTATTATTAGCCCACCAAGAAAACCCACTGAAGCAATCATCATCATGATGAAACACCCTCTGCACCCAGCAGCACTCCTGAAAAGCATTTCTCTCTGCCATCAAAACCTTTCTTCCCTTAAATTTACCAACACTCTCCCAGTCTCACCCAGCACACCCACACCCCCAAAACCATGAAAAAACTTTCTTCTTCTTCTCTCTCTCTCTTTCCCTTCATCACATTCTTCTTCTTCTTCTTCTTTCTCCAAACCTCCACAGTCCTCTGTTCTCCTCCACCTCAGTCTTTCCAACTCAGTGCTCTGATTTCCCTCAAATCCTCCCTCAAAGACCCTCTCTCCACCTTCCATGACTGGGTGGTTCCCAGTACTTCCCACCCAAACGACCCCGTTTGGTGTTCATGGTCTGGCGTCAAATGCCACCCCAACACCTCCCAAATCGTCACCCTTGACCTCTCTCAACGCAACCTCTCCGGCCTAATCCCACCACAAATTCGCTACTTGTCTTCCCTAATTCACCTCAATTTCAGCAGAAACAAGTTCAGCGGGCCTCTGCAACCCGCCATTTTCCAACTCAGCAACCTCAGAATCCTCGACATAAGCCACAACGACTTCAACTCAACTTTCCCACCTGGGATTTCAACGCTCACCTTCTTGAGAATCTTCACTGCTTACAGCAACAGCTTCACCGGCCCCTTGCCCCAAGAGTTCATCAAACTTCGATTCTTGGAGCAGCTCAACCTCGGCGGAAGCTATTTCGACGGCGAAATCCCAGAAGGCTATGGAACTTTCCCGAGACTTCAGTTCCTCTACCTCGCCGGAAATGTTCTTAAGGGCCCAATTCCACCGCAACTGGGCCTTCTGTCGGAGCTGACCCGAATGGAGATCGGGTACAATCAGCTTTCAGGTGAAGTTCCTGTAGAATTGGTTCTGTTGTCGAATCTCACGTACTTGGACATCTCCAATAACTTTCTCTCCGGATCGCTCCCGCCGGAGCTCGGCAACTTAACCAGGCTCGACACATTGTTACTCTTCAAGAATCGATTTTCAGGCGCAATCCCGCAAAGTCTCGGGCTTTTACAAAGTCTCAAGTCGCTCGATTTGTCCGATAATCAGCTCACCGGCTCAATCCCACCAGGAATTGCTACGTTGAAGGAGCTTACAATGATAAGTTTAATGGACAACCTTCTGGTTGGTGAAATCCCAGACAAAATCGGAGAGCTACCCAACTTGGAACACTTGCTTCTTTGGAACAATTCACTGACAGGCGTCCTTCCCCAGAGCTTAGGCTTCAGTGAGAAGCTTGTGAGGGTCGATGTCTCGTCCAACTCTCTCACCGGTCCAATCCCTCCAAATCTCTGCAGAGGCAACAAGCTCGTCAAACTCCTACTCTTCTCAAACAGTTTCATCAACCCCCTCCCAAACACCTTAACCAACTGCACTTCCCTGTTACGCTTCCGAATCCAAAACAATCAAATCAACGGGTCGATTCCGACGGGTTTTGGGTTCTTGCCCAATTTGACTTATGTTGACCTCAGCAGCAACAACTTCACCGGTACCATCCCTGAAGATCTCGGCAATGCTGAAAACCTCGCGTATTTGAACATTTCCCAGAATCCACTTCACACAGTCCTTCCATCAAACATATGGAAAGCAAAAAACCTCCAGATCTTCTCCGCCAGCTCGAGCAAGCTCACAGGTAAAATCCCAGACTTCATTGGCTGCAGAAACTTCTACAGGATCGAGCTTCAACGTAACGATTTTAACGGCACAATTCCCTGGGACATTGGCCACTGCGAGAAGCTTCTCTACTTGAACCTGAGCCGTAATTCGCTGACCGGTATTATACCATGGGAAATCTCCGCTTTGCCCTCCATCACCGACCTCGATCTCTCGCATAATTTTCTCTCCGGTACGATCCCTTCCAACTTTGAGAACTGCAGTACGTTGGAGACTTTCAACGTTTCGTTTAATTTGTTAACCGGTCCGATACCCGCGTCCGGTTCGATTTTCCCGAATCTCCACCCGACGTCGTTTACGGGGAATGAGGGCCTATGCGGCGGCGTTTTGGCGAAGCCTTGTGCGGCTGACACGTTGTCGGCTGGAGCCGTGGAGGTTCGCGGTCACGAGCAGCCGAAGAAGACGGCTGGCGCGATAGTTTGGATCATGGCGGCCGCGTTTGGTATCGGGCTTTTTGTTCTCGTCGCTGGTACCCGCTGCTTTCACGCGAACTACAGCCGTCAGATGGACGAGAGTCAGCAGATCGGACCGTGGAAACTGACTGCTTTCCAGCGGTTGAATTTTACCGCGGATGATGTGCTGGAATGTTTGGAGATGAGCGATAAGATTATAGGGATGGGATCCACTGGGACGGTGTATAGAGCGGAGATGCCAGGTGGCGAGATCATAGCGGTGAAGAAGCTGTGGGGGAAGCAGAAGGAGAACAGCAGCATCCTGATCAGACGGAGGAGAGGGGTGTTGGCGGAGGTGGAGGTGTTGGGGAACGTGAGGCACAGGAACATAGTGAGATTGTTAGGGTGCTGCTGCAACAGGGACTGCACCATGCTGCTCTACGAGTACATGCCTAATGGGAACTTGGACGATTTGTTGCATGGCAAAAACAAGGCGCAAAATTTGGTGGCGGATTGGGTTACGAGGTACAAGATAGCGCTGGGTGTGGCTCAGGGGATTTGTTATCTTCACCACGACTGCGACCCGGTGATCGTGCACCGCGATCTAAAGCCGAGCAATATTTTGTTGGACGGTGAAATGGAGGCCAGAGTGGCGGATTTTGGGGTGGCCAAGCTGATCCAGAGCGATGAGTCCATGTCCGTCATCGCCGGCTCCTATGGCTACATTGCGCCAGGTGCGTTTATTGTTCATTATTTATTTATTTAATAATTTGTTGGATTAGATTGTGGTATGTTGCTATTGTGTGCGGGGGGAAGGGGTTGACCTGTGGCGTACGTTAGTGAGGTAGTACTTGTTTTTGTTCGTTATTAGGTTTTGGATTTGTTTGGTTAAAGTTCATCTTGTAGGGTGACGAAATCTGAATTATCTAACGTGTTAGGTGGATGAGGCAGGGAATTAACACATAAATCTTCTTCTTTATATCTATATCTAAAAAGCACCGGTCACTTACCAAATTCCAAATTGTAATTAATACACAATCCAAATGGCAATATTGGTCGGTCGGTCGGTCCAATCTCCAATTGGTCAAAAGCGTAACATTTTTTGTTCTCTTTCGGTCCCCTGTACATATATATATATATATATATATATAAATTACTATTACTTCCATTACAATACGAAGCAAAAAGTTAAAATAAAATTAAAAAAAAAGTAAAAAAGATAAGGGAGAGGTTTGACATAGATGTCCGCAAATCACTTTTGGGCCATGCAATTTCCATTTCAAATGTGGTTAATTAAATTAACATTGTTGTGTTTTGCTTTTGCAGAATATGCTTATACCCTACAAGTGGATGAAAAGAGTGATATATACAGCTATGGGGTGGTTTTGATGGAGATTTTAAGCGGCAAGAGATCAGTGGACGCAGAGTTTGGAGATGGAAACAGCATTGTGGATTGGGTTAGGTCCAAGATCAAGACCAAAGACGGGATCAATGACGTGCTCGACAAGAATGCCGGGGCGGGTTGTGCGCCCGTGAGGGAGGAGATGATGCAAATGCTCAGAATTGCGCTGCTTTGCACCAGCAGGAACCCGGCGGACCGGCCGTCGATGAGGGACGTGGTATTGATGCTGCTTGAAGCCAAGCCCAAGAGGAAGTTGCTGGCTAGTGTTGGTGGCCGTGATCATAATGGGGTTGGTGGGGGTGGAGCTGATGATATTCCTTTGCCACAAAAGCCATCGGCTGAATGTTAATAGGATTCACTTTTAAGCCTTGAGGGGTTTTAATTTCTTCTCTCTCTTTTTTTTTTTCGGGTTTTTTTCTTTTTCTTTTTGTTAATTTTCAAATGGTGGGGGGATTGGTATAGGAGAAGCATTTTCTTGTTTTACTTTATTTCAATGGAATTTTCTCAAAGTGTTACGTACTGTTTTGCTCTTATGGTTTTTGTTGTTGACGTACGTGTATAAATATAAGTGAGTATTTCCATGGTGGTAGAGTTTAAAGAAGAACTAAGCATGAAAAAATCACAAGTTTTAATTAGTATGTTAGATATAGTTAAAGTAGCAATTAAGTAAATGAGTTGGACAAAATGCTCGAAACAATTGTGAATTCAGATTGCATGTGAAACAGTTGTAGCCGTTAGATAAACGAGTTTGGATTCAATGAGCAGATGAACCAATCATCAAGAGCTTGCACATGTCCTCTGAACCTCGCTAAGACACAACTAAACAATAATGTATGAAGGTAAAAGAAAATTATGCCGCGAAGAAGTTTACATTGGATTTGGAGTAAGCGAAGATGGCATTGTGTGATTTCTGTAACCTACGTTCTTTTACATGGATCAAATTTCATATGATTGTTTTGGGCCCTAATTAAGAATGTTCTAAAATAGATCCAAGACTAGATATCACATACATTAACCACGTTAATATTAGTATTGTTTATTTGGATTTTATATGTCGATGGTATGTTGGCCTCAGCTCCATGACTCTCTAGTTGGATGAGATGTGCTCTTACACTTGCCTCCTCCTCCTGTTCAGAAAAATAAGATCAATTTGAAAATTTTCAAAACATTATTCAACTGTCCAAAAGTGTAGTTAATTTTTACACGAGTGATATTCTATTCTAAACTATGAGAATGGGGATTTGAACTTGGGTACAGAGTGGGGCGCATATCTGCTCGAGCCAACTTGATTAAGTCCATGTTTGCCTAGAAGAAATTTTTTAAAATATCACTTGAGATTTTAATTCAAAACTCTAAATGGGCCTTGGTCTAGCCCATTCAAAATTAAGTACCATTGTTTTACTCTCTAACCCAATAGAATAAGCAAGCAAGCATTAGACTTGGGCTTTCCTCTGTTTTGATAAATGTTTCAATTCGGGCTTTCTTGTGACGTAAACATTTTACCAAGAAACAAACACAATTTTGTCTTCGATCGACAAATTCAACCCCTTAACTAACTATTTATGTAAAGTTTATAAAATAAAATAAAAATAGCCCCTTGTGAAACCCTTTAATCATATTTTAATTTTCTACAATAACATATATTTGTTTTCTCTGGAAAAATGGCATGAGCTTGACGGCAATAAATTATGACTCACCACAAGTGCAGCAACCATAGTTATGTTCTCCTCCAAGTCTCTCTGTTGTTTCTGCGCAATTAGGAGCTCCGTCACCAGGTAAAGTACCTTTTCTGAGCTAATCAAACCAATTTATTAAAATTTTATTAATCAACTGTTAATTACTCCTTTAATAAAATAAGTTTTTTTTTTTTTTTTTTTTTTTTTTTTTTTTTTTTTTTTTTTTCGTGCGTCTGCGACAGTAAAAATTGAGAGCTCTAATTAACCTGCGGGAGCAACTTAGTGACCATTGCTTCAAGCCCTTCCATGACAAGCATGGCCGTGGTCATGGCTTCGTATACAGACGCCACGTCAGCCTGGGATCCACCAGAGGAAAATGAATTAGTACTTTGTGGAATTAAGCTACCCTTTTTTATATATGAAACAAAAATATGTGACGAATTGTATGTACCTTAGCATCATGGACCAAAGGGATGGTGTTTGAAATTCCAGACAATTTTCTGACCAACCTGCTCACAGATTCTTGATTTTTTCTATCCAATTTTCCCCATTCATTCAGTAGGAAAATTTGTGGGTTCAGAATCTGGTACCCCTTTATCTCATGCTTAAGCTTTTGCATTTGCATTCGCTTCTCTAGGATGAAGTTTCTCACTTTCAATGTTCTAAGCCACACGCTAAATATTTTAGCCTGAAAACAATAAGACACAATTCATATACAAAACACACGTAATTAACTCACTAATTTGCATAATTTGGTATATAAATACCTGTGAAACTCTCTTTGCGACGAGCAGGGAAGCCTCAGCTCTGGCGTTAGCAAATCTCCACTGAAGCAGCCTATTATGCAGAAGACGAAACCGGTGGAAGTCCTCCTCTTGTATAGGTGACACTTTCTTCTGCAGCCTAAAATACTTCAAAACCCCACTCACACCACTGCCGCTGCCGCCGCCACCACAAGATTTAACCCTCGCTGCTTTTGTTGAAACAGCTGGTGACTCCGGTGCCACCTTGCACGGCGAATATCGTCCCGGAGATAATGCCCATGCGGACGGAGACCGTGGAGGTGGCACCGACAATATTCTAGGGCGGGGACTAGGACTAGTACTCCCACGGGGCAACAACTTACCAAAACTACTAGTAGTTACATTTAAATTAGTACCTTGTTGTCTAATAGCATTTTCTTGACCCTTGTTTTGCGTTAGAACTAAAACTCTCTCTTCCGGGTGATTCTTACTGGTGGTTCGTGATTTGGTGGTGGATTTTGAGCGGGGGGTGGTGAATCTTTGGCTCTTGTTTGGTGGCAAGGCTATGGTCGGAATAATTGTTCCACTTCTGCTTCGTAGAAGGCGAGGACTAGATTGCTGCTGCTGCCTGCGTGTGAATGTGTTTTCCATACTTGTGGGCTTGAGCTCAATTAATTTGTTGGAGATAATGGCTTAATTTATATATGTAAGGGGCATGCATGTATAATATATGAGGTGTTTTGTTTGATGATAATTAATTAATATTAAGAAAGCATAGACGTCGAGGGAAGTCGATAGCACGTTGGGATTGTGGAGCATGACGAAAACTAGGGTTGAATTCATCATGTCAGTCAGTATGTGTAATGTATGTACTCACCACCAACCCAACAACTAGTTTCTCTCTTTGTCAACGCCCCCCACGAAGTATAAAACAAAAAACTATGTATATGAATCCAACTTCTTATCAATCTTGAATTTCTAATTACAATTTACAATTCATTACGTAGTTATTAATTTAATGATACTTATCTTTTTAATGTTGGAAGATAGAGATTTAGAGTTTCAATCCTATATGTGCCATTAATTAATAAAGATTACAATTTGCAAGGGGGGTATGATCAGGATCCTCTGCTTGGATTTTATATTCCATGATCTATTTGAGTTTTCTTCTCTGCACGCCACCTCATTAAAATTTTACTTAAAGGACTCTATTAATGTTGACACATCACACACAAAACCTAAATGCCTCACAATTTTTGTTTTGAAAAAAAAATTACCAAACATAACGTGAGTGTTAGTGTGCAGTCGTTTTCTCTTCTTCTCTTTTTTCCTTTTCAATTTCTCTTTCTTCCAAAGACACATTATCTTTTTCATGCCTCCATCTTAGTCCTCTTCTACTCATAGAAACAAACACAAGTCCAATGACTACAATTGCTTTTCACAAAATAAGAACCACAACACAAATATTCTCACCGAATGGGCTACCACCAAAGAAAGATGAGTTAAATGAGTCGTACGTGGCCACCATAGCCATATCAATCATGATTTTAGACTTAACCTGTATCAAAATTGAACTGAATCAGAATATAAACCTACACTTCTTTCTCCCCCAAAAAAAAAACATAACTCAAATCACAAAATCAAGAAATTCTGTGTAGAAAATTAAAATAATGGATCTATACATAAGTAAAGATTGCTCTAGGAAGGCCATTCGTTTTCCAGGAAAAAATAGATGCAGCCAATTGTGCTCACTATTTGTTATTTTGGTTTAGATGTTTTGATTCATGTTTTATAATTGAGATATGGGGTTTAGGATATGAAAGTAGTACCATAGTTGCATTATGAAATTTTGAGCATTAGCAAGAACTGAATTTCATAAGGGAAAAGCAGAGATTGTGAGGTTGGAATAGAGGATTTGGGAGAAGAGAGAGCGTGCTGGGATGCTGCAAAAAGAAAGAACAAGAAGAAGACCACGTTAACTCAAGTTAGTTCAATTGGGGATTTTTTTTTTTTCTAAAATAAAAATTGTGAGCTATTTGGGTTTTGTGTGTGATGTGTCAACATTAGAGTCCTTTAGATGAAATTTAATGAGGTGGAGAGCAAAGAAGAAAAGTCAAGCATATCATAGCAAAGAAAATCCAAACAGAGAATCCGGATCCTTGCCAATCAGCACCATTGCTGCATCTCGCTATTATATATGCATGCAATTAAGGGAATAAATCCACAGAGAGTTAATCTCGTAATAAAGTCTTTCCAGTTAACCTACAAATGTACAACTTAACTGCAGCATGCAGTATGCAGTAATGCAAATGTACCAATTTACAAGAAGTTGAATAGGTTTTCATTCTACAATATTAAGTTTTAACTCATCTAATAGGCGTCAGGTAAAAAATAAAAGTCCCCAATATTAAGTTTTAACTCATCTATTAACCTTGATTAGTAAATTTAAAATACAATTAGAAGTTAATTGGATGTAGCTAAACTCCTCTCTCTCTCTGTGGTTTGGTGCACTGAACATGTTGACTAGAGAGAATATTAAAATAGCCTGAAACATCCAATTCAGCAGAGCTTCTGTCTGTCAAGACTCAAGTTTCAACTAACCTCAGCAGCAGCAAACAGACCTCTCGTGATTTGGTTTGCCTTGCATTATCATATTTCCAAAGAAACCCATTGTTACTAAGAAAACATAAACATGCATGAAGTTATAAATAAATAAATAAAACTAAAATAAGCTTAGGTCAATATTTCATTTTTGACCCTTTGCTTCCTTGAATAGAAATGTTAATGACATTTCGCCTCCATCAACGTTTCTATTGTGAAATTAAACTTATTTATTACGATATCTGATATGACACTTCAATTTTGGTTATTATTAACTTGACTTTCTTGCAAAATTGATAATTAATGGCTACTAGGACACCTCTCTACTCTTATCTTCAATTTTGGATCTCCGTATTGATAAGTTTTTCAAAAAAAATAAAAAAATAAAAAAATAAATTTTGGATCCGCTATAAACACTCACAAAATACAAAATACAAATATAATACTATAAAATTTAAAATGAAAAATGAAAAATTAAGGGCCCATTTGATAACCATTTCAATTTTAACTTTTTAGTTTTCAATTTTCATTTTTTGTGCTAGAGTATAGAGGAAAATGAGATTGAGAGAGAGAGGATGAGATTGTGCTAAAATTAACTAACCCCTACAAATTTATATATATACACATGAAATTGTTCAAGTGTGTCGACGTCTACACCATGAGAGAGAGAGACCAACAATATTTATTGCCGGTTGACAAGCTTCCAAATAATATCCGTGTGTTAGGTTAGTTGATAAAAATAGTGTATACGTCCGCTTCCACTTGAGTTGAATCACCTCCTACATATAGTTTAGCAATTGTTGAAAACGAATTTAACTTAGCAATTGAAGTAAAAGTACGCTATTGGCACCCTCCAATTCTACTCTATCCATCCACTCTCTTGTAATTTTTAATCCATAAGCGCCATGGATTTTAAGTTAAAGTTGTGTGTTAAAATGGTAGTGGACTTGAATAATGAAGCGTTTTGGTAATATTAACTGGACAACCAATAAAACCCTAAGCATCAACAATATTAGCGACAAAACACGATTTTAAGACAAAAAGAAGGTGCGATCCGATCCCGAAGGAACTAAAACTCACCAGTTTGATTATATTAGAAGAAAAAAAACAATATTAATCGTAAAAATAGCCAATTTTTCGAATTAAACGACTAGATAAATGCAGATTTTGGTTAAAATAAATGGGTTGATCCAAATTATGAATTCAGCCAAAATCAATCAAGCAGATATGCACTTATCCCCAGAAGTTTAAAATCTAGTATCATGAGTTTAATTTGAAAGATTTTCTCTTTATTTCTTGGAAAACAGTTTTTTTCTTTTTCTTCTTCTTGGAAAAGAGTTTTGAAAGGATTGAATTTGAGGGAGGAAGAGTCCACTTAGGAAAACATGTGGGCTATGTATGGGTAGGTAACAGGTTGGAGGTCTTGGCTTGGCTGAAGACTATATTGGCATCACATACTAATTGCAAAAATGGTATTATGTGACTGGTTATGTCATGCTTGACTACGCATGGCTTCACCACACAGAGTTACGGCTGCTGCTATAGTAGAGAGAAACCAGAAGATAAGAAGGAAGAGAGCTGGCTGCTCTGCGGGGCTCTCTCTCTTGACTTCTTCACCAACTGTGCAAACTATAAAGGAGGAGATGACAGGCAGAAGCTAATCTTTATATCCGAACAAAAGAAAAAGACACAAAATACAAAAAAACTTGGTGAACTTTCTCTCTCCAAACCTGTATTTTGTCCTTGTATATTTCACTTTCTTTTCTTGTCAGGAATATGAGGAAAACAGTTTTGATTAGCTAAAAACCACTGGATGGATGCAGGGAGCAAAAACAAGGGCAGCTTCATTGTAACTCATTAATTTATACATGACAGTGCAAACAAAGCAAATTAACCTTTTAAAGAAGATTAATTGAAGGTGAAGCAGAAAAGTTTCTGCCTTATCCCCACTACCTAATCAGGCAGGGAAGAGGTCTGAGAAGGAAATTGTAAAGTCATGGGGTGAGATAATCCATTTCATGCAGCAGTACCAAGCAAAAAAATAATATAAATTAAGCAAAAAGAAAAAACCTATTAAAATCTCCAACAGAAAATTCACTGTATACCATTCTCAGATGGGAAATGAGAAATTTCTAGTTCATCTGTATCTACAAAAAAAAAACATGTTTGAAATGAAAACTTTTACCCCTAATTTCTAGTTCATCAATCAGAAACTGTTGAAAACTCAAGCTGGCTAAGCTCTCCATCTTCCTCCTCTGGTGCTGGGAGATTGAGATCTATCACCAAATTGTCTACAAAATTAGTAGAAGATGATGACACATTCCTAGCATTGTGAGTCAAATTGTTGTAATAGTGAACTTTCTTGTGCCCACCAAGTGCTTGACCAGAATCAAACTGTTTGAAACAAAATGAACACTCAAATGTTCTCTGCTGATCAACAACCAAATTACCACTATTGCCATTGTTACCAATGACATCATCATCATCTTCTTCTTCTTCTTCAAAATCATCATCATCATCATCTTCAACATCAAACACTTGGGTCTTGATTATTTTCTTGTGACTTGCTCTGTGGCCCCCAAGTGCCTGATAAGATCGAAACGCCTTGTTACAAGTCTCACACTTGTACTTCCCCTGAGTCAGGGCTCCGGTTTGAGCCCGAAAGGCCGACTCGTCCTCGTCCTCATCCTCATCCTCATCCTCATCTACAGATTCATCTACTTCTTTTTTAAGTTTAGCTTTTTCCCATTTTCCCCATTTATCCATTGAAAGCATTATGAGACACCTGGCAACATCTTCAGTTGAAAAAGCATCAGAAACAGAACTCACCTGCTCTGCCTCAAGGGCCGCCTCAGCCGCTTTCCCAATCACTTTACGGCGCCGTTTGGATCTTCTCCGAGTTGGGTTCCTCGGGTGTGACTCGGTGTCGCTATCGCCGTCATGGATGGCTGAATCCAGAGATGGAGAAGAATGCATGGCCCTGTTTGTTGATGAAAGTGGAGGAGATGACTCGGGCGAGTTGCTGAGTTGTTGTTGTTTTTGCTGCTGCTGCGGCGACTGCGGCTTTGCAGGGAGAGGAAGCTTGGCCAGATGAGATCTCATGTGACCTCCCATGGCTTTGCCATTGGCGAATCTCTTGTTGCAGATCTTGCAGATTCTATGCTTTTCCATGGAGGAGGATGAAGAAGATCTCTATTTTTACTCTGTTTTCTCTTCTTCCTCTCTTGGTGTTTGGTTTTTGTGAAGAAGAGAAAGAGAGAGTACGAAACTTAATAGGTCACCAGAAATGAGTAGGTGACAAGCATTTCTATCGCAAAAAGAACAAAACCAGAAAGGTCAGAGTGGATATGGGAAATTTTAAGGTGTCCTTCGGAGGCTGTGGCCAAATGGTGCATGATATATAGCTTTATATTTTCATATGATGCCATTATGATCATATCTGACTAATAAAGTATCAAATTCAAATGTACTCTAAAATAAATAACAATAAAAATTAAGTTTTTTTATATAAAATTTTATTCTTATTTTTAAAATCATACTAATTTGCCACAAAATCCCTTCTCCAAATTCTCTCCATTATTACTAGTTCAAGTCAATCAATAAATTAACCCTAAATATGAGTTTAGCTGACTGGTCACCACTCATAATTAAAATCAAAACAACATTCCCAAATAGGAGGATATACTTTATGGATTCATAACTCCACATCTTTTGTACTTAATACGTGGACATCTCTTAGTGCATCCAAGTTTTATGCATCAATCATAGCTCGCCTTGTGCATCCACGTCGACTATTAGGCGACACGTCGTTTATATCGATCCTTTTCTTTTCATATGGTATTGCATCATTTAGCTCAATTTATTCATATTTTTTAACATCGACATCACAAAAACATATATGAAAAAAAGTAAGGATGTCAGAAGTCATTCAAAAACGCACCCCCAACAATGTATTTACTGCCCACTAGTTTGTGTGGAAAATTATGAATTATAATGTGACAATAATACATATTTTATGTGTATAATTCTACAAGTATTAAAATTCGCAGAAAAAATTGTTGATTATAATATTGGAACCACTCTCGTAATAGAATAATCTTTAATTTACATGAATGGATAAATAACATTTCGAAAATTAAAGGTAACTTGGACTCTTTAACATAAAAAATAAATGTTTTAAGTTGGATTGAATTGAAACTTGTATTGGGCTAGGCTAACTTGAGATGGGCCTATACTCGTGGTCCACCGCTTTTTAATTCTCTTTGGCGGAGAATGAATCGAATTTCGAACCTTGTCTATTTATGAAAGAAAAATACCATTAAATTACAAAGTAGTTAATTGTTCTCCGTCATTTCTACTTTGTTGTTTGGCCGCATTGCTTAGTTAGTTACTATATTGAGCAACATGTTTTCTCATTTTGCCATTAAAATGTTACTTCTATAAATAAATGAAAGAAACAATACAATTCTACTTTAATTAGGCTCCTAAATAGCTAGATCCAACTCCATCTTTCCTCTGCCGATGTGCTAACTTTACAACCTAAACCATTGACAATGCGCATTGTATGCACATATCGAGTTGTTATAGGTTAAATAAGTGACTATATAAAACTCCTATTCGTTTTATAATTCACGTATATTCAATTGTAAATGACTTTTATTAATCCATCAAGTGTCTCGAAAACAATTTATGTTAAATTATGAAAGGAAAAGCATACCAAGGAAAGTTGTTTTGGAGAAGAAGAAATACATAGATAAAAAGATAATTATACAAATGTTTAACCTTACTTTTTCTTAATTTAACTTTTAATTCAAAATATTCGTGAAATTTTTTTATTCGTTGGTTAAATTTATCTTCAAATTTTTGACACGCACATATTTTTTTGAATACAAATGATAATCTAAATTACAAAAGAGGGGGTTTTTGACAAGCACTATCAAAGTGCCATAGAAATTTGAATATAAGACCATTAATATAGAAATCAAAATCATTTTTTATCGAGCTAGAACCCAGTTGGCAATTTATCGTCAAATTTGACCTTACCATAAAATATACTTTACCATAATTTACCGTGCTATTGACTCTACTTCCGAAAATGCCCTTACTGTAATTAAAACCTTTATCGAGCAAACAAACGCCTCAGTCACACGCAGTAGTTGCCTCTTCCCGCCAAACGCACTCCCTCACTCACTCCCTCTCTCTACAGTCCCATAATCGATTCTTCGTCCTTCCCTAAATTCACTGTCAGTATCGTATATTTAGGGCTTTCTTTGTGTCCTTTGCAAGAAAACCCTAGTTCTCAGACCCAACCATGGAAGACCCCATCTCTGGCTTCCGTCAGCGTTCCGGGTCAGGCATCGTCAAGAGAGTCCGATTGGAGAACTTCATGTGCCACAGTAGCTTGCAGATTGAGCTCGGCGACTGGGTCAATTTCATTACCGGCCAAAATGGAAGTAAGCCCTCTTCTTTCTCCCGCTATGTAGATGTGTGTGCTTCAATTGGGTCTGTAAAATTTATGCATAATGAATCGAATTCCCTTTCTTATGTGGATTATTTGGTCCATAAGTAGTGTGTTTTGTAAATTCGGTTTTTGAAATTTGTGTGAATATCAGCTGATTTTGGTTTTTTTGGTTTTTGTAGGTGGTAAAAGTGCAATACTTACTGCTTTGTGTATTGCATTTGGCTGTCGAGCTAAAGGCACTCAAAGAGCGTCTACATTGAAGGATTTTATAAAAACTGATTGCAGGTTAGTGGGGTTTGCCTTTCTCCAATTTTTTTAAATTTCCTTGCTACTGGTTTGCTTTGTGTTTGCGGTATGACAAAGCAACTCTTAGCTTCTCTGCTGGTTGCTCTTGGATGTGAAATATTTGTTATAGTAGCGAACTGATTGCTTAACTAAACAAGTGCTAAATTTGCACCTTTCTAGCTGTGTTAGAGCTCTAAATGAGCGGTGTAAAATTCATCTGCTGCCAACTTTCTTCCAAAAATCACTCATGGAAATAGTAATATTTTGAGTGTTGTGCTCCACATTTTGAATTCTTCTATGTATTCTGTTCAAGGATGATGAAATTGTTGGTAGTTTGATGCCTTCAATTTCAAGTGGCTTAATGCATGTTAGGAACATCAGATAAGCGAACACCTTAAGTGGTGCCATTTGCCTTTGAGACACTTCAAAAAGTTATCCAGTTTTTAAGTATCTGTCTTAAACTACACACACGCACACATATTTTTTACTGTCTCATAGTGTTATCTGCTATTTTTCATTGCAGTTATGCTGTTGTCCACGTGGAGTTAAAAAATCAAGGGGAGGATGCTTTTAAGCCTGAAATATATGGTGATGTCATAGTTATAGAGCGCAGGATTTCTGGAACTGCAACCACCACTGTTTTGAAAGACCAACAAGGTTTAAACTTTACATTCCTTGCTTACATAGTTTTCTTTCTCTCACTCTCGCTCTCTCTGTATCTCACCCTCCTTTCTCTCTCTCTCTCTCTCTCTCTCTGTATCCCTGCACATAATTTTCAAAACCTAACCACTTCATTAAACTGGTTTCCATTGTGTTCTTTGGTCCTGTCATGTGTTTTCGATTGAGAAACTCTTCATTGGACTCATATTAGCAATCATGTTCATAAATGGCAATCTCTGGTTGGACCTACTTATATTTTGGAAGATTTGGGATTTGGTTACTTAAACAAGGAGTGTATAGAATTTTAACTTTCAGATACTGGGTGGATAAATTTTTCATAGTATTTGTTTGTTTGGATTTCTACCTGCACAAAAGTTTGGCTCAATGGCTTTCCATACTGACTTCAAATGGGATAATTTTTTTTCATATTGTTTGTAACATTTTTTTTTGGTGTTGATCAGCTAGAAATATTGTTGGTGTGGCATATTTGTTGGCCTTTTGGCAATTTGATTCTTTGGTGCTTTCATGTGAGGCATCTGGCACCACAAGCTTGTCTATGTATTAAAAATTGTGAAGAAACATGATTGTTATTTTCTGTATCCATCTATCTTTTACTAAACATTTATAAATTTCTTTTAAAGAAAGTTCCTCTGACATAAGATAATGTTTCATGTAGACATAATGAATGGACTTACATCCCTTGTTAACCTGATTCTCCAATATTGTTCCCCCATCTTGCTTAAACCATAGAAGTAATGAGAGCCTTGTGGAAGCATTGTTTGTTTGTTTTTCTTTTCTGATGATATTATATGATATTGTTAAAAAACATAATATGTTGTGCTGTATTCTAGTGCCACAACATTGATTCATGAGGTTGTGGTTTTCATTTGACCTTGTTCTCTATCTGAGATGTTTGGCAGGAAAAAAGGTTGCTAGTCGGAAAGAGGACCTTCGAGAACTAGTTGAACATTTTAATGTGAGTGTTCGTCCTAGTACTTCTTGGTCACCTTTGCATCAGCTGTTTATTGATTGTTCATGTATATGGTTCTTATTAGGTATTGAAATCAGCATGTTCTCATTAAATTTTAAGACACCGTCTGGTTCCTTTAAATTAGCATGATAGGCTGAGATTAACAAGGTTGCTCTCTGTTATCATTTTTTTTGGTTTCATGATGATGGAATGTCTAAATTGAATGATAAATCCATTATTCACACCATTTAGGAATTTTGTTTTAAAATAGAAAAATTACAGGTTTGCATTATTTGCATGTCAACCCTTCTCTTCTTGAAATTTTGTTACTTGCTTTCATGGCTTTGTGCTTTATGGCAGATTGATGTTGAGAATCCATGTGTAATAATGAGTCAAGACAAAAGCAGAGAGTTTTTGCATTCTGGCAATGACAAAGATAATTTAAGGTGATGTTATGTGTTGCATGTTCTCTGAGCACAGAGTTCAATAGGTTTACTATACTGACATTTGATTGCTCAGTTCTTTTTCAAGGCCACACTTCTTCAGCAAGTTGAAGATCTGTTGCAAAACATTGAAAAACAGTTGGAGAAGGCAAATGTTGTTGTTGCTGAGTTAGAGGGCTCAATAAGACCCATAGAAAGGGAACTTAATGAGTTGCAAGAAAAAATTAAAAACATGGAGCACGTTGAAGAAATATCTCAACAAGCAAAGCAGTTAAAAAAGAAGCTCGCTTGGGCATGGGTATATGATGTAGACAAGCAGCTCGCGGAACAGAATGCAAGAATTGGAAAGCTGAAAGATCGCGTACCTCTATGTCAAGCTAAAATTGATCGACAAATAGTGAGTACAAACTGTTCGCATTGTCATAGATGTCTTTCTATATTTTCAACATGGACTGTTGTCTTTTAGGTTTAGAGGTATCACCTCATATTGTTTTGTATTTATTCATCCCCATCTAATCTGTTGAAAGCAGTTATTCATGCAGAGTGCTTTAAGTTTAAGGCACAGCTAGAAATCTCTCTTTGGGGACAAGTCATTTTTGTGTTTTTTCTTAAGAATGATTATTGGATACTTTGCACAGGGATGAATAACTCTTCTATCCAAATTCCCTACCACTATGAGTTGCCAAGTTCCAGAAAACATTTCTTGTTAAGAACGATTTTAATTCTGAAGAAATATTTTCTTCTGAACTATTATATTACCTATATGTGGCGTTTATTGTATTGCCAAATGTTTGACAAAATTGGTTAACTTATTTGTCAAACATTTGGCAATATAAATGGTAATTAAACTTATTTGTCAAACATTTGGCAAACATTTGTCAAACATTTGGCAAACATTTGTCAAACATTTGTCAAACATTTGTCAAACATTTGGCAAACATTTGTCAAATATCCTATGCTTTATCTGGACATTTAATATAAATAGTTCACTCGTGATTTAGTTGAAAGTCATTGATAGAAATTGGGCAAGCAATATTATGGGGAATCAAGTCCCCAGCTTTGAAAGGAATTGATTGAACACACAGAAGAAAATGTAGAAGGAAAACAGATGTCATTTATTTTGTTTTATCCGTTTTGCAGGGTCAAGTGGCAAAACTAAGAGAATGCTTTGCCTTGAAGAAATCTGAAATTGAACACATGATGAAAAAGACATCAGAGATTAGGAGAATGAAGGACGAATTGCAACAGACACTAGCATTGGTATGTTGAAAGTTTACTTTATGATGTTGCAATTGTTGCAAGTATGCGTTATCTTTCTGAATGTCTTTTTGTGTTTGAGTTATTAGCTGTGTAATTCCTGTTCCCTTTCTATTGCTTCTATCTGGTGTCCTTGTATTGTTCATGTAAATATTATGTCCTTTCTAGTTTCTACTTTTTATGGATCCCAAATTCTTTTCTCAGGCTACAAAGGAGAAACTTAAGCTAGAAGAAGAATATGGACGCAAATTTAACCAAATCCAGAAGATGATGAACTATGTTAGGTCTCTTCAGCAACAGGTTCAAGATACCCAGGAGCAGCATGCCAAAAATACACAGGTTTTTCTGTTTGGTGTTTATTTTCCTTTTGATTTTTTCTGTTTGCGGGTGTGTGCCGCTTATTCATGGGGATTAACTGTTCAAGAGCAACTAACTGTATGGGAGTTTTTCCTCTCTTCATTCTGTTTTTCCTTGGCATAACTTACTATGTTATACCATTTTTTCTTGAAAATATGCATCTATTGATGTGAATATTAGATGATTTTGCATGAAATTCTCTAGAATAGTGATTTGGTATGGTTTGAAACGATTTAGCTCAATTAGTAACCCTTGACAAAATCAGGGTTTGTTAAATAGAAAACCTTGACACAAGATTAGTAATGAAAAATAGCAATGCAATAGAAAATCTAACACACAAATGCATTTGCCAGTGGTTGAACCCCAAGACTCACCTTCTTAGTGACTCAAATTTTTTAAAGTATCCAGAAATTCATTTCTGTACCCAATTTGTAATGAATTTTATTTTTTAACGGTAATTATTCCCTATTCAAAATTATGATGAAATCCTTTAATTTCTGCATGACACTGTTGTAACCAGTTTGATATGCCAAGATAGAATGACATGCGGTGTTCATATACAAAAAACATAGCAGGCATGTGAATACATAGGTGACTGTTTCCAAGCATCTTTAAATTATCAGTTTTTAGACCACTGATTTTGACACTGTTGCAGGCAGAAGAATCTGAAATAGAGGAAAAACTTAAAGAACTCCAAAATGAGGTTGCTAGCATTGAATCAATGCTTGCAAGGTTTAAAGTCATTAATTTCATCAGTTTATATTTTGCATTGCTGTCAAGGGAGATTTAACCTAATCCCCGTTGAATCTTCTGATATGATATTTCAGGTTGAAGGAAGAAGAGAATGCCTTATCAGAATGCGTGCAACAGACAAATAGTGAAATCAAAGAGATAAATGAAATGGTGTGAAATGTTTGACTTGATTTAATGACTTGAAATTGTTTATCGCAACTTTTTCTCATCCTTTTATTTTGTTGATTAATAAGTTAAAATTGTGTTGTGCAACTTGTTGTCATCCTTTTTCTTGGGTCTCTCTCTTAGTTGCTCTGTTTTTTTCCTCATTTATTTTGTCGGTTTTCTTCTCTGGAATCAATTTTTCACAATTTTATGTGGACAATGGTATTGGATATGGCGACTGGCCAAAATATATGATTGTGTCATAGCTATTTGCTGTTTGTTGCATATATACTATTCTGAAACTATTTTGAAAAACCCAAGGTATCTGGCCATACATTCTTTTCAACCCTGAATCTCCTGGTTTTTTGTTTTTTGTTTTTTTTTGTAAGTTAACTGCATTTAAGCACAAGCTCTACTTCTGGAAAAGTCTAAGTTATTTTAGATCCTTTGTCCCAACTCATGTATTTCGATAAGGGATATGTTAAGTGCTTGTAGGAATTTAGAAGAACCATAAATAGTAATTTGGAAGGTATTTTAGGAATATGTTCCTTAACAGATTCCAAATAACTTTGGTTTTTTTTTTTAATAGTAAAGGTGGCTACTTCTAGAAAGATTCAAATAAGAGAATAACATTGGTAAATTTTGTTTTTAAATTGACGAGTTTTGGCGTGCATATTCACATAATGGGGATAAATGTCCTACTATTATAGCCAAGTCCTATTTTAGATGGGAATGACGTTAAGCAAAAACATATTGAGCTGTCATGATTCAGAAGTAGGAAGGCACAACTGCTGATGCAGAGTGTACTCTCACGAGTTTTATATATTGCTTCATAAAAGGGACAGGGTTCTCTGTTTTGTCATGGTAGGTATATGTTTAAGTGGTTGAGAGAAAATTGGGATATATAGAAAGGGTTTTAAAGAACAAGAAAGAAGCGAAGAAAAAGCGAAGTCTAAGAAAAAAAAAAAAAAAAAAAAAAAAAAAAAAAAAAAAAAACAGTTGGTAAGACCTTCATGTCTAGCCTTTTAATTTATAATCTAACTGTGTTGTCAATATAAGTTGCCTCCGTATTTATATATATATATATATATTATAATATTAACTATGTTATCGATATTACATAATTTGTTTGTCAGACTTAAATAGCTATGTTTGTTGAATGTATTTATAATCACATGTTGGTCTTCTAGATTCAAAATTATGACAAGAAGCATCGGGAGATCTCAAATACCATCCGGGAGCTTCAGCGAAATCAAACTAACAAGGTCTGGCACTAATGATCTTGTGGTCTTAGATTCATGAGAAAACAGCGGACTCTGTACTGTGTCACTTATGCATATGTAGCCCATGTGCGTTATATCTCAGGCTGCCATTTTACCAAAAACACTATAGTGCTTAAGGAAAATGTTTTGTTTAAACAGGTTACAGCTTTTGGTGGAGATAGAGTGATAAGCCTTCTACGCACAATTGAGAGATATCATCAGAGATTCCAAAGCCCTCCAATTGGTCCAATTGGTGCTCATTTGGTAAGTGTGGAACATCTGCATTATATCTATAAGTTTAGTAAACTTCTACTGTGTAATGTTGTTTTTGCACTTTTATATTTTACCGTTACCAAAGTAAATGGTTTTGAATGACTGGTGTTTATTACACGGTAAAGGAGAACAAAAATGTCAGTGGGCTTCCATAAGTTCTGATGGCATGTTCTGTTCCTTAGCAGGCATATTGCTTCATGTTTTTCCCCTGTTTTACAATATCTATAATTTACATGATGATAATAAATAATTTTACTATTTACTTGTTGCTAATTTACGCTTCTATCACTTATTGTTCTTTCTAGCAAGCTTCTATTTTTGTGGATAGGAGTCAATTTCATTGCTACTTGCAACTACATGCTAAGTGATCAATCTTAATACAATGATTGTTTCTGCAGACTTTGAATAATGGCGATGTCTGGGCTCTTGCTGTTGAACATGCCATTGGAAGGTTGCTCAATGCTTTCATTGTGACAAATCATAAAGACTCGCTTCTTCTAAGAACATGTGCAAGGGAAGCAAACTACAGTGACCTTCAGATTATTATATATGACTTTTCATTACCAAGGTAGATCTTTAGTTCTTCAGATTGCTGTCTCATTCAGTGCATGGTGATTCTTTCTGTGACTGAACAATCCATTGTACTTTCTGATGTAGGTTAAATATACCGCCTCACATGCTTCCACAGACAAGGCACCCAACTACTCTTTCTCTTCTTCATTCTGAAATTCATACTGTTTTAAACGTGTTGGTAGATATGGTAAGTTTACAGGCTTCTTCTGTTCGTGTCCGTGATTAATTGTTACCTCTATTAGTTATTGATCTTCCCTGACTACACATTTATTTATTTTTGTGTGCTCAACTATGGTTAATTTTCCAGGGAAATGTTGAAAGGCAAGTTCTCGTGAGAGATTATGATGCGGGAAAAGCAATTGTATTTGACCAGAGGGTTTCAAATTTGAAGGAGGTTTACACCTTAGATGGCAGTAGGATGTAAGCTAGAGATCCATGCCTTGTTCCTTTATGCATTCAATTTTCACATTCACAACTGGTTCACAAAGTTTGCTTTGCTTTAAATACCATAAATCTACGTACTGCAGTTTTGTCCAATCTTCTAATTTGATTTTCTATTACTTGTGAAATATAATTTTGACTGAGTGCTAGGATTTTATACTGTTGAACATGAGTTTGGACCCTGAGTATTGTCATTTATCATATTCATTTGGTTCAGACACATTTTGTGTTGCACAAATAAGTATTTATTTATTGCTTCTTTCTAGGTTTTCTCGTGGTTCTGTCCAGACAGTTCTTCCTCCCAATAAGCGAGTTAGAACTGGTCGTCTCTGTAGTTCTTATGATGATCAAATTAATGAGCTTAAAAGACAAGTATTAAGTGTACAAGAAGAAGCTCAGCAGTGCAGAAGGAGGAAAAGGGATGTAGAGGAAAAACTTCAGGATCTTCAAGAGAATCTCCGAAATGTGAAGGTAATGGATAGCTTACTTTTTCTTCTTTATTATGAGCCTATGCTTCTTAAAAGAAAATTTAATATAGTTGTCCAATTATAATTAAGTTTGACCCGGTTGTACTGAAATGATTTTTCTTTTGCAATATTGTTTGTATGGTTGGTTTCCTGCCAAATGTCACTTGCATACTTTTTTGTGGGCTATTTAAATAACTAATGCTGTATGTTAATCAACTGTTGCTTCTTTTATTTTGTGTAGAGGAGATGTGCAAATGTGGACCGTGATTTGACATCTAAGAGACTAGCAATTCAAGATTTTGACAATGCATATGCTGCTGAAGCTGGTACATCACCTGCATCAACTGTTGATGAGCTGTATCAAGAAATTTCGGTCTGTTCCATTAAACTTTATGTTACCATTGACTCTATTATGTATATTTTCGAAGATAACACTATCCTATTTTGAGTGATTATCAGAAAGTCCAAGTGGAGATTCAAGAAAGGAAAATGTCACTGGAAACATTTCGAGTCAGAATTGGTGAAGCTGAGGCAAAGACCAATAATCTTAAAGCATCATTTGAGAATCTATCTGGTATGGTAACGCTGTTCAACTTTCATATTAGGTTCCACAGCAGATTCTTCCCATCTTACTTGATCTTTGCGTCCAATAAACCAACAGAGTCAGCAAAAGGTGACATTGATGCCTTTGAGGAAGCAGAGAGAGAAATGATGGAGATTGAACAAAATCTATGTTCTGCAGAAGAGGTTCCTTCCGTTCCCAAAACTTACACGCACATGTTTTTAGTGCTTTTCTATGGCCGCAACTCTATTTGTTCTCTGTCTTTGATATCTAACAACTGCCTGTTTATCTCAGGAGAAAGCTCATTATGAAGGTGTAATGAAGAACAGGGTACTTAAGGATATCCAAGATGCAGAAAAACACCATCAGGAGCTTGAGAATCTCCGCGAGGTATCATTTTTAGACTATGGTTGCATTCTGCATTAAATCCTTGGAGGCAGCAGCTTCACGAAGTTCTGCTTGTTGCTTGTTGCTCCTGCATTTCCCTATACAACTGTAAATTTCCAGGCACCTTATTGTGCAGGATAATATACTTAAATCAGAACCCTGGTTTTGCTGCCCTTTCTTTTATGGTTTTATGGTGGTTTTTACACAAGTACAAACTTGTGTCTGAATTGTTATTGATTATTTTGGAATTTTATATATGAAGGATCTCACTTTAGTATCTACTAGTTGCTGAAGTTATGCATTGGCTGAAATTGCAGGAGAGTTCTAGGAAGGCTTCTATCCTTTGTCCAGAGAGTGAAATTATAGCATTAGGTGATTGGGATGGTAGCACTCCTGAACAACTCAGTGCTCAAGTAACCAGGCTGAATCAGAGGTTTGAGCGAGAGAGTCAGAGGTATTCTCATGATCGTCTGTCTTCACTGCATTTTTGGGACAATAGCCAAGCTTCAGCATAAAGAAGATTTAAACTTTTTTTTTTCCCGGTTGCAGATATACCGAATCAATTGATGAGCTCCGAATGTCATATGAGAAAAAGGAACGTAAGATTTTAAGCAAACAAAAAAGAAACAGAGCTTTTCGAGAAAAGTTAAATGTAAGTTCCAGCTTATATAATGCTTTGTTGGTGCTATAACTGTAATTTTTGGACAGTCATAGACCACACTTGTTATGAGCTTCTTCTTAATCTGGTTATGCAATCACTTATTTCTTATTGGAACAATTTGTTGCTTCATAGCAAAAGATAGTTGAATGGAGAAATTTAGGGTGTGCATCTAGTTTCCCTTTGTGTTCCCTTTTTTCTGTGGAAATTGTATCTGATATATAAATTTATAATTAGAGATTCAATTCCTTCGCTTGAATCTGGTACTTAATTTAGCACTTTTAATATGTGAAGTTTGTGGAAGTAGACTGTTGAAAAAATACTTCCTGGTTCATGTCTTGCTTAAAGGAGCCTTTTTGCTTAGGCATTGCTCAAGAAAGGTTACTTCTTGTGGGTAGTGTATATATTTCTGGGCTGTACAAGGCTCTTTCCTTATATTAGATATGTCTACTGATACCCAACCTCCAATGTTTTTTATTTTCCAAGACCCAACCTCCGATGTTAACTCTGTACCTTTTGATTGAGCCCTTCCTGCCAAATGGATAATCTTGCTGCTCAGAGTTTCGCATGTATGTGTTTGTTTTCTCAATTATTAAATTGCAGTCATGCCGCAAAGCCCTTGATTTGCGACGGAGCAAGTTTCAAAGAAATGCAGATTATTTAAAGCGCCAGCTGACCTGGCAGTATGTCGTCTCTTCACAATAACTAGTCACATTCATCATAGTGTTTGCTTTTCTCCATGTTTATTTTTTCAATACAAGGTACCTTTTTATTTTTGATCTGTTCTAAATTGATTATTAATTGCCATTAGATTCAATACCCATCTGAGAAAGAAAGGGATTAGCGGACAGATTAAAGTGAGTTATGAGGAGAAGACCCTATCTGTTGAGGCAAGCAAGTTCTTTGTTTTTTTTTATACTCATTTTATTCTTCCTTTGGTAGTTTAGAATATAGATGAGCTATGTATATCTTGCTTGTGGATAGCTGGACAGCTTAGTGTTTCTTTTGTTAGTCTCCTTTTCTCTTTCCAAGACTTGATGCTGTGTGCCCCTTTTTTAGGTAAAGATGCCCCAGGATGCAACAAGCAGCACTGTTCGTGACACTAGAGGGCTTTCAGGTTTACTTCTTGCATATTCTGATGAAATGTCTCTTTATTTGTGCTTTTGCAAGATTAATTCATCATAGATCAATGATTTCATTGTTTGGAGTTGATTAATTTGACTGGTTGGTTTTTCACTCAAGAGTAATACGGGACTTTTCACATTTTCATAATCAGGATTTAGAATATGGCATAAATAAACATTTATGTACATTTAATTGTTAATCAGGTGGGGAACGCTCTTTTTCAACATTGTGCTTTGCATTGGCTCTTCATGACATGACCGAAGCTCCATTTAGAGCAATGGATGAGTTCGATGTTTTTATGGTACAGATTTAAGCAAGTTCTTTGTTCCAGGATTGAAGATTGTGTTCGTAAATGTCTAGGTTGTTTTGTTTAAGACACAAAAAATGGTTCTTATGAACAAATTTTATGCATTTAACTTATTCTTCAGGATGCTGTAAGTCGGAAAATCAGCCTAGACACTCTTGTTGATTTTGCATTGGCACAAGGATCCCAATGGATACTTATCACTCCTCATGATATCAGGTAATGTTGTAAGAAAGAATGTGGATGCGTTCTGTCCTCAGCTTTCTTTGAATGTCTGGTTTTTGCATGAAACCTTATTTCTTTTTCTTCCGCGGAAAGCAAACATAATAGAAAACAGTGCACTTGAGAAATGACATGGTAAATTGAATTTGGTTCTTTGGATGCAGTATGGTGAAGAACGGGGATAGGATAAAGAAGCAGCAGATGGCGGCTCCTCGTTCTTGATTTGCCATGTATGATTGTGTCCTGTAGTCATGCCAATACCTGGTACTGCTTGAAGTTGAACAGATGATGATGTATTTATTTACTCATATGTAAATTACCATTGTAAGGCAAACCCTAGGGTCTAGAGACCTTCCCCATGGTTTCTTTTCGGAATTAATATGAACCTTTTTTGCTTTGAATTGTATCCCTTAAATCATATTATCTTACATATCCGGACGATTCTTATAAAGTAATACTTGTATGAATGGTGACCGTTATTCATATTATATATTATTATTTACGAAATTAGCCCAATGAATTTAGACTTTTTTCTTTCTTTCTCCCTTCTACTTTACTCTTTCCTGTGTCGTAGATTTCTAATTCCCAGTTTTTTTGAGATCCCAAATAACATATTGAATTAAAAGAAGGGATATTCACTATTATACCAAATATAGGGGCCAAAATTATTAAAAAAAAACTCTATATGAAATGGACTTTAGAAATCCACTCAAGGTCTATTTACAACATAACAAAGAGGCTTTTAACTTCTTATAAATTACAAAATTGCCATCGATTTCTTAAAATAAACCCAATCCGAAAACCTTAATAAAAAAACTCAAAATACTCAATAGGGCATCAAAGTAATTTAATAATCAAAATTAAATTCAATAAGGCCAGCTGTTATTTTTTGAGTTTGTTTATAGAAATTAAATGGTGTAAGATTTATCTATATTATTAGTATTAAAAATGAGTATATGACTAAATATATCTTAAAAGAATGTGTGTTGCGTGAGTATGACATATCAAATTCATGTAAATGGAATGCCACTTGACCAAAAACACTCAGGAATGCCAGAGGACAAATAAATCCATTTTCTATTGCTAAACCTTTACAATTAAATTTCATAGTTATATCAGAAAGTACAAAAGTGGAAAAACAAAATCCTTTTATCAGAAAATGATAAAGTAGTTACCAAAAAACACGAAAAAGGAAAATATAATCCAATCCACGTCTTTTATGCGCTGAATTATAAAACGATGGTCTATCATCCTTGTTTCCTTGGCCATGGTTTGGTTTCTGTCCCCACATTCGAAAACGAAATTTGAATTATAAACGGCTATCTAACGGTCATATTGATGGGACAGCCAAATGGGGTAAAATCCTTTTTGTAAACCTTTGGGCTGGGGAAATTCTTTTACATAAACAAGTTTTACGGTGTTTTGTGCCCACAGAGAACTTGGGTTATAACCAAATGAATATTTATTCAAAGGACTTGTAAGTCAGATTATAAATAGGTGCTTCTGGAGATTTAAAAAAAAAGTTTAAATTTTTACAAATGACTTTTTCAAAGACTCGATAAAAGTCCTAGATTCAAAATCTTGGAAGTAAAAACAAAAAGCGCCACAAACTCAGAACCTCTTCAAATCTCCTTCACCCGGAAAAGTGTATAGATGGAAACAAAGACAAGTTTTAGAGAGAGAAAATCTAGCGGTTGTTAGTGACAAAATCTAGAGAGAGAGAGAGAGAAATGTGATCTAGAGAGAGAGAGAGAGAGAGAGAGAGAGAGAGAGCTGAACAGAGAAGACAAGATGGGATACAGAGAAGTTGCAGAGAAAGACCATCACGCTCGAACGATGTCGTTGGGGGCAGAGAAACCAAACACAAAGACCAGCCCTTTACCACCATCGAAGAAGAGGACGTCGAGCTGGTCAGACATCTGGCTTAAGAACACTACGCCCCTCAAGAACGTCATCTTCGCTATGCAACTTGCTTCGCCCAAAGACTCCAAAGTCAAACCCACCCACAAAACCCTAATCCCCAATTGGGCAAACATTGACCGTACCTCCCTATTATCCGACGAAATCCTTCTCAAAATCCTCTCCAAGCTGCCCGAGTCGCAGCGCAAGCCTAACTCGCTCGTCTGCAAGCGCTGGCTCAACCTCCAAGGCCGCCTTGTACGGTCGCTCAAGGTCTTGGACTGGAGCTTTCTCCAATCGGGTCGGTTGATCTCGAGGTTCCCCAACCTGAATCAGGTTGATATGCTATATGGGTCGTTTATTTCGGACCAAAATTCGGGCATTTTGTTGAGTTATAGAATGTTTTCGTTCCATACCGGTTCCGAGTTCTCACCGAAGCTGAGAGTTTCCGAGTCAAATTTCAAATTGCTTCCACCTGTGGTTGTTGACAGAGGGCTTGATGCGTTGGCGAGTGGGTGCCCCAACTTGCGGAAGCTTGTGGTGATTGGTGCGAGTGAAATGGGGTTGTTGAGTGTAGCAGAGGAGTGCCCCACACTCCAAGAATTGGAATTGCACAAGTGCAGTGACAATGTGCTGCGTGGGATTGCGGCATGTGAGAATTTGCAAGTGTTGAAATTGGTTGCAAATGTAGAGGGACTTTATAGTTCAGTGGTTTCGGATATTGGGCTTACGATTTTAGCTCAAGGGTGCACGAGATTGGTAAAGCTTGAGCTTTGTGGATGTGAGGGAAGCTTTGATGGGATTAAGGCAATTGGGCAGTGTTGCCAAATGTTAGAGGAATTGACTTTCTGTGATCATAGGATGGATGGTGGGTGGTTGGCTGCACTTTCATATTGTGAAAATTTGAAGACTTTGAGGTTTCAGTCGTGTAAGAGGATTGAAACTATTCCGGGGCCCGAAGAGTATTTGGGTGCTTGCCCTGCTCTGGAGCGGTTGCATTTGCAGAAGTGTCAATTGAGGGATAAGAAGAGTGTGAGAGCTTTGTTTATGGTGTGTGGAGCGGCCAGGGAGATTGTTTTTCAGGACTGTTGGGGATTGGACAATGATATGTTCAGGCTAGCAAGTACTTGCAGGTAGTTGATTCTTTTTGCTATATTATGTCTTTAGTTGCCTGAGATTGATATTGGCATGTTAAGATTCTGAAGAAGATAATAATAGGGATGAAATTTTGGTATAAAACTAATGTATTTAAATGTATAGAATTCACCCTGTACTAAGATTAGTTATCTGGTATCAATTTACAAAAGTTTTGAACTTTATGAGTAGATCTGCAGAAATATAAGCTAAAACCTTTTCTGCGATCGTTGTAAGACTGGACAGTTGTAATATGATTATAGTTAACTGTTAGAGTTGCTGAGGTCCTAAAGCAAATTTGAAGGGGTGAAAACACTTCTGTTTTTAGATTTTTGGTCATTGAATTATCATTTGGAATATCCTTTCTTTGCTATTTTAATGGGATATAATGTTCTAACAGGAGGGTGAAGTTCCTATCTCTAGAAGGATGCTCAGTGTTAACAACAGAGGGTCTGGAGTCAGTAATTCTTCCCTGGAAGGAGCTTGAATGCCTTAGAGTAGTGTCGTGCAAGAATATAAAGGACAAGGAGATATCTCCTGCCCTCTCAACCTTATTTTCTACTCTCAAAGAGTTGCAATGGAGACCAGATACCAAATCTCTTCTTCCATCAAGCGTTTTCGGAACCAGCATAGGAAAGAAAGGCAGTAGATTCTTTCGGAAGACTCGAGATTTGAAGATGCTATTTGATGATCAGAATCTGCTCCTTGATTTTATACACAGATGATTCAGATTGAAGCTGCTTTTTACTCTTGCTGTGAAGACTGTATCAGTATACTATAGTTACTGTACTCATGCTGTTGTCCCTTTTGGATGCTTAACACAGAAGTTGACAGAGGAAGAAGGTTGTTGTTAGTTTTATTCTTCCACAGTCAGGCAACAGCCAAGGATGTATAATTATAAGGGTTATATTTGCCCGACCCACTTCTCCCTTAGTGCATGTTGGGCAACCCTTTTTCGCCGTAATATCTTAATTTTATGGTACAGATGGTTTAATTCGGCATTCTTGTTTGGTCTGTACTTCTGTTTCTACTATGCTTCTAATCTCTCCAGCAAAACAAACATATAATAATCAGATTATTGAACAAACTCAAACTGCTTTAGAGGAAAGAAATGTTAGTGCTTGGGATAATTAAATGGATAATCAAATCTCAGTTAAACTAAATCTAAAGCAAATACTAATGTTTTCAATACTAGACACTACTAATTTCTCATTCATTCACATGACGTGATACTTATGATATTGGAAGGCTCGTGAAAGTCTATCAAATAAGGATAATTTATTAATATTTTTAATTAAAACTTTATAACTTTTTTTTATGTTTTAATTGCACCAAATCAAATTTTTCTGGTAATTTATTAAAAAAAAAAAAAAAAAAAAAAAGAAAGAAGGGGGGTGGGGGGGGGGTGGTGGCGGAATTTCTTTGGATGGGTGTACTGATCAATTGCTGGGTGTATTTATTTAAAAACCAAAAAAACCTCCACCTACTAGGCTACAACATCGACCAGGATGACGTGGCAAAAACCTAGATGGGAGGGAAAAAGAAGAAAAAGAGCAGGAAATAAACGAGATGATGTTGACAGCGCTGACGCGTGAAAATTTGTCTGCTTGATTCTCCACTGAGATCATCACTCAACTCTTAAACTAAAACTCCAACTTCGAACTAATGGGTTTACAGACAGATAAAGAGACGATGAAGAAAGGCAAGGAAGTTGTGGTTTCAAGCCCTAACACCAACGACGATGACGACAACCTTAATATCAGCGAAGAAGACTTAGACGACGTCAATAATCATAACAGAGGAAGTGGCGTCTCTTTTACTTCCGTTAGATTCTCTTCTCGCAACACTTCCTCCAAATACGACTTTGTCAAGGTTCTTCATTTTATTGTTACCCAAAGAGCAAAGGTTCTTAATTTCCTACTCTATTTCTGTTTGGTTTCTGAGAAATAAATCAGAATCGAATGTCTTTTTGTGCTGAAAAACAAACAGGTGAAGGTGTGGTTGGGCGATAATGCAGATCACTACTACGTGCTTTCCAGATTTTTGCTCAGCCGAATGTTAACTGTCACTAAGGTCTCAATTCCATTCAACCCAATTCAGTATTTTGATTCTTGTTATTAGTTTCCAATATCTGTTTATGTAAGTGTGTGTGTGTGTTTGCCTCAATTAAACTATTTGTTTCTTTTGGTAATTTCTAATCATCAGTTGTATTGTTAATTTATTATGAATTTATGGTGGTGATTGCAGATCCCAAATTATGTAGCTATTAAAATTGCTTTGGAGCTCAAGAAGCTGCTAATAGACAACAGCCTTCTAGATGTGTATGCTGTGTCCTCACTCATTTATTCTTCTTTTATTTTGCTTTTTCTTGTTTTCTGATAGGATTCTTATAAATGGTTTCACTTTGTGTTTCTGTGATGTGTTGCAGCTCGCAGTCTGATTTGGAAGCCAATTTGTTTAAGGTAATGTCATGTGTGTGTGCTTGTCCAACAAGTAGTGCGCTTTTTGAAATTTTGTAGGTGTTGAATTTAGTTAATCTCTGTATGCGCAGCTTATGGAACGAAGGGGTTATGGGGAGGAGTACATAAACCGGTACAAGATGATGACGAGGTCAGTCTAAAATCTATATTGCTTTTAGGAAATTCCTAGAAACTGAATAAGGGAAAGATGGTAAATTTGCTGAACTCTATGGTAATACCTTTTTTCTTGTTCTGTGTGGGGCCAAATTCTTTCAGATTTCACCATCAAAGAGTGCCATTAGTGATTCTTGTATGTGGAACTGCCTGTGTTGGAAAGTCCACCATTGCTACCCAACTTGCACAAAGGCTAAATTTGCCTAATGTCTTGCAGGTTTTTTTTTGTATCTGTCATGTTCTCTCTCTCTCTCTCCCTCCCTCCCATGTACCGACTGTTTTGAGTTGCAAAGAGATGTCATTGACATTTATTTTGTCCTTTTACTGATTGTTACAGACAGATATGGTATATGAATTGCTGCGCACATCAACAGAGTATGTCCCTGTTTTATTTATTTCCTGACTTTTAAATTTTGAATGTCCGGTTCCTATGCTAAGCTGTTGCTTATGTTAAGCTTTTTGTTTTGATGAACAATATTAGAGTGTTTATTGTGTCATTTTTTTTCTAATTCAGTGCACCGTTGACATCTACTCCTGTATGGGCACGAGACTTCAGCTCCTCTGAGGAGTTAATTACTGAATTTTGTAGGGAGTGCAGGATTGTTCGTAAAGGTAGTCTCTTTATTAATACATCTGCTGAGATGAGTCAGATGACTACTTTTGAACTTTAGACAACCAGAATGGTTTTTATGTCTGAGAGCACGCCAGTAGTTTCTCTCTCTGTAATAACAACTTTTCTATGCCTTTATGCTAGTCTATTGATTAATAATCTCTGTTCTGGAACACGTGCTTCGCAGGATTGGCTGGTGATTTGAAGAAAGCTATGAAAGATGGAAAGCCAATAATAATAGAGGTGTGGTTAAATTCCAAGCCATGGTGGATGTAAATGACATCGTAATTCAATTTTGTCTTAATTTTTTTTCTCTCTTTCTATCTCTTCCTTTGTCTTTCTTTTTCTTATGAAAAGATCTATGACCTGTGTCAAATATTTTGCCTGAAAAACCTCATATATGTCTAACGAATTCATCACTCAGTGCTCTATTTTGTGTTATAAAAGATTCTGCCCAAGTCTCAATTATCTTCTTGTTTGCCTGAACCTTTTCTTGAAGTGAAGATGAAAAAAATTGAGTATTTGTCTTAGATTGGTAAGTTACCTTTTCCTTGATCAATGGGGTGAATTCCACACAGATGGTAGGGCTTAAATATTGACGAGCCTTGCTGAAATGCATGCTGCAGAAGGAACTTTCTTGTTTTCGAGAGAGAGTGCTAATCTTGTCACTGTGTTGAATTTTGTGATGCTGAACAATAGAGAGGGACTGTTATTAGGTCGTATATGCGAATTATTTGGCTAAGAAATTTATGATGGCAATATGATGAGCATTAGCAAGCTTCTTGTCTGCTTAGTTTTTCTCACTCTCAGCTTGGACAATTTTGTTTTCTGTTGATGGTAATTGCAGGGAATACATTTGGATCCAAGCATTTATTTAATGGAAGATGAAAATAAAACACAAGCTCATGTGCAAGAGAAAATTCAAGAGGCAGAGTCCCTTGCAGCAGATGGTTCCAAAACACACATGGAAAACGATTCTCCAAGTATAAATGGAAATCCTTCTGAAGTTAGCAACAGTACTGCGCATGTCAGCTCTGATGAAGGGACACTGGTTAACAAGGTGAACGAAGTCTCAGATTGCCTGGAAGCTTTTGACCTAGCGGGAAGTGTTTCTGAGAATAAAGGTTAACCCCCATTGTGGACATTGCTCAGAATGTTTATGTTCTGTTCAACCACTCATATTTTTGTTTAGAAAGATACTTTATCAAAAGACATGCTGATGTCAGTTGCAACTGACATCTGCCAACAAGACACACAATATTTGTTGAAGTGAATAGTGGAGTTCAACCATTAAGATGTCAGTTCTCTAACTACTTTTGTAGTGCTGCAGGTGGAAGTCTTACTGGTCCAGAGATGGATAAAAGTACTTCTGTTAAGAAAGAGAAGTCTGGTCCTGAACCAGTAATTATACCTTTAGTTTTGAAGATGGCTGAATTTGATCATAAGGTGTTGTCACGTTCTCTTTCATGTGTATAGTTTTTGGTAGAAATTATCTTTTTCCCTGTCCTTTTTGTGCAAATGCATTGTGTTAAAGGCTTTGTCCTTATTCCTTTTCATAAGTAACTTGGCATTTATGCCTACAAGTAGTTGTGACAGCTATAGTTGTGTATGCACATCAATTAGCGTAGTGCCAATTTAAATGTACAATGAATAGTGGTGGCAAAAATCGGCAATACTAGTGCTGTTCCTGCTCTCCTCTCTGCATCATAGGCCTCTAAATCCTGAATTAGTTTCGTTAAGACACGCTTTATAAGACACGGTTTTGCGGGGAAAATAATGTATACGTTCTCATACTTTTCTCCTTGTGGCTTTGTAAAGAATTTCTTGAGTTTTTTCATGTTTTCTATTTAACTGCAAGATTATTGCTTTACGTTTACTGTTTATATGCTCAGATTTTCCCTCATCGTTTGTGTTATATTCTCAATCTTGACTTATTTTGTAATTTGTATACCTATACTCTCATTTGCAGGCATTACTAGAGGAGGGGATCTCGACTCGTACATTTAGTGATAAATGTATAGTCCAGGTATTCTGAGCTTCTTTCCTTCTCTTCTCATTTCCATTAGATCTTGAGAGTTTGTTACTTGATGAGGTTTTCAATTAGATTTGCTTTCTTCACTTCTTTTGTAATTAATTTACAAGTTACTTTTTTTCATTTCCAGGATAAAGATAAGCTAATAAGAAACTTAAAGACCATCCAGGACTATCTATGCTCATTCAATTCGCAGGTAAGTGCCTTCATGTCATTTGAATTTCATTTTATCTTTGAATTGGCTCATGGTTTATCGTTGGTTAGTTTTCTGTCATTTTATTCCAACAGGGTTTGACAGTTGTCAATATATCAGCAACCACATTCCCACAAACATTGGATTGGCTGCATGGATATCTTCTTGAGGTACTTCTGATGGATTTTTTTTAGTTTGTGTTGTCCTGGCATCCTTACTGCTGGTTAAACCTAGAAAATTTTGATGTTTATGGCCCAACTGATGGGTCCCAAGTGATATTACTTTACTATGTATTTATTCCATAAAATCTAATAGCCAGTGTGGCTGGAACAAGAGACAGCTCCCATGATCCTACGTCATGTTCGTAGTGGTTTTACTCACAGTTCCCTGTTGCATGACCCTCCCTTTATCCTACGTTGTGTTCTTAGTGATCTTACTCACCAGCCCATATAGCTATTTTATCTATTTCCCTGATAATGAAGTTCTTTATACAGTGCATTGAACGTGGCATTTCATCAGTATCCAACGAAAATAATAGGCGGCCTGTGGAAAAGTAGATTGCATTAAGATGCAGGTATGAGTTGGACTTCCATAATTTGATTTCTCTTTGACACATTATGGAACATAGATCACTCTTTATTATTTTTGTTTAATCTAAACATTACAAGGTAAAAGCACATGAAAGGTTTAGGTTGATTCAACTTTACATCATATCAATCATGTTTTGGACTGTTGCATCCTATTTTCAATCAATGCGATTCTCTAATTTGACTTGTGATATATGAATATCTTAAAGGGGGAAGATATGATAACATACGTAAAATAAAGAATCAAATTATTATGCTTATCACCAACTTTACATTCAATTTTTATTTCTCTGAAAAGTACTTTACATTCATTTGGTTCGTGCTTGATTTCATTCTTTTTATGAAATTTTCTGCTGTTTTTCTGAGGTTGGGTTTTTAGATTAATAACCCTTTGTTATGGTTCTCATAGAACTGAAGAAAAGAACCAGTTAGGGTTATGAAAGCAGCAACCGGCTTGATGTTAAGATCAGATGTGGGAAAACAAAATGGAGAACAAATACTTAGAAGAACCTTGCAGCAGCAGCAGCTTGTGAAACGAAGTTTTTACTTACATGGCATAATTTACAAAATTCGATCCTATTGGATTCCGCCGACTAATATCCGGCCTCATGTATTGCACCCAACACTTCTCTAAAATTCAGCCCTTCGATACGAGATACCAAATTATGGGGCACAGGAGAAACTTGCTGGCATGCAAACTCATTTAATAAATTGTTGTCTTCATAGTGTTCGTTTGTGTAACTTAAGAGAGCCCATCTAGGGTTTGTTCAAAACAAGATCATGATGTCCTTAACCACTTTTTGGATGTTCATCATAGAGTATAGGACCGCTTCAATTGTACGTGCACCTCCTTCATCTTTTCTGTATATATGAACAAGGGAGACGCAATAATATTTCTTGTCGATACTGTTGCTGCTGTTCATGAAATCCCACTAGAGTTCTCATCAAACTTTCTGTTGCTGCACTCAAAACATTTTTCCTCACTAATATTATTAATGATCGTGGTTATATTTTTTACCACATGTTGCCTCAATAGAGGCCAAGCTCCGAAACCATAGCAGGCAAGTCCACTTTTCAGCTTGCAATGGAAGGTTTGTAAATAAATAAAAATAAAAATCTAAACTAAACTAAAAACATTGATGTCTACATGTTCCAATGCCCACGTTCCTGCCACATCCCATTACAAATTAATACCAACAAAATTTTGTTCGGACATTCTGAATGGTTGGTATGAGTTTGTCATTTCAGGAATAATATATTAACAAGGCTGCATGGATCCTTGAAATCCTAGGTCATCAAGTTCTATATGTTTTTCCTCCGTTGAAATGCTCATCATTATCTTTTACGTAAAAGAGGTGGCCGATGCAAAGAGATGCTGATGGTAGATGTACATGCACTTAGCTTTGAGTGATTGCAAGGAAATATGGGTCGTAGAATCATCAACGCTTCCTCCAAATACGACTTTGTCAAGGTTCTTCATTTTCTTCCCATTTCTCCTCTGTTTGGTTCCCGAGAAAATCAGACTCGTAAATTTTTTGTTCTGTAAACAGGTGAAGGTGTGGTTGGGTGATCATGCCGAGCACTACTATGTTTTTTCCCGGTTTTTGCTCAGCCGAATGTTAACCGTCACTAAGGTCTCAATCCCACACAAACAAATTCAGCATTTTGATTCTTCTTGTATTAAGTGTCTGCCTCAATTCAATCTGTATTTCCTAATTACGTCATCGTATAATAATTTATTTTTTTTCAATTATGTTTTTCTTTATTTAATGAATTTTTGTGGTGGTGGTTCAGATCCCAAATCATGCAGCTGTCAAAATTGCTCTTGAGCTCAAGAAGCTGCTCGTAGACAACAGCCTTCTAGATGTGTATGCCGTCTCTTTTAGTCTAGCTACTTTTTTATTTTGGGATTTATTTTGTATATTGTTGTTTTTTGGGTTTCAGTTTCGTTTAGATTTTTATCAATGGTTTCACTTTGCATTGTTGTTGTGTTGCAGCTCGCAGTCTGATTTGGAAGCTAATATGTTTAAGGTAATGTCATGCTTCTGTCTGTACGTAGTTGTTGTTCTTGTACCACAAAAGAGGTGCACTTAGCAAACTTTCAAGATGCTGAAGAATTTATTTATTTTGTTACACATCTCTGTATTTGCAGCTTATGGAGCAAAGGGGTTATGGGGAGGAGTACGTAAATCATTACAAGATGATGACTAGGTCAGTCCAAATTCCTTGTAGGTAGTACCTAGAAATTGAATAGAACGAAGAACATGGTAACCCTTTTTTGCTGCATTTTATGGTAATACCTTACTTTCATTTTTCCTTCACTTTTGTGTTGGGGGTTCCCTAATTTCTTTCAGATTTCACCATCAAAGAGTGCCACTAATTATTCTTTTATGTGGAACTGCCTGCGTCGGAAAGTCCACCATAGCTACCCAAATTTCACAAAGGCTGAATTTGCCTAATGTCATGCAGGTCCTTTTTCTTCAATAAAATGCTATCTCCTTCCCTCCCTCTCCATGAAGTTTTATTTTATACAATTTGTGTTCTTTTAATGACTGTTGCAGACAGATGTAGTATATGAATTGCTGCGCACGTCCACAGAGTATGTCTCTCAATTTTATTTATTTCCTCAATTTTACATTTGAATATATGCTAAAAACATTGGTTCTTCTCTCCTTTAATCCAATTCAGTGCACCATTGGCATCTACTCCTGTGTGGGCACGAGACTTCAGCTCCTCCGAAGAGTTGATTACTGAATTTTGTAGGGAATGCAGGATTGTTCGTAAAGGTAGTCTCCTTCCTTGTTAATACATCTCTTCAGATGACAACTTTTGAAGATAACCGTTAGAGAATCAGAATATAGTTTTGAGGCCCGTGAGAGCATGTCCAGCAGTTTCTCTCTCTGCAAGAACAAAGTTTTGTCTGAATTTTTGCTGTTGATTTATAATCTCTGTCCGGTAACATGTGTTCCCCAGGATTGGCTGGTGACTTGAAGAAAGCACTCAAGGATGGAAAACCAATAATAATAGAGGTATTAGCAAGCATGTCATAATTGAGTTATTTGGCTAAAAAATGTAGGTAGCATTAGCAAGCTCTCTGTGCACTCAGTTCTCACTGTCAACTAGGATGATTTCCAATATTGTCTTTTAATGATAATCACAGGGAATGCATTTGGATCCGAACATTTATTTAATGGATTATGAAAATAAACCATCATCTCCTGTGGAAGAGAAAACTCTGGAGGCAAATGAGTGTGCCTGCACGGAAGAAGGGACAACAGCTAACAAGGTTAACAAAGTTTCAGACTACCTGGAAGCCATTGGCCTAGCAGGAAGTGTTTCTGAGATTAAAAGCGGTTAGCAGCTAAAGATATTTCTCAGAAAATTTATTTTATGTTTAACCAATATCAAACACATGGCAGTTGTGCAACTACTTTTTATGGTGGTTCTAGTAAAATTCTTTAGGGTCCATACAACCACAGGCACATTCACATAATGTTTGTTGAAGTGAAAGAGTTGAACCTTTAAGATATCACTACGCTAACTAATTTTGTGGCAGTGCAGGTGCAAGTCCTAAAGGTCCAGAGGAGCTTAAAAGTACTTCTGTTGAGAAAGAGAAGTCTGGTCCTGGACCAATAATTATACCTCTAGTTCTGAAGATGGCTGAATTTGATCATAATGTGTGTAATGTGTGATCACGTCCTCTATCACTTATATAAATTTTTGTACAAATTCTATTTTTCCCTGTCCTTGTTTTGTATGTGTGAGTTCGTTGGCTTTGGTCTTGGTTGCTTTAGGTTCCTTTTTGTTGTGCATCGTAGGCTTCCAAATCATTAAGATACACTTGATAACATATAGTTTTCATGAAAACATGAATACAACTTCTCACACTTTTCCTCATGGCTCTTGGTAAAGCAATTCTCGAGTTTTCTGGTGTTGCTGATGCAACTGCAAGATGATTGCTTTACTTTTATGGTTCTTATGTTCAGCCTTTCCCTCATTGTTTGTGTTGTCTTCTCAATTTTGCATCACTTTGTCTAACTACACTTCTTGTCTACAGACGTTACTAGAGGAGTGGTTCTCAACTTATACATTTAGCGATAAACTTCTAGGCCAGGTATTTACAATTGTATATTCTCTTGACTTGGATATAGGCTTATTTTTGCTTCTTCTTCTCATTTGAATAACATCCCAAGTGTTTGTTAACTGAGATAAGTTTTTAAAGTTAGAAACAATCCCCCCAACCTTCTTGTTTCCTTTTCTAGGACAGAGATAAGCTGATAAGCAACTTAAACACCATTCAGGACTATCTTTGCTCATTCAACTCCAAGGTATGCATGTGTCTTCATGTAATTTCCGGTTCCTTTTAATCTCTGAATTGGCTCTTGGTTTATCCTTGGTTATTTATTCTGCCATTTTCATTCCAACAGGGCTCGACAGTTCTCAATCTATCAGCAACTACATTCAACCCAACATTGGATTGGCTGCATGGCTATCTTCTTGAGGTACCTTTGATGAACATTTGAAAATTCATGCATTCCTTCCAAACTTTCTGCTTCTTAAACCTGGAAAACTTGGATGTTTATATGGTCAAATTAATCAGTCCCAAGCCAACCCAAACTGTGACAGCTACATAACTCAGTTCCAGGTTCCCTTGATCCTACAACACGTTCTTAGTGGTTTTATTCCACCGGCTCATATTGTTATCGTATCTCTTTCCAGCATATCGAGCAAGGCATTTCGCCGCTGTCCAATGACAATGTCAGGCGGCTTGTGGAAAATTAGACTGCATTCCATTCAGATGTTAGCCAGCTCAAAGCAGGCATGAGTATGATATCTTCTTTTTTTTTCTTCCTTGGCTTTTTCTTGTAACATAGGATAGCTGTGTATGTAATTAAGTTTCATTAATCCAATAATTACACAGAAGTGGAGAAAAGAGCCAATTTTGAAGGTTTCTCATTCAAAGCAGCAAATCGGTTTGGAGTTGGACGATAAAGATCAAAATGTATGCCAGAAAACAAAATGGAGAAGAACAAATCTTCAAAGGCTATTTCATATCCAGCATCTTGTAATGCAACCAACACTTGTCCAAAATCCAGTTCTTCAATTATGCTTATGAGAAGACCAAATGGCAGGATTTGGATTTGGAGAAACTGGGTGGCATTCAAAATCTGTAGGATAAATTGTGCTTAAAATCAGTCTTTGCATACTTTGTATTTAAAATTTTATATGGATTTTTTGGAGAAAAGTAGCTGGCATTCAAAATCTATTGGATAAATTCTACTTAAAATTAATCTTGGCACAATTTGTATTTAAAATTATAATATTTCATTGCAGATGAAACTTGATTGATTGCATACAATTATACAATAATGTAATGTAATGTAAAATGAATGAACTAAATCTCATCATCCCATAAGTCTTCAAGTGTCCTGTATGGGCTCGTGGTTTCATTCACAAGAGACTCTCCCCTCATGATCTTCCTTTCATCCAATCTGTCTATCTCCATGAGATCCCCGTCGTCCAATTTCAGATCAACGGCCCCAATGTTCTCCTTCATCCTTTCTGGATTAAAGCTTTTCACAATCACACTTGATCCCTTTGATAATCCCCATCTTAGGGCAACCTATAATATTAAGTAAAAAATCTAGTAAACATTTGAATTTTTTTTCAAAAAAAATTTTACATTTTAAAAATAAATGTAAAAACAAAAAAACTTTGGGTTTGCTATTTGATTGGATTTTATACCTGGGCTGGGGTTGCTTTGCGCTGGAGGGCAATGGACTTGATGATTGGGCTGTCCACCACAAGTGTTGATCCCCATGAATTCCCGGGCCCACCGAGTGGTGAATAAGCACTTACGTGGATATTGTGGTCCCCACATGCCCCTCGAAGTTTTGTTTGCCTCCACATTGGGTGCATTTCCACCTGTATATATAATGATTGATGGTGATGAGATGAAAGAAATGCATTAACATTGTTTCAATTGACTTTTCTATTTTTATTTTTTTTCAATAACAATTCATTCATGCCCCAAAGTTATAGAGAGGAAAAAAACAGAGATTACAAGAGTCGAAAAGGCCAATATATAAAAACAAAGAACAACAAGCGTATGAGAGTTCAAACTAAAAACCATTATAGTCTATAGATAAGTAAAAGTGAGTCTTTACTCTTCATAAAGTTATGAGATGTAATCAAAACTCAACACGTAGAATAATAAAATAGTAAAGGAATGACCCATTACCCATAGGGGGTTGGAAAAATTTTCATGCATTTTCAAACCTAACCTCATGAATTTGTAATTATTTTGACTAAAGCTGTTGGGGTTGCAGAATCCCTGATAAATTTTACCTGATTGACTGCTGGAGGCACAGAAGCAAAATCCAAAAGCTGCTCAATCTTTCTGGAGGAGAAGTTGCTTACACCAATGCACCTACACAACCCTAAGTCCAGACACTTCTCCATGCCAGCCCAGGCGGTCTCCAAGTCCAAATCTTCAAACTCATCTTCATTTGGAATGGGATTGCAAGCCCATGGCTTCAATTTCACTGGCCAGTGCACTAGGTACATGTCCAAGTGTTCCATGCCCATGCTCCTGCAACAATCAAATCAAATCAAATATTTTTATTATTCACACTTAGACTTACACTTAGATATTTGCATTAGTTTGTTTATTTCTTCTACAAAAGATATAGTATCTATCCATCTATCTACTTGCATGGATTTATTCTCAAAATCCTAGGCCATGGATTTTGTCTTCATTGATATCCTCATCCTCATTATCTTATCTTTTAGCTAAAAGAGGTGAGATCTCATCAAGAGAAGGGAGAAGAGATCCTGCTGATGTAAGAAGATCAAACCAGATTGTATTCGAATTCACATGCACTTTGAGTGATTGAAGGACATATGATATGGTATGGGTCCAAACTGAGTTGAATGTAACAAATATAAATATATTTTATATATAGTTAACAATGGCAGCAATGGTTGCTTTGCTTACTTGAGAGTCTGCTTCAGTCCTGAAACAGGGTCATGGTGATCACTTCCCCATAACTTTGATGTAACAAAAATGTCTTCTCTTTCGACTTTCCCATCGAGAATGGCCTCTGTCAAAGCGCTTCCTAGGGCTGGTTCAGAACCGTATATCTTTGCAGTGTCAAAATGCCTATAGCCCATCTGCATTACAAAATCATGCACTTTTAGAATATGCTCTCATTCATTTAGTACTTGATAAAAAGAATTGTACGGAGTGTACCTTGAGGGCCATATGGACGGCTTGCTGTGTTGTTTTCCTGTCGTTTTGGAAGGAATATGTGCCCAACCCAATGACAGGCATTGTTATTCCACAATTCAAGCGAACCTGATTGCTCTTCATCTCTCTCTCTCTCTCTCTCTCTCTCTCTCTCTCTCTCTCTCACTCTGTTTAGCCGCAATGCAATGTAATGCATATCAAAAATGGCACTCTGGTGCAGCTATATATATACAGAGAAGAACGTCCGTCACCAAAATGTCAACATTGTTAACTGCTTTCTTAAGACACTTCAACCCCATTCAATATTTAAAACAAAAATAAAGATTTAAAATTTATATAATTAACTTGTTTCTAATAAGTGATGATATGAAGACATTGAAATAGAATTATTGATTTGAAACAAACAAATCATGTCATGGGATTTTCCATGTCCCTAGGGATTTCATGAAATGGCCCAATACCCAATGGACAAGTATCTTAGAGCATCATTTTGGAACAAGATTTAGCTGTACATATAAAATATAATTAAGAAACAAATTATTTTTTGGAAGTATTTATACCAAAGTCAACTAGTCTCTGCCTTTGTGTCACCATCAAAGCAACCGTTGCTTCTCAGAACTACAGGTGTTACCTCCTCCTACCCTCTCTCTCTCTCTCTCTCTCTCTCTCTCTCTCTAGAGCAAGAATTGAAGACAGGCAAAATGCTTGAGCGTGCAAAATAATTATATTTTTTTAAAGGGTTTGTTGACTCCTAAACAATAAATAAATGAATTTAAGTAACTGGGTATTTGACATGCAAATTTGTCAATGCAATAAGTCAACGGAAATTGAAATTTTAACTCATTTATTTATTTATATAAGCATTGTTCTTCCTTAGTCTCCCCTGCTCTTAGTTGACATTGCTCCAAAGTCAAATGGAGGCACATTTGGACGGCTTTATTTTATTTAGTTATCAGTTCGTTGTTTAATATTGTAGTTTATGCAGTCTAATCTTTAAGCAACGAACCTGAATATAATTTTCTTCGCTTTGACAATTTTTTCCTATTTCACTTTCTTCACCCTTCAACATCAACTCTATTTTTAGAATTTACTACTCGAAGTAGCAGTACCAACTACCAAGTTGATTTATTATATAATATATTTCAAATCCTTTTTCCTGGGCAAATCAAAATCGGATGGAGCGAGGTGATTACAGGTATATTCAATCCCTTCCTTCCCTTCCCAAGATATTCATTTTGTTATAATAACTTCAGATTCTGGAGACATTCACTACAAGACATGTTGCATATTTTTGGAGCACCGCACCGCCACAACAAAGACGCGTAAGGATCCTAAAAATCCTGTCATGTGAAGCTCGGATTTTCTCATGTTCCTCTGTGATCTTGTAAAAGCCGCAACTCATTTTGTTTGTTTTTCTACGAGCATATAAATATAATCACAAATTAGTATTTTACGAATCTAAAAAGTAGGCAGCAATTACATTTACACTTTTTACATACGTGAAGGCTGGAAATTGTTTTTACATAATTAGCATTACAAAAACAGAAAAACAAGATGTTTTCCCCTACACATTTTTCACATAAATAAGCTTCACCAGAAAGGTCCATGTTGTAAACATCTGAAACAAAACAGAAAAGTTAGCAAGTTATAAGTCAAAGTTCATAGAAAAGCCATAAGACTACCAAAACGCAGCCTTATATTTCTATAGGAGCTACCAAAGTGAAAATGAACATGAAAAAATATACAATAGAAAGAATATATGGTAAGGAGGCTGGAGAGGTACCGAATTTGCATGATTCTCCAAAAATAACCAAAATCACTATTTCTGTTTAGCTGCAACAGTCCTCTGAACAGTTGAAACTCCATCCACAAATTTGGTCCGGAAAAGAACATTAGCATTGTTGAACATGCCTTCTTTCAGTGAAACCACAATAAACTGCAAAATGTGATGAGAACAAGGGGAGAGATGAAGACAGCTTGATTATAATTTATAAGACATCATTCATTCTTACTTAAACCCCATGCATAAAGCACCATTCTTATTTAAGCCCCATGTAAGAACTATGTTTCCCATAAAATGATTACAGCCAAAGTTTGGACCCTTTTAACGGTTCAAAATTCTTCAGAGGTTTCAATCAAAGTTTATCATGAAAAGAAACAAAAAATGCCTATGCAAATGAGAGAATCCACCAGACCTGGGAGTGTGGGAAATGAGTTTTGATCATTCTTCCAATATTCTGTGTGTGGCTTAGATCAAGAGCCGCATCAACCTGCAAATGAAGAGAATGTCATGCCGACAAAAATTACGTCTAAACAAATAGAGAGCAACATATGCCCTTAGAAACTCTATTGCAAGTACTATAAGCAGCCTACTACATTACTCCAAACGAAAAAGAACATAAAAGGAATTTAGTAATATGGAGTAGCTGGATTTATCATAAAGTAAGCACATCATAAAGTAAAAGTTAAGCAGACCTCATCCAGTATATAAAGTGGAGCTGGTTTGAAGAGAAGCAATGCCAAGATGAGAGAAAGTGCAAGCAGCGATCGTTGACCCCCACTCAGTTCTGACAAGGACTGTTTCCAAACACCACCAAATGCAACACGAACCTCAAGTCCATCTAGGAAGCTGCACCCTTCAGGAGGTTCAAGCTTTCCCATTGTGCCAGGCAAAAGTGTAGAAAAGATAGATCCAAAGTCACTGAAGGAAGAAAAATTTGGAAGTTGTAATGGAAGAAAGAACCAAGAGCATCATAAAAATAGAGAACTAAGTAGATGATTATAAAGTCAACTAAATTTCAAACCAGGTGATGACATAAAAGAAGACTTACTTGTTAACTTTTACCCAAGTAACTTTCAGTGTTTCCTTCTTTTTCTCATCCAGCTCTTCTATCACCTTCTTGATCTTAGACTTATCATTCTAGGAAAGGCGAACCTAGGGTAAGAAAAAGAAAGCTAAAATGGTATTTGGACAGATCAAGGGTAACCAACCTCAATGATGTTCTTCTTAGACATGAGATCGTTGTACTCATCTTCTGCTTTCTCAAACATTGCCATAACTTTCTTATTCACTCTTTTCTCAAGACTACAAAAGAAGGGGGAAAGTCATCTTTGCATCATGGAAGATACTAATAGCATAACTTTAAAAGTTTAGAAAATCTCAAAGTGAAAATACTTCAGTCTTAGAAGCAGACGATCAAATACAAAAAAGATGAAAAAGAAAATTCCAAGTCACAAACCCAGACTGTTGTGCCTGCAGTTTCTCAAGTTCTTCTCTTGCATTACGAGGATCTCGCAAGCCAAAATCATAATCAGTCCCAGTTTTACCAAATAGTTGTTTCTCGGATGCAATCCAGGCATGCTTCTCCATCAATTTGTCTACTTTCGTAGAGCAATCTTTCTGTTCCATTTCCATTCGTTTTACCTAGAAAAGAAAATCGAAAAGGAGGTTGGTTAGCATATAATGTTCTGGAGAACATATATAGAGGAAAATTAGAAAATTACCTCATTTTCCATTTTCTTCCGTTCAAGATTTGTCTCGCTAAGTTTATGTTGAAGTCTTTGCTGCTCCTTAAGAATGCCACTAATTTGGGAATCACAGTCCTTCATCTTCATCCGAATCGAATTAAGCTCAGATTGTGCCTGATCATGCATATTTCTTGTGGAAGCTACCTGCAAACGAGATGCATGCACCATTGAAAATTGTACACAAGAGAACTAGTCAAATCAAATATCAGTCTTTACCTTTTCTCTCTGCTCTTCTACTTCTGAAGTTAGGTTGTCAATTTGCGTTCTCAAAGAAGCTAACTGAGTCTCCAAAGATGCAAGTTCCTTTATAATAGCTTCCTTTTCCAAAATAAGCTTCTCTTTTTCATTTTCATGCCCCTAGCAGTGAGTAAAACCATGCCAAACAAAAGTTAAAGAGCTACTGCGGAATCAGGCGGATATTTTTACAAACTCAGCAACTAAAATAATCTGAGCAGTTGTCTATAAAAATTAGCTACAAGATCACTTCTGAATAACATGAACATCCTACAGAACTCCCAGGCTTACATGACATTCCTCCAGTTTTTATGTGGTTTCAAGTTTTAACATTGACAGACCCTGCCTCTCAAGTTTATATAATGGAAAGAGAATGAAAGATAATGGTTATATCATGAAGTAAACTAAAAATAAACTACAAATTAGCTTGAAACCTCAAGGGAGGAGTAATATAGTTAGAAAACCTCATGTGTGGACAATCCTTATATTACAAGTCAGCAATATCAAACTCTACCTTGAGATTCTTTGAAGCTGATTGCATTTGAGCTTTTGTTTCTTTAATCTTCTTTTCAAAATCTTTGAGCCGTCCCTCCCGGCTATTATCATTATCTTTGATTGATTTCTCAAGCACTAACACTTTATTCACACAATCTTCATAAAGAAGCTGCTTTTCTTTAGCTGCAGATTGCGCTTCCTGAAGCTCCTGCTCAATCCTTTTTACTAATTCACCAAGCTAGGTAGCACCAAAAAATAATTATACATCAAATGATTGCATGAACCAATAAAGGAAATTGCAGAATAAATATGTGCTCCGTATGCCCAGATAAAGAGAGAACTGGAAACCTTATGATGCTCATTTTGCTCAGCCCTGCCCTGAAATAACGAAAGGTCATACGATTTAAGTTCTAACTGTGCTTTAAGGTCCATGAACTTCTTCTGAAGAGGCAGAAGCTCTGTAATCTGCAATTTAAGAATCGACAAAAATATAAATGAAATATGTAACAAGATCAACTCATGTACAAATGCTTCCAATTCCCAAGGAAATGCAGAAACAGCCACAAAAACACAGTATTAATGTATTGAGTTGCAATTAAGAAGGGCCTGACTATCACAAAAGTTCATCTATTCTTATGCAGAGAAAGAAAAAAAATATGTTCATGATCAACCTTAGCTTCGATTTCAGTCAATCTTCTCTGGTGCACAGAAAGTTTTTGTTCAGTCTCAGCCAGCTCGTGAAGTTGCCTTAACAGATCACCCCCACCCCTGTGACAGTAAATTGTTGCTTTAGAAGGCTGACTAAATAGATATAGACATAATCACTTGAAAGCGTTTTTTAGTTTTTCTAAAAGAAATGTTAGCTTTTAGTTACTCAGTGGAGCATTAAAAATGATTAAGAAGACAATGATAAGTTTGGAACATTAGTCAGGAAAATGTTAACAATAGCAATGTTTTGAGAGAAAGAGGAATAAAGCATAAAATATATCCATGTAGAGACCAATTCGAACTAAGGATGAAAAACCAACACTGACTTACTTGCGGCTTCCACCAGTCAAAAGGCCACTAGGCTGAAAGATATCACCTTCAAGAGTGACACTTGGGGTGCGAATTTCCCTGTTAAAAGCAACCTAGAAAACATTCAAGAAGATGCAGAATGTGTCATGCACCCTTCTAAATATAGATTTGAATGGTTTAGAAGTACATATTATAGAATCAGGCTACATCAAATCAAACTTCTGCATGCCAAAAGATTCAGCATAAACGGGCAAAACTTCAGAATAAGCCATCTTCAAAGCAGGCACAAAAGCCACAACTTGAATTGCTCTGTTCTAGAAATGTTACATGAACAAATTAGCAAAGTTGGTCCTACCTCCTTTGCAGCATCAATGCTTTTGCAAACAAAGGTTGAACCAAAAACGAATTCCATAGCACTCTGCAATAAACATTGAATTTAGTTAAAAAGCGCAATATAAATTCCAAAAGTCTGTTGCTTGTGTCTGCACAATATCCCAAAAGACAAAGAAAGAAGCCTACAACAAATTCCAAGCACCCATAATTGTCTAAGTACAGAGAAACCGGATGAAAGAACTCTACACTCCCTAATATATGTATTAAAAAATAAAATCAGGTTTAAATTTTATATGGGCTTGCTCGATGCATACTCTTAACTCCTCATCATAACCAACCAAAGAAAGTGCCAGTTCTGCATTCTCCTTGCCAACCTGAAATTGAAATCAAGGTTTTCAGCAAATGCTCTACACGGCACGTAAAAGAGGGCGGGGTGTATTGGTAGAGAAACTAACCAATTTAACAGCAGCATGTTGAACCCTAGGATGAACAGTATAAGGTTGTATTTTGTTCAAAGGTATAATTGTTACTCTTCTTCGAAGGTTTCCATTCTGAAGAAGTTGTTTTCCAGTACTCTCTGTGTCTACAACAACATTAAACAGCTTTCCACCAGCAGTAACCTGCAAATTTATTAATGTAAGAGTTGATACATGACCTAATTCATGAAATGAAATTATGTGTAATAATTCACCCCTGACCTCTAAGGCAGTCATCGTGGAGCAATCCTTCACTTTGATAAGTCTTGCAACTACACCCTTGACCTTGGACCTATCAAAATTCTTCTCAGGATCCCGATATGTGAAGTCAACATTTGCTAATTGACCAGAAAGATTTCGCATTTCATCCTTCAACTTCTGCACCTGCTCCAACTCAGATGCACGATCCTGAAGAAATATACATTTACAGAAATAAGAGCCAAATTGAGATGACAAACTATTTAGGTGCAGAGCGAATGATCAAACAGAAACCATGCTAACCTTTTGTAATGCTTCCATCTGGCCCTCCTTATATGGAAGAGACTCCTGTGCCATTTTAACATTTACCAGATCTTCTTTTCTAGCAGTAAGCTCCCTCTCTACGGCAACAGCTTCTTCACGCTTTGACATTAGCTGATTATTTTTCTCTTTCAACTCCCTTTGACAGTGGCTTATTTTTGTTTTCAACTGTTTCAACTCTGTTTCAGCACTCCCAACAGCTATTTTGGCATCACCCAATTGATCTTCAAGGCATTTCTCATCATTTCCACTACTCTTTCCAGCTAGTATGCCCTAAACATAGATTTCTTGAATTAATCACCCTAATCACAGTGACAAATACTTTGGTTTGCAGACAACTGTATTCATTAACATTGGCAATATTAAGTAGAAAACCAACATAGAATACAAATCTTACCTGGTACTCCTTTTCATACTCATTCAGACTCTGAGAAAGTTCCCCTGCTCTCTTTTTCAAATCAGCCGCACCTTCATCAGCTTTTTTTATCGCGAAGTCCGTCTCTTTTGCAGACTGCTTCATGTCTTCAATATTGCTGACAATCTGCCAACATCAAGATGCAAATGCTATAATTATTCAATTGTTAAGCCAAGGAATATACGAATAACTATATAGCAAACTTGAAGAGCTCAATAGAATAAGAAGAATGCAGTGAATCATAGAATATAACCATTTACCTTTTCAGCATTTTCCTTTTCAGTCCCCAGAGTGTCCTCCTTATTATTCAGTACAGACACTTCCCTCACAAGATTTTGAGAAAGCGCATCTACTTTGTCAGACAAAGTTTTTACTTCTCCACCCATTCTAGCCTCCTTTTCAGCTGTTAACTTAGACACTTGTGCTTCCATTTCTTGTATTTCTGCCTGCGTCTTTCTCGTATCATCGTCGACCTCAGAAATTCTGGCCTTCACCTGCTCCACCTCACACACTGCACTGTCTCTAATCCTCTCCGCTTGAACATATTCATATGCAATGCAAAACCTTTTAAGCCGATCCAAGTCAGCATTTCCATTAGCCCATTGCATGTACTGTGTCCTTTCTCTCCTCAACTTGTCCAAGGCAGGCAGTATCTCCTGGTCAAGAAGCTTATTGATCTCATCGACTTTGCTCTGTTTCTTCTCAAGTGTCTTCAAAGCCGCCTCTTTCTTGGTCTCATACATTCTTGTCCCAGCAGCCTCTTCAAGCATGGACAGAATCTCGGGGGGTTTCATATTTAAAACCTTGGTAATGCGCCCTTGCATTATAAGAAAATGCGGGTTGTTAACATTGAGCTGCACCGAATGAAAAAGGTTCTGGACCTGACTAGGCTGCGCAAGTTTTCCATTGATCAAGTACTTGTTCCTTCCACCAACCACAATCTATAAAGCAAAGCAATAGTTTCTTATCACATACTTAGCAATTAACTCCATTTTGAACCCAAAAAATAAAAATTCGGATACAATTCGATAAATACAAAGGCGATTATAATCACTCGAGCAAATTATCATTAAATCCAACACTAATGACAGTCAAGGAAAGAAATTTTTACGCAAGAAAACCCAAAATTGAACGCCAAAAAGAGACCCAATTACCGAAACCCGGCAAATGACTTACCTGACGGGTGACTGTGATTTCGGGATGGGCCTCGTAGCCGAGGGGACTGCGGGAGCGGTCGGAATTGTCGAAGACGATGGAGACGGTGGCCTTTGTAATGCCGGCCTGGCCTTGCTTGTAGACGAGCTCTTGGAGATTGGCAGCCCGGACTTGCTGCAAATTTGTGATGCCCAAGACGAAGCAGATGGAGTCGAGGATGTTGGATTTGCCCGACCCGTTGAGACCCGTTATGGCGTTGAAAAACGGGTCGAACCCGGGCACCACCGTCCTCGTCGCGTACGACTTGAACCCCTCCAAGCATACCTCCTTGATGTACATTTCTGAGCTTTTCCAATTTCAAAGGAGAGTGTACGTACAGTGTGAGAGATTGAAAACCCTAGAGGAGGAGCTTCTGCTTCTCTTCCTTTCCTTTCCTCTGAAACACTCTGAACTCAAAAGTTTCGAATTTCAACACGCGGCACGTGCAAGGCGGGAAAACTACTCTAGCTTCGATTCAAGAGAACTCAAAAGGAAATTGGGCCTTTATTTTAGCTCTTGGGCTATACCAAAACGGCGCCGTCCCTGAAATTAGTAACTACAGAACATGGGCAAAAGCCCAACTGAGAGGTAAATTATTGATCCATTTTATGATTCTTTTTTTTTGGTCGAAATGTTTTTGTGCTCTATTATCACTTTACAGAACCAATCCTCGCATTTGTGGTCGTCATTTTCATTTTCACATTCTATATATGAAAATTTACCTTTGTTCAATTTTACAACAAAAATTGATTGCATATATATACATGTCAATTGTCATAGACATGAAAAATTACAAGCATCAAAAATGCCATTTTGGTCTTACTTCCTCTTCCTTCTCAGTCAACTCCCTATACTGATACCATTCTGCTCCAGACTTACCCACCGGCAATGGGGGCCTAACAAATATTTCGACTGGCTTCGGGACATGCACGGCTAAATGCAGTTCTCCTGCAGTTGCTTCCGTTCTGGAATCGGAACTTGTCGATGATTTGCAAAGGGGTTCAACAGTGATCCATCCTAAACCTGATATGGCCACGTCACAGGCCGGCCTGCGTGAACAGAGAAGATAAGAAACTTTCATATTGGCTGACCAAAATAATCATGCGTGAATTCGGCATTTACACAGGACCAAAATCAAATAACAAATGTTGAAAGAGGTAATGTTAAGAGCATGAACAATGCACCTCTCCACATCTTCAATTTTTATTTGCAACTGACGCTCAGTTTCAAGTCCTCTCCATTCATCTGCTCTTTGTTTTCCAGTTGGAGGTGTTAACAGAACTCCAAGTTCTTTCTGCAACATGTCAAAAAAATCCCACGTCATTCATATAGAATGTATCATATATGTAAGAGAAATATGCATACACGGTCCAAGAAGGTAGCTTTCAAAATATTTCGAATGCCTGCTTTACTTATAAAAATATTACAAAATATGATTAATCTCAAGTGAGACCATGGTTTACCTGGTAAAACTCATCTGCCTTGTCAGAAGGTACCATATGAATCTGAAGACTCTTTGGCCCGTAAAATGTCAATCGTGTTTCAGGGAGAACCTGAAATTATCAACAGTTTGATCGGTCAGGAAAGACCATCCATAATGAGACTGATAAAGTCAATATATGTGAAACTACTCAAAACCTTCAAGACATCTACTCTGACAAGACCTCCCCAGAATATTGAATAGCCATTCAAACCATTGGAATTGTCATTCCCTGCTGTTCCATTTCCAGAGGACACCTGAGAATTCTGGTTAAGAATAACCAAAAGTCACTAACTAGAAGATACCAACAGATAAACTAATAAAAGGATACAAATACAGGGTAAGAATGACCCCCTAAGCTGACAACATACAGGAAAAGATTGACCCCTTAGCCGACTTTGAGGAGCAAGGGCAGGTAGATCTTCTGAATGAACCACTGCTGCTTGCCTATGGTGGAGATGAACTCCAGGTGTGTCATATAATTTCTGCATGAAATAGAAGATTATTATGCTAGATTTGAAAAGTTCTTGATAAATAAAGATACTGTGGCATACCCCTCCTCCTAGGAAAGCATTAATTTGAATTGGACCTAAGGTAGTTCCTGGAACTGCAGATTGTATTGGTTTGTACTTTTGCGCTGATGCAGCAACTGGATCGTTTTCTGCCATCATTTCTGGTATCACACAAATAATAAAAAGTCAAGTAAAAGGAAGAACAACTCATTTAGTAAATGAAACACTGGTTAATTATCTTTCTGAAATAGAACTGTATCTAACTTTAATCTTGAATAAGCTACATGCCTACCAAAGGCAACAAAACACAGAATGAATGTCATTAACTTACTCAGCAAAGCACTGATGAATGCTGATTTCCCTACATTTGCTGAGCCCTATAGAAACAAGTGTAATGTGAACTATCAAATATGAAAAGATAAATATACATGCATATATTTCTCAAATAATGAAAAATATTATTTTTGATAAATTAGAGCAGAGTAAAAGACTAGCAGTAATTAAAACCAACGGATAATCAATAGATAATGAAAAAGAACGACAACTGTTTTCCCTCTTGTTACATGTATTATGTACACAATTTTTTTTATTTTTTATTTTGGTCAAAGTATTATGTACACAATTGTTCAGGTTTCAAAATGCTTTAGAATCACTTGACAACAGCACATACTGAGTACTAGATGCATTAAGTAAACTTCTAGTTAAGAGACTAACCAGAACAAAAACGTCCCGCCCCTGCACCAAAAAACAGCCAATGAATTCAGGTTGAAATAAATTTAAATGATACACATTTATATTTTGTTTCATAGAATGGCAAGTAAAAAATAGGTCATCCTATTTACTCAGCTAGCTTTAATTTCTGATATCAATTAGTCCGATTAATTAACTTCACACATGCACATGCACATGCGCACAAGCACAAAAAGAGAAGTAAGAACCTTCTTCTCCTTTTGGATCTCTGATGCAACTCCAGTTACTCCAACCAAAGACTTCGAACTTGTAAGATGAACACTTATAACACTGCAAATAATAGAGTCTTAGAAGTATAATTCAAGCTTCAATTTTAGTAACCACCATTTTAAATAACTCAAACTAAATAGAGCCCTAATCCCAACTACACGGGACCAGTTTGCATGAATTCCTTTCTCATCAAGAATTCCAGGAAACTCTTTAGATTGATAATATTATCCATAAATAAAAGCATAGCCAAGGAAACCAATCTTACTTAAGCTTCTTCTTTGCAGTGGCCTCTACAACCCAATCACCAATACAATTAAAATCAGTCCCTTTGGGAAGTAAATCAACCTGATATTAGAAAGTATAATCAATAGAAAAGTCGCTTACATCAATATCACATTAAATAAGCACCAACAGGCAGTTTAATACCTTAGTAATCACTAATATTATAGGATTTGCACCAGCCAAATCACGCACACGAGCCAAAAAGCTACCATTGAAATCCACAATATCAACCTATACACGAGTAACCGATTAAGATATAGAATTTAACATTCCTCAAGGCAACTCACTTACTTCACAGCAACGCAAAGTTAGAAAGTAGTTTACCAATTTAACTATCAATGCTCTCTCATGGCGCAGGTGTGCCAGCTTCTCCCGAAGCTGTTCAGCCATAATGAACTGTTTCCCGCCAGAATAGCCCCCATTCCCGCCAACAGCAGTTATCATGTGCCCATGAGACAGAAGCTTGCACCTTCCGCATATAACGGTTTTAAGCTGGTGGTGTTTCTTCTTCTGCGCATTTACATTTGGTAAGCAAAAGCAAAACATGAGCATCTGGAACTCAAGTAAACATCAGTAAAAGCATTTTGGAATCGGAAGTGCTTTTCTTGCTTTGAAATGCAATAACTAAAATTTAACTTAAATACCAACAGCAAAATTACAACCCAATTCAGTAAAAGCACTTTGGACCTGGAAGTGCTTTTCTTTCTTTGAAATGCAAGAACTAAACTTTAACTTAAAACGCCGACAGCAAAATTACAACCCAATTCGGTAGCCAAAAAGAATTAAAATCCCATTGTCAAAACAAATTAAATTAAAGTCCTACATGAATAATTTATACCAATGCGTAGGTCTCGGGGTCCGAATAACCCGGAGCATCAGGCTCCGAAGTCTGTAACGGAGCTCCACACCCATAACAACAAGCGACGTTCGTAGAAACCTTCATGGGCTTCTCTTTCTTCTTCTTCTTTTTCTCTTTGAGTAGGACCTTCGCAGCCTCAAAGGAACGGTGTCGTTCGAGGAACCGGTCGCCTGGGGTCGGTGCGGCCGCTCCGGTGCCGTCGGGTTCGGGTGGGAGATCCAATGATTGGGTCTCTGAAACGGTTGCTTTCTGATGGGTCTTTTGTGGCTGTGAAAATCTGCAGAGTATGAGAGTGGATTTCGAGTGAAGATTGAGAAGCTTGGTATTTGGGATCGTTAGGTGGTAGGGTAGAGTGAAAGGTGAGAGGAAAGATGAGAGGGTTTTAGGCGCCATTGCTGTTAATGTGGAATTGGACTTGTTTTGATAATATTTGTGTTTTTTGTACGTTTAGATTGCACATGAGAGCAATCGTCGCCGTTCATTTTCTAATTTCTGTTATTAGCCGTTAAATTATATATACGTAACAAAAATCAAATGAATTAATCGAAAAAGAGACAAGTTTCTTGTGAGATTAATCAAATAGGACTTTATTAGAATGATCTATTCTAATAAGATGTATTATTTTGGACCGATTAATGGAATCTTTATTATGTTAATTTTGAAAATTGCAATGAGTTTGTAATTCAACTAGTAAAACGAGGTGTTTTAATTTCTACATACTCTAGATCACGTTTGCGTTTGAAAAAGAAAAATTAAGATTTCTGAAAAAACTAATAAAAATTTTAGTCTTACATAACAAACAAACTACAAATGTTACAGAAGAAACAAGAATTAATGACTAATGCTAATAACAAGAGACATTATCATACTAGAATCTGCCCTAATGGTTTAATTTCAGAAGACCCCAACTCCCTCTCTAACTCCTGTAGGAGAATCTGGAACTTGGGTAGGGAACACCACATTGTCATACAGAAGTCCAGCAACTGCAGCACCAATCAAAGGTCCTACCCAGTACACAGCTTGGTTCTTGAAGCTACCGGCAACGACTGCAGACCCAAATGCACAAGCCGGGTTCATGGATCCACCAGAAAATGGCCCAGTTGCCAGGACATTGGCTCCGGCCATCAACCCAATTGCCAGGGGCCCAATGCCCCCAACCGCACCATTTCTAGGATCACCAGCAGCATAAACTGTGTAAACCAACCCAAATGTAAGCACACCTTCCAAAACTGATGCCCCAAAACCTGTCATTTCTTCCGTAATTGCATATGCTGGAACATGCTGCATAATCCCCATAAAAAAACCCCAAAAAAGAAAATTGTTTAAGTTAAAACTTGTTAAGATCCTGCATTTATAAAAACCCAATAGACTAAAACATACTAGAATTGTAGCTATGTGAAAGAAAAAAAGTACCTGCCCAACGACAGTCACTTTCAATAGAAGGCAAGCCATGACAGAGGCCACCATTTGAGAAATCCAATAGCAGATGGCATTGGGGACACTAATGTGTCCCCCCACGGCCATGCCAAAGGTGACAGCCGGGTTCACATGGCCGCCGGAGGCGTTGGCTGCGATGTACACAGCCGAGGCCAATGCAAAGGCATTGGCGATGGCAACCACCACCAGACTAGCTGGGTCTGATGCAGCATCTGGCATCAACTTTCCTGCCAGTGCCATACAACAAAAGCAAACATATTAATGGGTACAAATTAAAGTAACAACAACAGTAGCAACATTTCCCATCAAACTGTTAAAAATTAAGAGACTGGTACGTCCAAATTTCATGCTTCCATTAATGCTTCTAGTGTAACAGACCAAACAATATACCTCAAGTTACAAGTTAGAACACAATAAATTGAAAATCCTCCGTTAAAAACTGACAGAACAAAACTCTTTAGAAAGAGAGAAAAGAGAATGACTCACTGGAGGACATCATAGAGCCCACAACAGCAAACACAAAGAAGAAGGTTGAGATAAACTCTGCAAGATAAGATCGAAGAGCATTGGGAGTAATTGCTTGCTGAAATCGAGCGGTTAGTGCAATCCTAGCCATTTTGCCAGAAAATCAGTCAAATCAAATGTTAGAGAGAAACAATGGATTTCACTTTCAGGGTTGGTTTTAAGTAAACGAAACTAAAAACAGAAATGAATGGAAGCAAGCAGTTAATGCAAATTTGCTCTGTGCAGGAGGAGTTATTTATATATTCAACCAAGAAATGCAACGTTTTGGTGAAGGGTTGTGTTGTGAAGGTTATACAATTCAAAAAGAAAAAAGGAAAAAAAGGGTTAACCGCCAAGCCACGTAGGTCATGTCTATGTGTGTGATTGGGAGGACATGGGTGAATTGCGGTTTATATCGTTGTACACTTTCGTAATGGTCTTCTTAATTTTTTGGGTGGAAATTATCTTCTTAATTTGTTTATCTATACTGAGCTATTTACTTAATTTCGTTGGTTTGTTTTGCACAATTTATATACTAGCCTTTCTGCTCGCGCTTTCTTCTTAATAAAACTGCGCGACTTAAAATACTTTTATTTTTTTTGCAATTGCTAATAACCAAAATTTTAAAAGACATGAAAACATGAGTCTTATTGCACTTAAACTCGATCAACGACATTTATAAAGATAAAAAGAATCAAAATGAAGGCTCTCAAGATCTTAAAATCGAAAGCAGCACACAATCTTCAAGAACTCCAAACACTCAGCAAACGAGGCCTGCCTCTTAGGTCTCTTTCTGCTACACCTCAATTCCATTTCCCTCCTCGTGTACTGCTCTAGCACATCATCTCTATACATAAATTCCTCCATGTCATATTTCCCGAAAAGGAAATCTCCCATCCCATTCTTCAGTGGCACTGCTGCGTCACTAGAAGAAGCAGGCACCACCAAAGACACAGAAGAAAGATGAGAAGGTGGTGGGTTTTCCATTATGGCTTGCTCTGTGCACCCATCACATAAAGAAACTTGCCTAGCCATAGAAGAAACGGTATAAATAGATTGATTTGCTTGTATGTAAAGGTAATTTGTATTTTAATTACCATAGGAGTCTGAAATTGCCAGCTAGAAGAGAGATCAATAAAACGCGGCGAAACCCGTTAATTAGTATTAATTTGTGATTATCCACTTTATGATGACATGGCGAGTTGTTTTTAGCAGAGATACGATACAATAATTACCACTAGGAAACAAGTGGGAAACTTCCGCGTAAATTATACCAAAGTAAAAACAAACAAGAAGAAGATGAATTAGAAGAGAACCCAGGAAACAGAGCCCTCTTTCAACTTTCTCAGTGGATTGATTCATTTGTGGTTCTGCTATTGGGCAGGGTAGTACGGCCCGTTTGGTTCACGGAATAAATTTGAGGGGAGATCACTTCCTATGTTATTTTCTGAGAGATGAGAAATATAAAATTTATTTTTCACGTTTAGTAATGTCGGGAAAATAACCGAAAGATTTCACTTTGTTTCCTTTTCTATGTTTGTTTTGAGTATGAATGGAAGACTAAGTTTGTATAATTTTCCAAGAGTTTTTCTATTTAAACCCCACACTTCTCTTTGTTGACCTAAACTTCTAATTCAAATTTTCACAATTTCTTAAAAAACCCCACTATATTCTCAAACTACACTCAAATTAAGTATAATTTACACACACCCCATACACCCCACTTAACCCTCAGATTGATCCAATAATTTATTAAGTTCTCATTTCGTCAGTTTTCTAGTTGTCCCAATTCAGTTGCAAAAGAACTCACTTTTACAAACCCCACAATTTCTGATAAATTTGGAAAAAAGGCGTTGGAATCCACTTTCCATACCCCATAGAACAATTCCGGAATCCAAAGGGTACAGCCAATAAGGTAATAGCGAGATGGGCAGTAGGCGTTTTGAGGAGATGTCAAGGAATCAAGTAAATGCTAATATCGTGACTTATAATGCATTGATATTGGGACTCTGCAAGGAGGGTAGAACAAAGAAAGCTGCATATGTTGTTAAAGAACTTGATAGAAAGCGCTTTGTCCCATATGCCTAAACCTTTTCTGCCCTTATTGAGGGGCAATGTGTGAAAAAGAACTCGAACCATGCATTTGTTAATTATTTTGATTTAACTCCCGTTCTCTTGAGCCGTGCACTTGAGCTTGTTCCCAGTGAAGTGTGTAGAGGTGTATGTATAAATGTACTAAAGTTAAGTATTAAGTTGAATGACCTTTTTTGTCTTTTTACATAATAATAAACTTAACAGCTTTCTGATTTAAGTATTGAGGTGAACAAAGAGAAGTGTATATTTTAAATAGAAAAACTTTTTTCCAATTATACCTATATTAAATCAAATAAAAAAAGAATGCATTTAATAATACATTGTAATTCTAAATTATTCATGAAGGAATAAAATGATCATGAAAAATGTGCATTGAATGTCAACTCATTTTCTTAAACTTTCTCATGATGAGGGAAAACAAAACCCAAATTCAGAAGAGGGCTTTACTTACCCCTTTACTTTCTCATGTGCTAGACAACCATTTCCCATGCCCAGATTTACCAAACATAAAAAAATAATTGATTTTCCATTCACAAACCTCCTTTTCCATTAACCAAATGGGACCTACATATCCTGGACATTTAAAAAAAGAAAAAAAAACCGTCCTCGTGGGCTTCTTGTAGCTAGTGCATCATCTTCCGGAAATAAAAAACTTCGAAAAGGTAAAAAGGAGACGGCAAATATATTTCATCAGCTGTATACTGAAGCAATAAGCTGTAAAACTGGAAAGGGAGAGCTTTTTAAAATTGCATGTCTCCAGTACGCGCTGCAATGAAACCGGGAGATCAAACTCTATATAGACTGAGGTTTATATAGTTTAATGACTTCTCGTGTATGTGATTCAACCATTTTACAACAATGACGAGCTCACACACATAAAGCCCCTGGGTGCTTAAATTTTACAATGCCTGCATTTCCATATTGGTATGCCCGTTGTTGTCAGCAGAGGATGGTGCAGCAGAGTCCTGGTCGTTGTCATCAGCAGGCTTCATTTGTTGAACAGGGGGAGGGTTGACGACGGTCATTGGCATCACAGCGTCGTCCGATAGGCGGCCCTTCATCTCCCTGTGCTCCTGGCACAAGGCACACCAGTGTAAGCAGCAGTGGGTCAAGCACGGGTCACATGGCGAGTTCTGCAGTCAACAAGACAGCTTAGCATTGAGCATCATTCGGTTAAGAAACATATCTTCCACAGGACATCAATTACAGAAATGGAGAAGAAATAAGATTACCTTCAGATGATATTTTTTCTGTAAGGATTGGCGAACAAGTCCTGTGTATACCCCACACATCCACCAAGAAAATAACAGACCCTCACAAATAAGGAACGAAGTCTTTGGGTCAACCCCATAGAAGATTGCAGTTCCTGCTGCCAGAGCGATGCCACCTTCAATAAAAATGGCATGACAAATGCATGGTCTCGTCCAAGGGATATCGTCTCTTAAGCTTTCAACATTATGCCCAAACAGAACACATGGACAAAAGAGCCCTGACAAGCCTGAAGATGTGAAGAAACACAAAATTATCAGTAGACTACTTTCGTGTTGCAGTAAAACCAATTATTGGAACCAGTCTTAATAAGGAGTAGTAAGAGCAAGGGAGTTCGTGCTTATCCATCACAAGGACATGGTCAATTAATTGAATGGGCATAAACATCCTACTTAATAAAATGTAATAAGAGAATGTGGAACGGTGCATTGTAAGAGTTATAGAGTAACATATTTCAAAGTTTAACAAATAAGTGAAAAAACCCTATTGTGCAGGCTTGCTTATGTTTCTAAGCCACGCTTGAGAGACATGAAATCCCTCTAAAGAGAAGGTATCTAATTAAAATAATAAAAAAACAAAGATAAGCATAAGCTTCATACCATATCACAGTACAAGAGATGAAAAGCAAGTTCCCATATCAACTTACAACTTTCTCTATCCTCGGCACAGCCAAAAATTCCAGTTGTCCAAGGTTCATCTGCAGGGGGCTGATAGCTTTCAGGTAAAGGTTGTCCACATTCGTTACACCTGTGAACATTCAACTGCCCCATAATACACCGGATTAGTTGGTGTTTACTAATTTTTTTGTAGAAACTCATTAGCATCTACCCCATAAATCCACAATATAAATGTAATTTGTAACCATATTCAAGTTGTAGCCAGAACCATATAGTCGCCTTTTTATTTGGAAATCACACGCATCCTCGATCTATATAGGCAAGCAGGTTAAAGAATGCAATATGATAAACTTATAAGTTAACAGAATTTCAGATCCGGCCAGTTATTTAACGTACCAAAGATTGACAATGATACAGAGGTTTTAACTATGATTTCAAAAATCTGATTTGCAAAGCTCCCCACAAAACGTAGAAAGGGCATTAGAAACATATGAGGTCACTGAAAAAATACGAAAATCCCAAAAATTATTTACTATAAGAAACAACACAAATCAGCTAATTTTTTCTTTAAATTTATAAGGCATATCCTAAGTTTTAACGAAAATGCAATTCATATATAGGAAAATAAATTCATATCAGTAACAGATATTTCAGAGCAAAACTATAGATATAATTAGCAAAAATTATGAAAAATCAGACAAGAGAAAGCGCGAGAAACCTGAGGAACTTCGATGGGCTGATTGAGCTCCCCAGGCTTAATGTCATCCACAGGCGCTTGATCTTTCGTCAGCTTCACATAACGCGAGTGCCCAGTTCCATCCGCCATCTGATCTGATCTCTGGCACCGCTCTCTCTCTGTTTGGTTGCTGAGAAAATGCAAGGAAAGTGTGCTCGGAAGCGGGGAAAATTGGCTATATAAACTCTCTCTAGTTTATCATATTACGCGAGTCAACTTTATCTTTCAGTCTGTCTTGACGCTTTAAAGAACTCATCTTCGAGTCTTTCTTACATTAGTCATTTCCGCTTTAGACGGTTAATTTACACGTGGATCACCGCCATGTATATCAACGCTTTTCTCCGTCGTTTAGATAGTACGACTTGTCGTTTTCCACCGACAGCCTTGGTTACATACGACATGTCGTTTTTGCAGCCATCATATGAGACATTTAGCTTGAGAGTAATGTGCTCCATCGTTACTAGACCAATCCCAAACATTTCCTTATTATCTCAACGTAAAATCAAATTTGAGCAATGCAAAGCATCATTTAATAATGTTTCTTCATTAAATTATAATTTAAATGAAGGGTTCGTGATGATCTTAGATAGAAAGTAGAAGATATAAAAGGTCGATTTGGTTCAGGGTTTAGAAGTTCAGAATGGTATGAATCTAATTTACAGAAAAGCAAATTCAAACTTGGTTGCAAGTGAACGAACTTACTACTGTGACCAATTGGTAACCTTGTTTTACACATTTTCTCTCTCTTATAGGCAACTCAACAAAACCAAAATCCGAACCCACGATATGGAAGTGCCATGTTTTTAGACATCTCCTTGGTAAATTTCTCCAAAGGCCAGTGATATGGAAAGAGAAACAAACAATGCTAATCATATACCTTCAATAATGTTTCATAATCAGAGCAAACCGTAGGCATAGCAATTGTAATAGTCAGTCCTACTTTGGTATATATTTGAACAACGGGGAGGCCCAAATGGACAAACTTGACTTGAATGAAAATTAGCCAGGGCATGAAGAAAGCTTTGTTGATAAATTGAAACATCTAAAACCATTCATAGACATAATTAAACTCGTGTAACTAGTAATGATGCACATAAGCACTTCTTAAGCCAATGAGATTAATTACTTCATCAACATGGGTTTTCTAGAAACCTCATGAGGGCCAGTTTCTGTACCAACCAGCCCAAGCAGAGACTAGCCCACTGATCCCAAGAGTCACAGTGTGGTTGCAGAAGGGGTTAGGCTCAATATCCGCCACTGCAATGAACAAGTCTGCAACATTAGCTGCAACTGCCATTAACCTCATCACTCTATCACTCCTAATCTTTCTCAAACTCTCAATCTTCTTGTCTCTGGACTTGTTGTCCTCCAAAGCACCAAGCTTTCTCTCTGCCTCTAGCCCCTCCTTCAATGCAATGAAATCAGATATGATGAAGAAGATATATCCAAACGACTCACCAAAGGCTGATATAAAACTCATCTTCCTGGCCAAATTTGGGTTCAGGGTTCCAATTCTAGAGAGCCAAAGAAAGTGGTCAAAAAAGAAGTAGACCATTTCCCCTGCATTAGCAAGAACAGCAAGGAACCGAAGGGTAGGCGTGGAGCCAGGGCTTCTTCTCAATGCATTGAATCCTGTGAGAAACCGGCCGGTTCGAAAAGCCTTCCGGCTTAGGCCAGAGGCAACTTCCCACTGCTTTGCTCTTTGAGCAATTTCTGGGTTTTTAGCCTCAACATGCCAGTGGACAAGCTTAGAGACATATTGGAAGGTCTTAACAAGCTTGTCAATGCCATCTCTCTTTGCTAGGAAGATGACCAGTTTGTCCACTGTATCATTATTCATGATTGAAAATTGTGAGAAGAGAGGGTTTGGTTTGGTTGTGGTTGATGAAGAAGTAAGAATTGTCGTTGGTTGATCAGAGAATTTGGGTTAGATTACTAGAACAAACAAAACCAAGGAGCACCACAAAATTAGTTGCAGGATTTTGGATAATAGCACATATATGCTTGTGGCTGGACCTTGCTATGCACCTTGCTACCAGTAGTTTTTGTGTCATCTCTTCTGTTTTGTTTGTATAATTTTCCAACTCTAGGCCTTCTTGTCTTTAGCAGAGACAACAGTCCAGTCCTTGTCACCCCAACACAAGACTCCAAGATTAGTCTCCACCTTTACATTTCCATAATTTTCTCTCCTTCATCTGATGCATCAGAATTGTGTACCCATAATTGTTCCTCAAGTCCCATGCACTCCCCATGATTTTATGTCCCTCTGCAGAATTTTATCCAAGGGGTTCTGATTTCTTAGTTGAATAATTTAATTAAAACATAACCCTAAATATTGTTTTTAAAATTTGGCTCAAGTGATGTGGGATGTGTAGCAACTAGCTTCACAACTTATAAATGTGTTGATATGTTTTTCAATTATTTATATCTTAATAATATAGGCTATTATTTCAGTGCAAGTATTAACTAAAATAAATGTGTTATAAGATGAATTAACTGTAACGGCCCATGTCACGGTCACAGTGAAGAACCAAGTTATTACCAGTAGTACCCTCCACATATACCACCACCACCTCCAAACTTACCCCTTTCTCCTCTCTCTTTCTCTCTCTGTCTTTCTCAGATTGTTCTAGTCCTTCCTTGGTGAGCAAAACCCTAGATGGCCTAAAAGCAATAGGACCAATTTCACTGCCCAGTCCTCACCACCCTCACCGATTCCTCTGGTGCAAACCCTTCTGAATTTATTCTCTCCAACCCAAACGAGTCTAATTTTTATCTTTCTTAATTTCAAATCACCACTTCGCCATAGTCATGGACGCTCAGAGAGCTCTGCTAGATGAACTTATGGGCGCAGGTATTTCCTATAAACCCTAGTTAATCGTTGCTTTGCTACCTACCTATTTGTTTTTGTTTCCTCGGGCAATTGGATGTTATGATTTGGTAAATTTGGATTTGTTTGAAAAAGATAACTGTTCTAATGGGTTTTGATTATTTGATTTGATAATTTTTTTGTTAGTCTTGCTTTAAATTAACTTTTATTGATTTTGAGTACTGGTTTCTGGTGAATTCCAGCTCGGAACTTGACGGAGGAAGAGAGAAAGGGGTACAAGGAAATTACTTGGGATGATAAGGAGGTCTGTGGAGCCTATATGGTTCGATTTTGTCCTCACGATCTGTTCATCAATACCCGAAGTGATCTAGGTGAGTTGCAATTAAAATTCTTGTTGAAATTGACTCGTTTTAAACTGTGTTTTTTTTTGCTGAGGAAATACGGGAAAGAAAATAAGACCCAATGCTTAAATGATGATTAGAAATCTCAATTTCTTTTGAATCATATACTTCATTTGTGTTTGCACAGTGCATGGTTTCACTGACTGTAATTTTTTGTTTTTGAATCAGGCCCCTGCCCTAAAATTCATGACCCAAAGTTGAAAGAAAGGTGATTAAGTGAACATTTAATACAGTGTATAATTTTTCATTCCGGAAATGTTATTGAGGTTTCACATTGTGCTTTCTACAGTGTTTTTGTGTGCATTCAGTTTTGATGCAATCAAAAGGGGGTCATTTGTGTTTGTTCGTTAAATGTTTTGTCATGATTTTATTGAAAGCTACACGTCATTTTGTAAAGTTGAGCACGCTTAACTCGCAATACTTACAACTGATGATCATTTTTCTGCTTCTGCTGTAAGATTGTTGCTTATCTTGTCTTCGTATGAATAAGTTAGCTGCTTTATATGTGTGATGTAGGGTGTAGGATGAAACTTTGATATGCCTTACATGGTATGCTAAGCGGTTGCTGGTTTTTTCTTTTTGAGGTAACTGATTTAAACATTTTGATAAGATCTTTCCGAGAAGGGAAGAGGAATCTATCAATTTCCAAGTCAGAAATTACTAAGTAGTAGGACAGGATATAGAGTGATATGTTTGATTAGTGATGACCTGCTGGATTAGATCATTCATATGCTTGGACCATTAGATCATTCATATATGCTTATTGCCATAATTATTGATTTTGGGAGACAATTACAACATGCTTGACAGTTCAGCTAAAAGCAGTCGGTGATGATCTACTTTTTTCCCCCCAAGGGGTTCTGTTCCTAGTGATTGGACCTTTTGTCAGCTGATTTCTTTCGTTTTTCTTACCTCTATACTGTTGGCAAATAGATATTTTTGCATGAATTATCGGAGGAAAGGGTATATAATTGCTATCTTTACGAGTCTAAGAAGAATGTCTGGATGGTTTTGGTGAAACTCGAACTTCTATTTTCGACCTTAGGTGATGGTCAGGGGTCATTTAATGCATTCTCCCTTTTCTTTAGTTTAAGAACTTACTGCATTTCAGGTATATCATAATTTTAATATCAAAATTCAAGGCACCAGAAGACTACAGATTGTCCAGTTTTTTTTTCACTCCTCTGATCATGTCCTCCAGCTCAAAACCTGTTGCTTTTTTACTTTTGTTTACAGCCTTTTCTTTTTTCTTTTTTCCCCCGCTTTCAGGATGTGACTATACTTTCTATTTTAATTCTTCATGTCATTGATTTTAGTTTTGAGGAGTCCCCAAGGCATGATGCATATGTGCCCAAGTTTGAAGCTGAACTAGCTCAGTTTTGTGAGAAATTGGTATGTTACACATCTCCTGTTGGTCTTCATGATCTCTATTTTTTTTTTCACCTATATTTATTGGTCATATACTACTTGCATTGCAGGTGATGGATTTAGATAGAAGAGTAAAGCGTGGGCGAGAACGCCTTGCTCAGGAGGTTGAACCTGCACCGGCACCTCCACTGTCAGCGGAAAAGTCTGAACAGTTATCTGTTCTGGAGGAAAAGATAAAGAACTTGCTGGAACAAGTTGAGACCCTTGGTGAAGCTGGAAAGGTGGATGAAGCTGAAGCACTCATGAGAAAGGTGCTGCTATTATATCCTGAGTTTTTCTAGTTTCCTATATTGCAAATGATTTTTCCAGAAAGTTTACACACTGCCCCACAATGTTTATTATTGTGCATACCTTTTTTTGGATTCTCTATCATACAATTACAGGTACATGAAAGTTGACTTTGATTTATTTAAAATTTCTTTTGGCAGGTGGATATGCTTAATTCTGAGAAGACAGCCTTGGCTCAACACCCTCAGAATGATAAAGTGTTAATGCTTGCACAGGAGAAAAAAATGGCACTCTGCGAGATATGTGGTTCATTTCTTGTGGCCAATGATGCTTTAGAGAGGACTCAGTCTCATGTTACAGGGAAGCAGCATATTGGTTATGGCATGGTCCGAGATTTTATCGCTGAGTACAAGGTGAGTTCCCTTTGAATGGTGAAATACCGAGGCTAAGGGAAAAAGTCATTTCTTTCTCAGAGATTTCAATACATGGACTTTATTTTCAGGAAACTAAGGAGAAGGCAAGAGAAGAAGAAAGGTTAGCAAGGGAGAAAGAAGCAGAAGAACGGAGGAAACAGAGGGAGAAGGAAAATGAGAGTAGAAGGAGAAGTAATTCAAGTGATAGGGACAGGTATCGTGATAGGGATCGTGACAGGGAGCGGGACAGATATCGAGAACGCGATTCAGATCGTGAAAGGTCTAGAGAGTGGAATGGCAGAGGTAGTCGGGATGGAGGGAGAGGGGCGGATTGGAGGTCCAGGAATGGAAGAGATGGGGGCAGGGATAGGTACCGTGATCGAAGCAGGTCACGTTCCCCTGTTAGACATAGTCACAGGAGGTCACCTAGAAGTCCAGTTCGCCCATATTAATGAATTGTGTAGATAGATGTCTGAGCTTTGAAATTTTTTGAGGTAGATTTTCATATCTCTAAGGTTTTATGAACATGTTCATTTGGAGTCTTAATTAAATTTTCATCATGGGAGAAACTCTTTTGCTATCTCACAGCTTTGTTGAGACTATACCGTCTCCCTTTCATCAATATTATAAGCGGAGAAAAGGGTTGAGGTAGGTATTATTCTAATATTGTAACTCATTTTAAAATTCATTTTAGACTTGAATGAGGTAAATTTAATTTCTGTATGAAACTTCTCTGAGACAATTGTTTTCAGAGTCTCACATCCCCATTTGTTGGGAAGTCATTGTTGGCTACTTTCTGTGTTGTCACATATTTAAGACGTCAGACCCGAAAATGAATGCATGATTGATCCACCGCAGCTGGAAGATGATGGTTTTTAATCATTTTTGAGGTAACATATTTATCGTCTATATATCATTGCCAACCGATACAATATTTCCTTCCTTTCTTTCCTCCGTCTTCTATCTGGTTTTCAGTTTTAACCGCTCAATTGCAATCGGTGCTTGTTTGCTATATGTTTACCTTGGGGGGAGAAGATACCAATCATGAGATGTGGATTATGTGCCACATGTTGCTCTCAAGGTATATTTTAGGGGACTCTCCATGCTTACTAGAAAATGGTCTGATTTTTCACCCTTGTAATGGTTTCTAATTTTCAAAAGGCTCATTAGTTTTCCCTCATTTCACCCTTCCCCTTTTAGCTTAGCATTTCGAAATTTAATATTAGAACTGGTGCAAGCATTACTTTTTAATTTTAATAATTGGCAGTGAGAGCAAAAATGCCAATCATTTTTAAGTCGTGGTAAATCTGTAAATTACATTATCATGTGAAATAGGTAGCTTTGGAATCTACTACAGTGGACTGGGATGCAAGGTGTTCCCGTCTTTTGCAATATAAGATTGCAGTTAATCGGTCGATGGAGGTAACTGCCAATCATAATCCGCAGATTAGTTTATTTCTTTTTATAGTTTGCAGGAAGGAAAGGGGGCAGATTAATTTGGTGAAACATGACGCTTAGATTTGGGGGCCGTCAATATTTTCTCATGGCAAGCAATGGTTTGTGCAGGGCAACCTTATATTCATCTTGCCGAACTACTTTAAGAGTGGACAAATTGAATTCCCTTCGCTGACGGGCATCTCATATATTCTTTATCACCTTTGACTCGTTGTAATCTTTACGATATTGTTTTAATGACATGCATCAAGGAGTAGTGTTTATGGTGCACATATGACATGCTTTTCTGATAATAAGATTATTATGGCGTGGTTTGACCTAAAATGAAAAAGCCCTTTCAGTGATCAAGAAAATACATGATGAGATTTTGCAACGAAGAAATAAATTTTTTATTCTGATTTCTCAACGTGAACGGACAGAATGCCGTTGTGTGAAAACAGGCTCTTTAATGGAACGCAAACTACAAAATATATACATATATATTGCAAAATGTTGAAAACCCAGAATGATGGATGCTTTAATTATCACTTCTGATGCAAAAAACATAAATTCAAATTATTTCTACTAGATAAGGTAAAATTTCCATGGCACGTGAAAGTATCCCACTTTTTTTTTCACCATGGCGTATAGTTTTTGTGAAGGACAAGGAGTATAATAGGTACAAAATGAAAGAAATCAAAAAAAATTCCGAGACAAAGATGACTATTCTAGATTCAAACGCCGCATCTTACATACAAGGTTTGCAGTTGGAAGATCAAGCTGATTTCCTGAATCTGACTTGAGAAGATCTTTGACCTGGTCTCTTGGGGTTGAAAGGCAGGTGTGAAATGTGGCAAGGACCGGAGGAATTGGCATTGACAAGGCAGAAAGAACATTACTTAGATACTCAATGTCAACAGATAACTGTTGCGATCCTCGATCCGTGATGTACTGAATCCCTCGCAGTTGCTCCATGTAAAGAGCAGTGGCACCTTCTGCGACCTTCATACAGAGAGACAGCATTATTATAAATTAGAGCATGGGATTAAAATTTTGATAAAAGAATGCCACTAGGATTAAAATTTCCAAACATCTATGAACTTCTCAAGCACTTCTTTTAACCATAACAGAGGATCTCCAAAAGAAGGAAAACCTTATTGACTACCAGATCATTTCACCAATGGGATGCCCGAAACTCCAACAAATTCTATCTATTATTTGGAGTTACTACAAAATATTGTAGATGGAGGTTGGTACCTTGAACATCCATTCTGTTGCAAAAAACTGGGCTTCATCATTGTTAGCATCACTGTTGGAGATACCCTCCGCAAGAGGCTCCAACTGCTGTGGTAAAGTAAGAAGATATTCACCAATGCTAGTTACATAGGCCTGAGGGTAAGCACTGAAGGTTGGGAGATGGTAAGCACTTTGTTCTTCAACTGAGGACCATATTGGCAACCGAGAAACATCACTGAGGCGTTGTCGTACTTTAGAGATAAGAACATCATATACAAGTTCATTAACTGTGTCAGCAAATGCGGCAACTCTCTGAGACGCAAGTGGAAGTGCATGAAACCGGGGATCTTTAGACTGCAACGAAAGGAAATGTCAATATTATACAGACCCAAAGAAACAATGCTCCATTTTCTTAAATTAAATGGAGAGGGAGAGAACAAGACGACTGAAATGTTAAATCTAATCACACCTGATTTAAAAGGTTAAAGAGTTTTCGAGCCTTCTCAGGAACATCAATGAGCCGCACAGCTGCCACATCCAAGGCAGCCCTTCCACCCAAAGAAGGTTCCCCATTTCCGTCATCACTAGGAACATGTGACAGGTTTTGGTCCACACTTGAACCAAAAACTGAAACAGAGAGAGTTGTGCTTAATCTAGCAAGAGTAGCTCTCAGAGAAGCTTCAAATACAGAGGATCTGCTAGTTAGACAATCTGCAACTGTGAGGATTTGCAGAGCACCTTGCACAATGGACCACTCCTCCTCATTTGAAATCGAATCAACTCTACGTGCACTTTGGCCATCCTTCTTATCCAATCCCACCTCCTTCTTTGAACCAAGACCATCACTACCATGATCCACTCCACAGACAACTCTTAATGATTTCAGGGTTTCTTGCAAGGTAGAAATATACTGTAACATTATATCATCAATTGCAAGAATTAGCTCATCTGCCTCAGAACCTCCAGTCAAGCTGATGCATCTCTCAACGGCTGCTTCAAGAAGTACAATTACTTGGGGAATGGATTCCTCCATTCTGCGAACTGTTTCACTAAGTTCAATTCCCTGAGCTCCCACACCACGAGTAACAGCACCCCTTAGATCCACCCCAGCAATCTCAGCAGAAAGTATAGCTCGCTCCATCTGTCCATACCTAAAATATATGTTTCATCATTGATAAACTAATAAGAAAAACCCACAATTTAAAATACAACAGCATATCCAGTATTTTGGAAAGACAGAAATCAAATGCTGATCCAAATTAAAACAAATGCAAGTAAGAAAAGAAAACCAGCTTCTCTTGCTCCCAAGGCAACTCTAAACAAAAGTGGGATGCCAGGCCTGAATGACCACTTCAAATTTGGATCTTTCTTACCTCTGTTTAAATGATTCATATGGAAGATACACTGCCTTTAGCGTATCCATTAAAACACGGAGATCAGATTCTGAAAACAAGTGCTGAATATTCCTTGCAAAGGTCTGGGTCATGTTGTGTAATTCAATCAAAGCCTCCAGATGCTTTGTCTGGATCTTGATACCCTTTGGCATATCACCCGAGAGAATATCTAATATACCTGCCGATATAAAGTAAGGAATGTGAGATATGATAATCAAGAATTAATCCAGAGAGAGAGAGAGAGAGAGAGAGAGAGAGAGAGAGAGAGAGAGAGAGAGAATCAGTACAAGTTTTGAGTGAAGAAAAGTTGGTAACGGAACAACATGGAAATGAAATTCCAAGTTACCCATTCTCATACACAACAAACAAATGGAATGATCAAGCAGAATAAGTCTCTGATCATATCATGTAAAACAACACATCTAATACTAACAAAAAATAAAGTCAAATGCAAACCTTTTGCTAATGATTTTGTTTCAGGAATAACATCTCCGGTCGCAAGGTTGATACGAGAAACAAAACTAGCCCCAACAGCTGCCATTGTCTCAACTAGCAGCTTTGGAACAAGAGATTTATAATCCTCAGGAAAGGCAACCGTACACCTGTACACAGCAGTTAAAGCTAACTTTTGTATTCCATGGCTGAAAAATAAAATTCTATAACATCATCATAAATCCATCCTGAATTTTCCTTTTTGTGCTTTACAGGGATACAAATATCAAACTTTTATTAACATACTGTAAAGGTCACAATAGGGAACATGAATATGCAGAAGCCTAGAAAATGTGCCTTGTCACCAATCATGTGACAGTTTGCACTGAGAATTATATATGAATTCAATTTCCCATCATAACACATTAATAATTTTTTATTATGTAAGCACTTCCACAACAAACAGGATAACAAAACCATTTTTATTATAATGATCAGATGAAGTATCAAAACTTTAATTGGAACATATATCAGATGAAGTATCATCAAAGAATTCATCAACTTGGGAAATATGAAGTTACTGTTTTTAACCCTGAACTAAAGACTCTCCGAATCTAAAAGTCTGGGAATCAAAGAGTGAGAAGAGTACCACTTCCATTCTTGTTCAAGATAAAGTAGCAGCTCATCATAGAAATTTGGAAGCCAGCTGGAGAAAAGAATTGTGGGAGCAGTTGATTGAGATTCACTAGTAGTGGATAGCCTTTCAACTTGAGATTTCTCAGTAGCAAGCTTATTAGGCGGTGGTTGTTTTGAGTCAAAATCTTCCCAGAGCTGCTTTATGGGCTTTAGGTGAACTTTTGTATAATGTAATTCCATGGACTTGAATCTCCCAATTCGAATGAGAATTCCACGCAAATCTTGAGCAATGTCAACCTGCAAATACATGTACCAATTATCATGTTCATCACGAGTCTAGATGAAAAAGGATATTTGTTGGGAAATAATAGAAAGCAAGCAATTGATTCAGAAAAAGTTGTGAATTGTGACCTTGCGATTGGATATTGCATCTGTTAGACGTGGTTGCACCATTGAATCAAGCTTATCCTCTAAGACCTCAAGTTGCTTCCTTATGTTAGCAAATTCAGCAACCTAAAATCATGGGTTTTATTATTGATATCTTTCAATTCCACCAAATCTATCAAATTTGCAAACCAAGGTGGTATTGAATTAACTATAAAAACCAAATCTTTCAAAACATAATAAGCATTACCTCCCCAACAGCAGATAAACAATGCCTCATGCTGGCTAAATGTTCAGCAGCGAGAGGAAGATCACCACTAGCAAACACGTCCTCCACGGTTGCACTCAGTTGAGTTAACCCAGCAGCATCCTGCAATGTCTTATATGCAGCTTCCATCCTCTGCTTCACTATATCAACTTTCGCAAGCGCCGCTATAGACTCAGCTGAGGATCCCTCTGCCTGCACAATGCACATGATTGATCATTCAATTTCCAAACCGCCGTCCAATTTTCCCACGTTTTTCAGCAACCAAACAGAATTGAACACAAAAGTGGTTGGTGCTTACCTTCTTGAGCTTGTCGAGGATGGAGGAGACGGCCGAGCGGAGTGTGACGGCGTCGTCCCGGAGGCGAACGACGTCACGTGTGGCACGTGGGACGCGGAGGAGGGAGGAGGCGCTCTGCTCCTCGAGCGAAGCTGCGATCTCCTCCGACACCATCTGGAGCTTCATCTCGAGATCCACCAGGTGCTTGTCGACTGAGTCCTGTGGGTGCCGACTTTGACACGCCGAGTTCACCCACTTCTTCGGGTCGAAGTTCGGGTCTGTGAACGGACCCAGATCCAGCATCATGCTTGCCCAGTTCACTGAATCGGGTCCGGATCGGACTGGTCGAATCGGTTTCAAGTCTCGGCTCCAAAATGCCAACTGCCAATTTCAAGCTCGGAAGTTACTTCATGCGATGTCTACTGATCGAATCCTCGAGGAGCTGAAGAAGATGAACGAAGAAGAAAATCGGAACGAGACTAGCACGTGTACCGTTACAAGCGGCACCGTCTTAAAGTTTAAATATGGACAAAAGTACTATTGTCCTCATAGTTTGGTAAAACCATTTTTAACCATGTAGTTTTAATTTTGTCAATTTTAATTCAGTAATTTCATATTTGTGGCATTTAAGGACAAATTAATATTTTCGTCAGCGGCCATGCCCAAGAGACGTTGTTGCGCTAGCCACCACTCCCACATCCTCGATAGCCACCGCAACCACCATGGTGAGAGTTGGATGGACCGCCAACACGAGATGGGTTGGAGGAGTAGCCTCTGCCATTGGTGGGAGATTGGGTCACCATGAGGGCTATGGTTTGACTAGTGGAGGAACGAGAAGTTTGGGCTTCAAACGTTAATAGATGAGCACATATATAAGGAAATACAGGGAGAGGAAGATAATTAAGGAGAGCAGTGACCAACATCTTGTAATCGGGACCTAAACCCCGTAGAACAGCAAGGACAAGATCTTTGGCAGTTGCGGGTTCGTTGATGACAACAAGGGCATCGACAAAAGACTTGACATGGCGAAGGTATTCATCAATGGATTGAGAGCCTCCCACATGCTTCTCGAGAAAATCACTTAAAAGTAATTTTAAGTTATTTTAGAAAAAAACGGCTCTCTCATGTGCTTCTCCATAAAAACCAATCCTAAATATGTAAGTTGTAACCCACATATTGCTCAAATCTATGTCAGGCGGGTTGACCCAGTTGAGAGTGGTGGGCCTAGCGGATCATCCATTATAATGACGTAGTACCCAGGGTATTTATAAGAATTATATGAGGCCAGAAAGTTGGTCCCAAAAAAAAACATATGAAGCCCCAAAGAATGAGATCCAAAACAGCCTAGAAAACACCGAAACTAAAACGAAGTTGTATGAGGCGGGATGGGATCCGCTGTCCCCATTTTCCATGTCCCTCCGTGTCCCTTGTATAATTTTTTGACATGTGTCTAACAAACCCTAACATAACACTTGTTAACTAATAAATTAGAAAAATAAAAACTAAACATTAAAAGAATAAATATAACCAAACACCTCACCCGCCACAACCCCTTGTCCTCCTCACTGCAGACGAGCCCTCTCCCCTTGTCGTGATCCAGGCCCGGTTCGTGAACCTCCCGGTTTTCGTCGGATTACTAAAGAAGGCCGAGGAAGAGTTCGGGTTCGGGTGCAGCGGAGGCCTCGTGTTGCCTTGCGAGGTTGGGTTTTTCAAAGAGATCTTGAGATTTCTCGAGAGGGATGAGAGCAAATTTGGACGGCTGGGAATGGAAGAGTTCTTGAAGATGGTTTCTGAAGTTGGTTTTGATTCTTGCAAGGAATTGGCGTCCAATGCTGCTGCTAATTCCTCTTGCCATGCCTTCACTCCTCTGTTGCAGAAAGCAAGGGCCTGAGGTGAAGTGTTCTAGATCTTCTCAGCAATGTTAGGCTCTAAATCTGAACATCTCTAATGCCTTTGGTTTTTTTGGGAAAAGGTTTTTAGCTATGCTTCCAATTAATAGTGATTAGGAAATTGTATATGGTGGTGGGCACTGGGCAGCCAAAATGTGATGCCATCCTTGAAAACCCATCTTGAAATTGTAGTTGTTGAACTTCTCCTTTTTGTTTTTTTGTTTTTTGTTTTTTTTGTGTTTTCCTTCTCTTTTTGAAGCATCAAGTTGTTTCAATGATGCTGTTAGTTGATGATGATGAAATCTTAGGAATTGTGTTAGCAAGAAATTGAAATTTTCTTTGGAATTAATGGGAGAGGGCTCGTCTGCAGTGAGGAGGACAAGGGGTTGTGGCGGGTGAGGTGGTGGGCGCTCAAACTGGTGGCTGTTTGGTTATATTTATTATTTTAATGTTTAGTTTTTATTTTTTCTAATTTATTAGTTAACAGTGTTTTTGGGAGTAGAAAAGTTTGTGTATAAATAGGGGTGGGGGTGGTGTGAGCTCTCTTGTAATCAAATCAAAGCCCAACGAAACGAGCATCCAACTTGGATTTCTTCTGGTTTTTACTTATAAAACAAAAAACCAAAAGTGTTGTTGCAGATTCGGATCTGTGAATTCAGGTATATTGTGTCACTGAGAAACTATTGGATTTATGTATTCATATTTTTAGGGTTCTTAATTATATATGCAAAGTCAATTTTTAGGATTAAATTATTTCTCTAAACTGATTTGTTTGTGTACTTTCCCAACACAGATTTTTCACTCCATTCTTCTCCTCTGCTACCAGTTCTCTCCCATCTCCATTATCAAGAATCAAGGTGTTTCTTTTATGCTCTCCGTCATTTACTTTTTCTAGATGTAGAAGTTATCATTTTCGAACTCTCATTTTTGTACGTATCTGATTTTGCTCTCTGTTATCAATTCTCTCCCCTCTTCATCTATGGTTGAAGTGCTCTGTTTAGTTTCCTTGATCTATTTTCTCATTTTGATCATCATTTTGTTGTAAAATGGCCCCAGTCTTCCGTTTTTCAGCTTTTAAGGAACTCCTGCTCGACCTCCTCGGCTAACTCTGGTTCTTTCGAAGATGACCTTGATTTGAAAAGGTAAGACTTCCCCTTCCAGGGTGACCCCATTTGCCCGAGCCCTAATCGAGGAATGGCAATCTTTTTTCAGCCTGGCCTTGTCTCTTCTCTCTTATTATCATTTTGTTTTTTCTCTTTTTTCTGCAGCTTTCCTTCTAAGCTCTGTTTGATTTGATTTTTCTATATATTTCTTGATTATTCTTTTGATTTTGTTTTCTTGAGTGCTGTCTTCATATATAACTTCATTACTTAGTTTAGTTTATATTAAAATTTGGCAAAATAGTTCAACTCCAAATTGGGGGCAAAAGCTCAAGAATCAAGATGGGTAAGATTAAAAAAAGAAGAGCACGTCTTTTGTATAGCAGAAAACTAAAATGGTTGTCAGTTTTACATTAGATTAACATTTACTTGAATTAATACTTAATTATTGTGTCTGATTTTTGCTAATCAATTACTATTAGAGTGGCTGACTGTTCATTTGTTTTTCACAGAGAAAATGAGCAACAAGAACAAGTGTGAGGACTCGGAGAGCCTCTCTTTCGAGATTATAGAATTGGTCAAACACTTCCGACAAGTTCATATGAAGTTCCTATGCAATATCTGTTGTACGGTATATGAGAACTATAATGGGTTAAAATCCCATTATGGATCTTTTCATCTTTTAATCTTCCCGTGCAGCAGACATTGCATAGGAACTTCCTATGAACTTGTCGGAAGTGTTTGGCCAATTCTATAATCTCGAAAGAGAGGCTCTCCGAGTCCCCACACATGTCACACTTGTTCTTGTTGCTCATTTTCTCTGTGAAAAACAAATGAACAGTCAGTCACTCTAATGGTAATTGATTAGCAAAAATTAGACACTTATTCTTTTTAATCTTCCCCATCCTGATTCTTGAGCTTTTGCCCCCAATTTGGAGTTGAACTATTTTGCCAAATTTTAATAGAAACTAAACTAAGTAATGAAGTTATGACAGCACTCAAGAAAACAAAATCAAAAGAATAGTCAAGAAATATATAGAAAAATCAAATCAAACAGAGCTTAGAAAGAAAGCTGCAGAAAAAAGAGAGAGAAACAAAATGATAATCAGAGAGAAGAGACAAGGCCATGCCGAAACAAGATTGCCATTCCTCAATTAGGGCTCGGGCAAATGGGGTCACCCTGGAAGGGGAAGTCTTACCTTTTCAAATCAAGGTCGTCTTCGAAAGAACCAGAGTTAGCCGAGGAGCTCGAGCAAGAGTTCCTTAAAAGCTGAAAAGACTGGAGCCATTTTACAACAAAATGAGAAAATAGATCCAAGGAAACAAACAGAGCACTTCAACCATAAGAGGGGAGAGAATTGATAACAGAGAGCAAAATCATATACCTACAAAAATGAGAGTTCGAAAATGATAACTTCTACATCTAGGAAAAGTAAATCACGGAGAGCATAAAAGAAATACCTTGATAATGGAGAAGGGAACTGGTAGCAGAGGAGAAGAATGGGGTGAAAACTGCTAGCTATGCATAAATATACTTATTATTTTAATATTTGTGTTGGAATGTATACATATAACTTAGACCATGATTAAAAAAACACCATAACTTCTTGATGTGAAAACTGATCACTTTGAGTTATGGGATTTGGTAGCTTAGCTTAATTCTGGTGGTTTAATTTCTTTTGCATTTAACTCGGTGACTGCAACATTCAATTGCTCAGTATTTGATTACATGGTCAGAAATTATACTAAAATTAAAAAATAGATGGTGTTGTTCATTGTATTTGTAAACAATTTTTTCTTAATTTTTTTCTTTTGGGCGAAGAACATCTCTATTAGGTCAGTTTTTTTCCCGGGTGGAGGCAAATCTCCTTGATCCTAGCAAACTAATTTCTAGTTGCAACCCTAACACCTTTCTTAGCAATAAATAAGCTTTTTTTGTTTTTTATTCAAGGAATGAAATTCTTCACTCGCGAAACACGTGAGTATTGGACTTCCCAAAAGCCCAAGGGCAAAGAAGGAAACATAATCAAAAAAACAAACAAGGGAAACCTTTTGACTTCTCTTTCCTCCCACACTATTCCCGTTCACATCTTCCAATACAACCTCCAATCCGAATATGACACGTTAGTAGTCACACTCACCCAAAAGCTCTCTCTCTCAGACCCTCTAATTTCCTTGCTTGCCCTCCAAGCTAAACCTTCTGATCAACTTCCATGGCTTCCTCACTTGCCCTCTGCCGTCTCCTCTCCTAAAACCTCGTCCCCAAGTCCTGAAAAAAAAATAAAAAACCAGCCGATGCAAAGGAGACCAAAATGTACTAGGACGAACACTCACATTAAAATGTTCAACTAGTTCTCGAAGGTCCTCTTTCCGACAAACACCTCAGATGGAGAAGAAGGTCAAATGAAAACCACAATCTAATGAATCAATGTTGTGGCACTAGAGTAGAGCATAACATATTATGCTGAAATTAACAACCATGTTAATTTCTTCACGATTTTTAACATGCATTAGGCCACTTTGAAAATCTTAGCTCAAATCGTTAAGTCCATTAATTTCCAATTTGAAAATTTGGATGCGACGTGGTAACGTATCATCTTGACATGAGATGCCCATATGTCAGATTTTCTCATATTGTATGAGTTTATTAGTTAGCCTTAAACTAAGATTAGCAAACTACAAGCTGAAATTGTAAAAACTAACACTATATGGAGAAAATGGAAAATGGCTCAAATTATAAGGATCAAAAGTGTAAAGTGATGAATGATAACATATCTTGAATCCTTCTCCAAATTGAGACAAGGAGCTACGAGGCATGTTCAGTTTAACAAGTTTCTTTAGATTAAAATTGGATGGCAATGTTTGTAATGGACATTCAAGCCAATCAAGGAACCTCAGCATAAATTGATAAACCTCGAGTCAGGCTAGAAGACCTTGGAGTCGCCTAGAAATATTGTTTGTCTCAAAATACTAATTAGTGAGGATAATGCCTAATACCTAATTTTTCTTATTATATATTAGTCAAGGCCAATTTTTTGAAGCCTAAATTTATCTCCACTAGGCCTATATCCTATTTAGTATTTCTAAAGTATTGGTATTTATAAACCATAAAAAGAAACAACTCCCTTCCAATATGGGACTAAACGAAAGTGTATTTTCCTATACAAACTCTAACATAGAGTTGTGGAGAAAAAGAATTCAAACATAATTTCTTGTTATTTTGGTCAATAATAAACTGAATTAATTAACTTAAATTAGATTTGAACCTGTGCAATCTTCAATTGTAATTTGATAAACATGCATACCGTGAAAGCCAATGAAGGTTTAATGAGTTGATTACTTATTTTGATGTCTTGCTTACAATGCTAGTGTTATTGTGATCTTACCAAGTGCAGAAATTTGGCATTAATTTAATTGCTTAACCATTTGTGTTTGTGTGCCAAGACTTTGAAGATTTGTAAAAACAACAAAAACCATTAAAGATGTACGTAACACTAAACCAATAAGTAACAATATTACCGGTCAAAATCTTGCAAGCAAAAGCACATAAAGATTTTTTATTATTATTTTTTTTTGCAAAAGTAAAGAATATTTAAACACCAAAGCCATGTTCAAAACCGTATATAAGGTAAAACATATGAATCCAACCAAAAACATTACAAAATACGTACATGATAGTAAAATTTGTCCAAAAACCTAGTCTTGTTGCGGATTCGGATCTATGAATTCAGGTATGTTGTCTCACTGAGAAACTATTGGATTTATGTATTCATCTTTTTAGGGTTCTTAATTATACATGCAAAATCAATTTTTAGGTTTAAATTCTCTCTTAACTGGTTTGTTTGTGTTTTGAGATCTGCCAATTTGTTCCTTAATAACTGTTTAAGTTTTATATTCATAATTTACATATTTGTTAGTAAAAGACAAAACATGGTGGAGATTGAAGAATAGGGCTTCAGTTGACTTTTGTTTTTCTTCCTTCTTCTCAGATTGGGCAAATTTGCCTATGGAGCTTCTAGATTTAGTTATAGAGAGATTGGAGTCACCATTAGGATTTAGCCTTGTTTGTAAGCCATGGCGTTGTGCCGCAAAGGATACACGAAGCCAATATGCTAAGATGATAGCTCCAATGCTCATGATTTGTGAACAAAAGAGAGATATATGGAATTTATACGATGTGGCGCACAACAAGCTTGTTAATTTTCAATTAAGATTGCCGAATAAGCGCTTTTGTGGATCTTCAAAAGGATGGTTAATAGTTGTGGATGAAAGTTTTAGGGTGAACTTAATAAATCCTTTCTATATGGTTAAAGGTGGAGAGAGAGCAAATTCAACCATTCGTCTTCCTCCGCTGCACCCTTCTAATATCAGGAGAGAAATATTTAGTAATCGTTGTGATTATTTTGTTTACAAGGCTACAATTTCAGCAGATCCAGTATTAAATGCTAACGATTGCGTTGTTGCGGTCATATACGAGGATTATTGTCAATTAGCATTTATTAGACTTAATAAGGACACAAAATGGACGTATGCTGATCAAAGTATTGACAAGCGTTGGCGCTTAATTCGTGAAGTTGCTTTCGTTGAAGATAAACTTTATTTTATTAATAATGAGAGTAGACTTTTTTCATTTGATATTACTACTCTGTCTTTCTCCAATATGAGTTTGGTTCAACACCATTTTGGACCAAATAACCTGTGTCTCAAGGGATATCTCGTGGATTCAAATAAGAAAGAATTATTACTGGTTCATAAGTACTTTACTAAAGAAGGTGGCAGACGTGTGACGAAGAAATTTAGAGTATTCGGATTCAGTTTCAATCAGTGTGATTGGATTGAGAAAACCAACTTAGGTGATGCTGCAATTTTTGTGGGTGATAACTCTTCATTATATGCGTTAGCGTCAAAGCCTTTTGGATGCAAGCCGAATTGCATATATTTCAATCATGATCAAGATCGTGTCAATGCCATTGGACGTGATGGAGTGTATGATTTGGGTGTGTATAACCTCGAAGATCATAGTATTTTACAACCTTACACCACAGATGTTAAGGCCCTATTAAGGAAGGCTAGACGACCATCAATGTGGGTTTCCCCAAGATTTCCGTTATAAAGAGTTTATCTTTTTTAGTTTTGGGGCTTAATAAGCGAACTCCAAAGGTCTTTAGTTTATTTTATTTCCTTAAGAGTTGTATTTTGGATCTTTTCATTATGATTTTCTCTTTTAATCTTGTAAGTAGGATAACTCATTTAATATTGATAATTTTTTTTTTTATATATAAATTTATGAAAGAGAGCTCACCCTCAACCCCCTTATTCATACACAAACACAAACAAACTTTTGTTTTGTCCGATCCCTAAATCAATAGGATTCCGAATCCTATGCATGCAGCTATGCTTACGATCGAGTTCTTTCAGACTTGGCCTAGGCCCAGGCCCACTACTCTCAATCTGTTTTAGTTCACAATTCCTTCCTTTTAGAAGCATTATTATCCCGAGCAACTCCAAAACTTGAAGTTGGCTATAATCAGTCTTACATCATATACCCATGCCCAAGCGAGCTTCTTTTTAACTGCTTTTCTTGTTGAGATATTTCTTCTACCTACGGTGCTCCATGTTTTTAACTTTTTCCTGCAACTCATTATATGGGTCTTGTGCTGAAAACACCTCAGATGGAGAAGAAGGTCAAATGAGAACCGCAATCTCATGAATAAATGTTGTGACAGTGGCACTAGGGTAGCCAACCTTGTGGTGCCAGATGCCTCACATGAAAGCACAAAAGGCTAGCAAACATGCCGCACCAGCAATATATTCTAGCTGATCCACACCGAAAAAGCATGGAAAAGTATAATATTATCCCATTTGAAGTCGGTATGGAAAGCCATTGGCCCAAAACTTTCGCGCAGGTCGAAATCCAAGAAACAAATACCATGAAATACCAGGGCACCAGGGTAGACAATCTAATGTTGTGTATATTACAATAGGTTCTGATAGCTTCAACCATCGTTTTTATTACCCAAATTCAACGGTTGTAGACAACAAAACAACCTACGAAACTTCCCAAAATGTAAAAAGATTGAACCGAATCAAGCAATTAATAATATGAGGCCCAAATAAATAAATAATAACATCCAAATTACAGCCCCGAAAACGTCGAATCGAAACAAAAAAACACGAAGTTTCTTCCTAATTTCTGTGTCTCCTTCGCGATCGTATTGGATTGTCCTGATCCTGATGCAGACCTGCGTCCTACACAGGGCCAAGCATGATTTGCCACGAGTCGCCAAGAGAGTGCGTCATTTAAGTGCTTAAACAGCATCCACTGACCATCCGCCTCGCCACGTCATTGGCACGTGTTTTACCTACATGGCACTGTAGGCCCGGGACTTGGCGGGGGAAGGTATAATTCCGTTTGGATATGCGGATAATTTCGTTTGGATATGCGGATATTCCTTTCCATGATCCGCCCCGCAGCATCTCTCTATTCGTATTTCGTAATGTGGTGGGCCCAGTGGGATTGACGATTGCTGCCACCCGGTTGGGTTAGTGGAATTACGAACTTGCCACGCTATTTGAGGTGGTGATTTTTTATTCATTTAACCAAATTGCCCTTTTTAACTAAGATGTGCCTCGCTGCCTGTGTATGGGAAAGGTTGAATGGTAATACCAACACAAAACGGTGTCGTCTCATGCCCTGCTTCTATTGACACCTGTAATTACATGTGTATATGTGTCGTTTTTTGTTGTTGTTGTCGTAAATTTAGTGGCTTTGGAACGCTGAATATCCAGAAAGCCAATTAAAAAGTCATCCTACTTTATGGCGTTGATTTCAATGGGCAATGCAGAGTGCTTACTGCCGTTGTTTAGTAATAGTAACACTACCTCACGAAAAACATTGCAAAAACGACAAATCACTTCCCATAAGGGTATTTTCGTCCACTCAGATTCCGACGTCAGTTACCAAAGCTGAGAATCCGAATCCAGCGAAAGAGGACAAACCGGGGGCGATGTGGGGATTTCGCTATCATAAAATATAATTACCCTCCCGCATCGGAAGCTCACGTTGGCTTGTGCATTCTCTTTAAAGAGCTCCAACCAACGCAGTTGTTTGTTGAGCAACTTACATCGAAAATCCAGAGGATTTTGAGGCCAGAAACCTCGCGACTCGCGAGAGAATATAGTAGAAAGCATTACACTCAAGCTCAGCTAAGCTAAATAGGTATATGTTCCTCACCCTGTATATATAAATATCCTCGTAATTTTCAGCTGGATATGTTTCTTTTTTTCAAACTTTTTGACCGTTTGTACTTCTCTTTTGATTGTTTGTTTATTTGGATTTTTTCAATTTGTTGTGTGTTTCAGAACGTTGCTTCTCTATAAGCAAGAAAGATTCTCGTGTTTCTCTTTTGATTGTTTCCAATTTGCTTCGGCAAACGATAAGATTCTTGTATTTTCCTTTGACCGTTTTTTTTTGGTTTGTGCCGACAACGTGGATGGTTTTTGTTTTTGTGTTTCTTTTTCCAGGAGATTTTTATAAAAGGGTTTTTTTTTCCTCAAAGTTTCATGCTTTATTCTGGTTAGGTGAGTCACAGTTTCAGTTCTGATTGTTAAAAATGTTCCTTCTTCCTGTCTCAAGGTTTTTCCCCCTGTAATTCTGGGTAGTTTGAGATGCGGATGGCTTTAGTTCATCTGCATGATCTTCAAGTTAGATTGATTTGGATTCTTTTGAAATTTATCAGGATTATAAATCTGGTTTCCTTTTCTATTCCAATCTTTTGAATTTCTACTGGAATTATGGATAATGCTGAAAACTTCGATTGGGAATTTCCTAGTGAATTGACATTCAGGCTATTCACTTTCTCTTAAATACCTGAACCAGCCTCTGACTTTGGCAAGAATGTTCGGAAGTTGGGAATCAGGGAATTGATAGTGAAGTATGTTTATATTTGATTAGTAGTTCTGAATTGGTATTAAAGAAGTCAAATTGAGCTTGTTCCCCCACTCAAGATAATTGAACTGTGAGATATTTAGTATGAAATTGTAGTTCAAAGAATATTAGGAATTGGTAGTTTCATTGGTTAATTCCATTCTTGTTGTTTGTGGGATTGCCATCTTGTATGTTACTGACTCACTCTTTCTTTGGCTTGAAGGTTTTGCTGGATAAGAGGAGGTAGAGCTTCTTCTTCCCCTTAATATTGGAGTGAAAATCAATAGATGATTTCAATGTCAGAGCCAGCATCAGAGAGAAATTACAGCAAGCCCCCAGGGATTCGGTTATTAGAGTACATAAAGAAATCCCCACTTTCCTACAAAACCCACCAAGCCATTGTTCTGATTGTTACTTTTTTAGCATATGCTAGTTACCATGCCGCTCGAAAAACCACGAGCGTGGTCAAGAGTACCCTTGATCCCGAATCTTCAGATGTGAGCTTGAAGTTTTTCCCATGGAGGATGACTTACTTAAGTGAACCAGCTGAAGGCAGAAGGTTGTCTCGGATTCTTGGAGATGGTTGGGCCCCGTTTAATGGATCAGATGGCACAGCCTTGCTTGGTGAAGTTGACCTAGGTTTCTTGGCTGTATATGCTATAGGAATGTATTTCTCTGGACATTTGGGTGATAGAACGAACTTAAGGATCTTTCTAACCATCGGAATGGTGGGAGCCGGGGTCTTTACTTCATTATTTGGAATTGGATATTGGGCAAATATTCACACTTTCTATTACTTCCTTGGGGTTCAAATGCTTGCTGGTTTGTTCCAATCGACTGGATGGCCTTCAGTAGTCGCAGTTGTTGGTAATTGGTTTGGGAAGAAGAAAAGAGGGCTGATTATGGGTATATGGAATGCTCATACTTCTGTTGGGAACATTACAGGGTCTTTGGTTGCTTCCGCTCTATTGAAATACGGGTGGGGTTGGTCCTTTGTAGTCCCTGGTCTCATAATTGCTACTGTTGGTGTGCTGGTTTTTCTATTCTTGCCTGTTAGTCCTGACTCTGTTGGAGCCGAAGAAGATGAATTGGACTCTCCCAAGAAATGTGGGCCAGCAGGAGTAACAGAACCATTATTGGAACCAGAGGTTAAGGTGAAGGAGAGTGCTGTGGGGTTCCTAGAAGCTTGGAAAATTCCTGGAGTTGCTCCTTTTGCTCTATGCCTTTTCTTTTCCAAGTTGGTGGCTTATACATTTCTCTATTGGCTTCCTTTCTACATTAGTCACACAGGTAATTCAACTTCCTTGCTGTTTCAAATTTGTAGTTATGTTAAGAGCATATCTTGATGTGCTTTTTTATGGGGGCATATTATTACTAAAAGACGATAAGGGCATTGCCAGAGAAGTTAAAGAAACTGAACTTTCACTGAAAATTTTCTACCATTACATGTGGTGTGTCGGTGTCTAGTCTTTGGAGGGAGTTCTCTTTAACTGGCTAGTAGCATATTTCTGTTTGTCAACAATTCAAAATTCAGTCATTGTGAACATTTTAACACATTTTCTTGTCTCACATTACATTTTAACACGGCATACTCTTGTGATTGGCTGACTTACATTTTAACACATGTTGCAGCTATTGACGGAAAGTACTTATCCAGTGAGGCATCTGGTAACTTATCCACATTGTTCGATGTTGGAGGAGTTCTTGGAGGAATCCTTGCTGGCCATATTTCTGATCGCTTAGATGCCAGAGCCATCACAGCTGCAAGTTTCATGTACTGTGCTATCCCTGCTCTCTTTTTCTACCGAAGCTATGGCCATGTATCCATGGCTGTGAACATTGCACTTATGTTCATCACCGGCATGTTTGTTAATGGGCCATATGCTCTAATAACAACAGCTGTGTCCGCGGACCTGGGAACACATAGCTCATTGCGCGGAAATTCGAGGGCATTGGCAACGGTAACAGCAATTATAGATGGAACAGGCTCTGTTGGGGCTGCTATTGGTCCATTATTAACTGGCTATATTTCAGCCAAAAGCTGGAGTGGAGTTTTCACAATGTTAATGGTAGCAGCTCTAATTGCCGGGCTGCTTCTGACTAGGCTTGTTGTGGCCGAAGTGGGTGCAAAGATTGAAGAGTCGAGATCGCGGTCTGCATTAAGGTCTCAACCCACAGTGATTGATGTGTGATAATCCAGAGGATGTTCTTAGGGTTTTTACAACATTTGTTATGAGTGGTATCATCGGGGGTGTCCACAAGCTCTGCTTCAGACTTGCTGCTTATTCAATGAAGAGGAGAAGGATCCTCTGTTATGGTCCTAGGAAGGAGAGGATTTTTTTTTTAACTTTCTCCCTAGTATACGTAACACATTGAAGGGAAAGTTGAAGGGAAGAAAAGAAAAGGGATTGGAGTATATTGTATCTTTGTACTATATCATATATGTGTGTACATTATTTTGTGCCTTTTAATGAAATCAATCACAGAAGGATGACAAATTCATCCCAAACTGCTATTTTGTGTTTGGAAAATCTGGTTGCCATCAACCAAACACTATGCAGGGTGACAAAAGAGAAAACCAGGAATTTGCTTCTTTTAGGTTTGAAGAGGATCCTCCTCTCATTTTCGTGGAAAAGTATTCAAAAAGTTGTCCACCACCATAACTAAAGTTGCCACAAATAGTTGCGTCTGTGATAAAGCGTGTTCAAATTTTGTTTTTTTGTCACTGTCGGTGTAACGATGACCAAACAAAATAGTACGGCAGCCTTTCATCTAGCAAGGCTCTGTGACAAGAAGAACAACTTGCCTCCCTTTTTGTTTGTGCGTTTTCGCAGCTGAGGACCACAGAAAGCCTCTCTGTCTGTGTGGGACCAAAGGAGTGGAACTGGAGTTCAGTCTGGCCAAAACCTTTTGCATAGCTAAATCCTCTCCACAAAAAACCTTGAACCATTTTGAGCATCAAAGAAAGTGGTAGGCAGCTAATTCATGGCCACGCCACCGCATCTACAAAGGAAGGAAGGTTTGGTGGGAAACTATTTATGGTTGTCTCACAAAAACGAGATAATTGGTGTATGCAATGACAACGACTGTGATAGAAGAAGATGGAGCCTTTTATCATGAACTTTGGGTCAATGAAACATGGAAGCTTGAAGACCCCACCTATACATTTGTTTGAGGGTAAAGGTTCCTAAAGCCAATAATGGCCCTTTGAATATTAGAGTGGCTGGCTACTGTGAAGGCATTTAGTTTTCCATAATGCACAAAGCGTGTTTAAGGGTTTGATTAAGAAAGAAAGGTAAAAGGAGTTGTTGCCATTTCTTTTTATTTACTAAGGACATAATACTATGAAGGGAGCCATCCCAATAACAATATGATAACTACGGGTAAAACTTCTCCAGTGACTTAAGCTAGCTGAAAAGTTAAAATGATCTTGAGAGAATCACACTTGAGTCGACTCAACAGTAACTTTTAATTTGCCATTTTCTTTTTATAATTAGAAAGTTTGGTGCATTATTACATGGCAATAAAGAACAACATTGCTGGGGACAGAATCTAAAGCGATGGTGGCGTTTGTGGTTTTATAGCAATTGCAAGAATATTTAGTGTGGGATGGTGTCGTGTTTCGCTACGTTTTCTGTGGCATATTGCCTTCCCTTTATCCAATAAGCAAAAACGACTGAGATAAACAATTCCAATTCTTGTCCACCACAAATTAGATACTGCCTGCTCCGCATGATTCACTTAATAATTCAAGCACTGTGATTAAACTAATCACCTCTTTAGGTATTTGCTAATCAGATTCCAGCATATGAACCACAAATAATATACTGCTAACCGATTATTTTTATAAGAGTTTTTGACCTAACCTTGTCCGCCACATTAGACCTTTTTTCATTGTGACTCTTTCTCTATATGATATGACAGAGAGGTGAATGGTGCCTTCACCTGATGACCTTTGCCCATTATTTACACGTTTCCAGTAGTTTAGCAGCCAAACAAACTGTCTTTGCTGGGCTGGGCTAGGGTCATCTCTCACTCGCAAAGGCATGAACTTGGGTTCAGAACAACAGGCCTCAATATCTTATTTCAATGTTATCCAGCCCATTTAGAATATACAACACAATGAAGTGCTCTCTTTTTTTATTTTCTTTTTTTGGGTGTTGGGATGGGGTGGTGGGGAGAGGGAAGGAGGATAGAATAGGGGCTATCAAACTAAAACAAGCATAAAGAAAGACTCTAAACAAGCAGGGAGCAACCAAACAAATTTGTACCAGCAGCAAGAAAAGATAGAAGCAGAAATGGAGGCAACCAAACTTTCATCAGATACCCCATTCCAGAGGAACATCTCTGCAAGGAGGAAATTAACATAAGAAACTCATCTGTTCCTGACTCCTGACTGTATTGATGAAAGAATTCAACAACATTTAAGAGGGGAAGGGGGAGAAGATTCATTCCCAAAGATTCTATTATCTCTCTCATTCCAAGTTGAGCCTGCCAAGCAGGCCTTCCTGACAGTAGTAGCCAGCTTCTTGCCCCTCAACTGTGTCAATCCACACATTGTGCCCACTCTACCGAAAGTTCTCCAACCCTCATATCCAAGGCTGATAGTCCCCCTCTGCGCGTATTGATACTCTGTTTGGCCTCTTTGCCAATGGCCTTCCAGATTTCTATCCAAACTTTTGGACCTTGGACTCCTTAGCCTGCTTTGCAGGAATATTCCCGCTTTAAAAGTGCCAAATTCAGGGACCTATGTAATCGTCTCTACGCAAAATTTATCTACATTTCTTAGAGGGTTTGAGGTTTTCATGCATAATATCTAATATCATTCATTAATACTATATGTGTAATACATACACATGTCTCTAAACCATTACCCACTAAAATAAGCTGCTAAACGGGCTGAACTCTAACAGCTGACTACTTTCACTATGTGAACCTACACACACTCACTTGACACTCAATAATAAGTGTGTACAATCAAGCAAAACTTTGATTCTCTACTAAAAAATCATCACGATCCATAAGGCATCTTTGCTCAACAGCTGACTACTTTCACTATGTGAAAGTGCACACTCTCACTTGACACTCGAGAATAAGTGTGTACAATCAAGCAAAACTTTGATTCTCCACTAAAAGCATCATGATCCATAAGGCATCTTTGCTCAACAGCTACTATTGACTCAAAAGCTTCATATGTAGCTATGTTTACACAAATGCAGACACAGCAGCAATAAATTGTAGAAAGTATAGAACTCCTTCACAACTTTTCAATAGCAATGAAAAAGAATATACATTTTTCATTTGAAGGTTAAAATTGAAGTCTGAAAGAAACAAGTTCATTACAAATAATCTATAACACTTTCTTCAGTAAATTTTTCCTCATCGTGTACCGATCCCAAAAAAAAACAAGAACAAATATTTAAAAAAAGGAATTTCCCAAAACGATAACCTGGGTTCGAAACGGCGTCGCAGAACAACCAATGATCCTATTCGTCGTCTCGCTTCTTGGGCTTGCGGTACTTCTCCTCGTATTGCTTGGCAATGAAGACGGCAGTATCGGCGAGCTTCTTAATGTTAGGAACGGCGTAGTTTTGGGCGATGTAGACCCCTGCAACCGTGCCCATAATGAAGGAGAAGCTGCTCTTAATTATCCCCATCCCAATCGCCACAACAAAATCCCCTGCGATTTCTAGGGTTTTGGATTTGAATACGCGGGTTTTTATGGGGAAAAATTGGGCTCTCAAATTCTGGAATTCTCCGTTTTCGCCTTTTTTTTTTAATAGTTATACTTGTGCCCAGTCATCCATGTACAACTGTCAAATGCGCCAATTTTTCCAATTATTTTTTTCAGTTATTATCCGGGCTAGTTGTAAAGCCCAAGCACGACATGAACCCAAAAATATTTGTTTCTTTACAAAGAATAAACAAATATATTTTTGCAACGAGGTAATACACACAACAATCTCACTATAACAATATTATTATTAGTTATTATTGTATAATATTGTATTGAATGTTAATTTTTTTTTTTTTTTTTTTTTTTTTTTTTTTTTTTTTTTTTTTTATAGAATTTTTGAATTTTTGAATTTGAATTGACTTCTTTCAATATTTGAAAGAAAAACTATTAGACCAAATAAATTAGTATAATTGAAAATCCTATATCCTTATATGATTGAATTCATCAATCTTATTTAATTAATTATCCTGACTAAATTGACCGCGACAATAGAAAATATTATTGAATTAGGCAGTTCTAATAAGATTCATTTTTCATAAATGCATAGTAGGATCTACGCGTACTTTGTGGGTTCAAAGTTCAAACCTATGTAAGAAGAAAAATCACTATATTGAGATTGAATTGAAACAATTCAATCAATGACCTCCATCTTCAACCTGTTTTGTGTGTGTGTAAACTTTAATTTTAAAACATAAAAGATCCAAGAAAAAGTAGGGAGGAAAATCTTTTCGGTTCTAGGTATAGTAATTAGCAACACTTTCTCTTATTGGGAGAAGACTTAATTTTCTAATACAAAAATGTAATAATAATCAGCAAAACTTTTTTTTTCTTTTTTCCTCCCAATAAAAAGTTTAAAAAACGAATTAAAAAATGGAATTTCACTAAAACACCCAAAATGGGAGTTGAAGTTATAAAAAAACCCAACACCCAAAACACTTTATAAACACAAAAAAAACTCATCATTACACACACTTATAAACACACCCAAAAAATATACAATTGTTGATTTTGGGTGTGTTTCTATGTTTAAATAGTGCTTAAATTTTTTTATAAATATATGTCTAGAATTGAGTTCATTTATAAATTTGTATTAAAAAAAACCTAATAACAAGCGTTGTCTGTCAGGAAGGTGCCTATCACTTTTGCTTTCAACTTCGCGCAAAAATTGACCCAGCGTATTCTCTTCAACAGTCAAAATATAAAATCCGTAAATTAAAAATTAAAGAAAATAAAATCTCTCTCTCTCTCTCTCTCTCTCTCTCTCTCTCTTTTCTGCGAAAAAAATCTCGACGCGGGTGAAAATTGCAGAATCCCCCAACCGACGCTAGCAGAGCGTCAGCGTCGTCTCAGCTCGAATCAGGTCCGTGATTCGCTCGATCTTTGCTTATTTCTCGTTTAATTAATACCAAACGCGGAAGATTCATGCTTGATTTCGCCTAATCAGCTTTAATTTTAAAGTTTTTGCGCATGTTTTCATGACTTTGAATTATAGGGCTTCGCAATCTTATGTTTTGGCAGTTCATAATAGCAATTAGAAGAAAATATTGATCCTCTGATTGAGTTTATATTTTTTTGGGTATATATGCAACTCGATCGTTTAGGGGACTTCAATTTCGTCACATTTTGTTGCCGATTCTGGTTTCGATTTCCACGAATGTAATTAATTAATTTATTTTGAAAGTGTTGTTAATTTTCTAGTTTTTAAAAGCTAATTTTTTTGTTTAATTAAATCTCATAGTTACACATTTTTTAGCATCCTAACAGCACGTTCTAGTTATTATTGTGGTCTCAATGTTATTTATTGTTCATTCAAGAAAATGAACATAATGTAGCTTTTGCTCGGCAGGTTATCTGGTAAGCTTGGAATTTACCATGGTATGTTAACGTTAACGCTTGGTGGTGTGTGAAGCTAACTCAATGGCAATCTATGGTCAAAGTCAGCAAGGGATCATGCTGATTCGGTGGTGATGAAAATTTTGGAGTTGGTTATTAGTAAAGAGGTTGAATTTGTCACACATGGGTTTGCGGTATATAGCCATCTCTGCAGTATGTACGGCGATAAGCTTTGCGGGTCTCCAATTGTGGACAGAAACTTCTCTAGTTAAACTAAAATCAGATGGACTAATTGGAGATAATTTGATTCCTGCGGCCAATTTTGGACATGTAGTTGATCTGCTTTTGGGTTCTTACGCCACTGTTGGACTGCTGGCAAATTTTGTACTCAATGCATTTGTTTTACTCGTTCTATTTCTCAAGGTGATTTTCTACCTCGTTTTGAAACTTCTGTTGTTACACAATTGTTAGTTTGATGGATGCATGAACTGAGGTGAATACTTAACTAGGGAGTGAGCATTGAATATTTTGTGCAGTGAGTTTATTAGTTTATTGGTCCTAGTGCAAAGCTCTTTGTATGTGAGGTACTGTGTTGGTACAAGTTCTAGTGTTTGCGCATGTTATTGTATTTAATTTCTTTTCTTTTGTCACTTTGATGAAGGTAATGATAAGAAACAAGTTTTCTACATGTTGTCTTCTAGAGGTGGTCAGTTTGATTTAAGGCACCAGATGCAATTAGGGTTGAAATGCAATATCCATGGTTACTATTCAAACAAGCAAAAAGAATGTTGGAGCTACTAAACTACTCCATTGCCTCTGTTTGCCTTGGATGAAATTGAAATTTATATCTGCAAGGTTGGTTAGCTTATTCTGATTTCTGTTTCTGATTTGCAGACTATATTCTTTGTGGAGTTGTATCCTTCTGAAACTCGCAAATTGGTCGAACGCCTTATCAATTATGTTATTTACAAGGTAAGTGCTTTAACTTGTGGTCAGTTACTTATAAATAGGAGAAGGAAGCATGATTCCTTCTTATGAGGAGAGAATTACTGTTTCAACTTGATAAATTTTCGGTTTAATTGTTTTATAATAATGTTCAATAACTCCTCCTTTATCCAATATGTATTGTTCAATAATATCTTTATGCACGTCAATAAATATCAAACAGGGCACGTTTCTACCACTGGTTATTCCTCCTACGATATATCATGCGGGCCTGTGGTCGGTCTGGTTGATTGTTCTTTGTTCTCTAAAGGTATATGACATGATACTTATGAAGAACATGGTGTTTATGGATTCAGTATATAACTGCACAACTTACTTCTAACCTATCTTTTGCGTGTTGTACTTGTACAGATGTTTCAAGCTTTGGCTAGAGATCGACTTGAACGATTGAATGCATCTCCTTCTGCCACACCATTGTCATATTTTCGTGTGTATTCAGTGTTATTGTTGGTTCTCACTGTTGATGTTTTCTGGTATTGTTTTACTCCCTTTGTTGTTGCATAAGTCCATATTATTTAGAATGCCCTTTGTTGTTGCATAAGTCCGTATTACTTAGAATGCCCTTTGTTGTTGCATAAGTCCATATTACTTAGAATGCCTCATATTATCTTGTTCGGTGCTTGCAGGATAAGGCTGTGTGTGGTGATATATAAAACTCTGGGTTTATCCATGTTTCTCTTGTTATTATTTGAGCCTTTCAGTATTGCATTTGAAACACTGCAGGTAACGTCATGGCAACTTTGTTGATGAATAGATTTTATATCTTCATCATTCTTTCTATGAAATTTTAGAACTTCAGTTGAGAGGGTTGGTTGACTTGTCACAATGTTTTTGTAGGCTATTTTGGTGCATGGATTTCAGTTACTTGATATATGGATCCATCATTCAGCATGGAACAGTGAAAATTGCGAGAGGTCCAAATTATTTGATACATCAGCTGCCGGTAGTTCTCCAAATTTACATTTCTTTTCTCACATTGCAAATGGGATTTTTGGGTGTTCTTATGTTATATAGTACAGTGTTCTTTCCCCTCCTGTTAATGGGGTAAAAGATTACTGGACCTGTAGGACGTAAATTGGGGTTATATGTGTTTAATAAAATAGTCACTGTTTTCATGTCGCTCTCTGAATGCAGGTTTATTGTTGGAATGGAAAGGCAGTCTTACTCGGAATTTGGGCTTTGTCCTAGACATGGCAACATTGTTAATGGCACTTGGTCACTATGTGCATATTTGGTGGCTTCATGGCATGGCATTCCATCTAGTGGATGCAATCCTTTTTCTAAACATACGTGTAAATATTTGTGTAAATATTTCATTCTACTTTCTATTTGAACATTTATTTTCTTTTGTACTTGATGCCCCAATATCATCTTCTTCCTAATTATGTATTCATTATTGGGCAGGCCTTGCTAAGTGCAATTGTAAAACGTATAAAAGGGTTCGTCAAACTAAGAAAAGCCTTAGGCGCTCTTCATGCAGCACTTCCAGATGCAACATCTGAAGAACTACGAACATATGATGATGAATGCGCAATTTGTAGGGTATGCTTGGTTTTCTCCTCTAATTGTTTACCATTCAGTTTTCTCTTGGTTCCCTGACTTACTCGGAAAATATCAGGAACCTATGGCTAAGGCTAAAAAACTACACTGTAGTCACCTTTTTCATCTTGCGTGCTTGAGATCTTGGTATGGTTCATGTTATTTATTAAACCCTGGCTTTTCCTTTATTTTTATTTTAGAGCATGTGACGCCTTATAGAAAATAATGAAAATTATTAATAATTGCAGGTTGGACCAAGGTTTGAATGAGATATATTCATGTCCAACTTGTCGCAAGCCACTTTTTGTAGGCAGAACTGAAAATGAAGTACATCCCCGCAATGAAGAAACTTCAAGTGATGAGCAGCTTGCTCGTCAAATAAGTTCAGGACTTGATCGACAAAATAGTTCTGGACATACAATACCTACTGGTGCGTTCCCCAATCAGGCTCAGAATCTTACAGAAGGTGGTCCATGGAGGTATGCTTCCTTACCTAGGATTACTGTAGTTTATGCTTAAAGAAAACTTCTGTTGACTTGTTACTGAGGCTAGAGATGGTGCTATAAATTATAATTTGTTGAAAGACTAAAACCCCGATTTGGGTTCCAACAGCCACCAACTGTACAATCAGACCAGCTATCATCTACATATTCAAGTTAGATAGGAAATTTTTTATTCAGGTTTGCATGCTGTTCTAAATTTCATTTGGTGACTAGATTCCAGCACATACAGAAAAAGGTACAATACTCTGGTTGGTTGCATAATCCTTGAAAGTTTATGTATAACCAGACCACTCCTCCCAGCTTCTCCCTTAAACCATTTGATTGGGAGTGATAGAAAGCGACCAATTTTTTCTGTTGCTGTTGTTCTTGAATCTGCTAGGTGCTGTACAAGAAAAGAAATATATGAGAGAATAAATACAGCATGTAAATTGGTTGTCATTTTCAGAAAGAAAAAAATTCAAATATTATACACAACATATCATGCTTTTCTTTGTGCCGCATAGGGGTGCAGGACTGGATTCAAATTGGTTGCATAATTGGCCAAGTGAGGGAGTTGATGGGGCAGGTCCTTCTACTGCTATCGGATCTGTTGGACTGGGGAGAGTTCAGATGATGATGAGGCATCTTGCATCTGTCGGAGAAACTTATGCCCAGACAGCCCTTGAAGATGGTACTTGGAGCCTATGGCCTGTGAGTCCCTCTCAGGTTGCTGCAACTGGTCCATCTAATCCTCCTGCTGATGATGGAAGATACCATGGAGGAGCACGGAGCTTGCATATTAGAACTCCCACACGTACTGTGAATGACAACCTAGCAAACATACTTGCTATGGCTGAGACAGTGAGGGAAGTTCTGCCTCATATGCCGGATGACCTAATTTTCCAGGTACAGTTTGTTTTTTGACGACACAATTGTGTCTTTTTATTATTTTAATAAGAGTATATTGCCAAATGTCAATCTATAAACATTGCATTTGAAGCCTTGTTCTTCTCCTTAGGGTTTCTTCTCTTATTTTATATTCTGTAACGTATTGCATTTTGTAGGATTTGCAGCGAACAAATTCTGTTACGGTTACTGTGAATAATCTTCTCCAAATGTGACAAGGCGTTGTATCTTCTTTTGTTGTGTTGAAAACTACTCCAGAAGTAGTTGAGGTTGTCTAAATACCTACAGATCTTTCTCTGTATCCCCCCAGTGTACATAAAGGCAGCTCACCGAATCACTTTTACTAAGAGGAAGAAGGAATGAGGCACAAGTATAGTTACTTTTTTTGTAATTCCCTGTGAAAAATAAATTTTCAGTGTTGATGTATGGTTACATATGGATAGGTTGTTATTTTCCTATGTGGTTCTGAATTTGCCATTCAGTTGGTTCGGCCACACAAGTTTTAGTGCTTAGACAAAATCTCCTTTGTGCTCTCTTTCGTTAATCAATTGTGTATTTGTTTTCTTCATCAACAAGCGTGGTTGTGTTTTACAGCGTTAGTAGTATAAAGTTGCTCTGTTGTGTAAAGATTATGAAGTAGAACGACAGGAGGTAAAAGTAGTCAAACGGCAAAACGCCGGCTAAACGACGTCGGCGCTGGGGCGACCAAGAATGTTGGGTTTGTAGAGGACAGGAGGTGGGTTGTTTCGTCAGAGCACAAAAGCCGAGGGTTGGTTTGTCTATGCCGTAAACAAAACAACAAAAGGAGTAGTTCTTCAAAAAGTCAACGTCAATAAGCCATGGTCTGCGCGTGTCCAGCTCTGATTAAACCAACACAATTTTGGATTTTCTTCTGATTTGACTTTTCTATCTATTAATATTCTCGAGAAACCAATATATCCTTGAAGTGCCAATTTTGAATCATGTACAGAAGTCAGTGATGGCTTTATGTGCAATCGACTTTGGCTAACACCATATTAGTTTTGGTTTAAATCTATTAATTAAGAAAGAAAAAAATATCTACCCAAAGCAAATTCGTCTTGGTAGTCAAATGTTCTCAAATCCTTGAATATCCAATGCAATGACATTTCATCAATATATTACACTCACTCATTTTGATTAGGGTTGGTACAGTCTGGTTCGATTTTGAAACTATGTGACGTTTTTCTTAGTCAAAATCAAATTGAATTAGTCATTACGGTTTTGAATCGACCTGTTTAGTTGGTTCTGTCGGATTAATACACACCCTAATCTTAATTCCCAACTAATTAATCTATATTCTAACTTTGTCCTTTTGTGATCTCACTCTCACCTGAATTCTTTGACAAGGTTTCCAATGACACTAACCTGATTGGGTGTCATTGTCAATGGGGTTGTTAACGCTGTCTATGTTGTTATTGACAATTGCAGCCATTTTTAGTGTGGGGAGGGCCTCCCATTCTATGTGGTTCTTCCCCACTTGACCATAATTTTTTTTTTAAATGTCCCGACGCCCCTGTTTTTCTACTCAAAACAGTGTCTTCTGTCTGTTCCATATGTGCAGGTAATTAAATAACACATTCAATTTCCATGAAGTTACAGTTTTGATGATTTAAATTTAGGGAGATTCACTATTATACCCAATATAGGGGCCCAAATTATAAAAATACCCCATATGAAATGGACTTTATAAACACACCCAAAACCCATTTACAACATAACAAAGAGGCTTTTAACTTTTTATAAATTACAAAACTGCCATCAATTTCTTAAAACAAGCCCAAACCCAAAATCTCATAAAAATACCCAAAACACTCAATAGGCATCAAAATAATTTAATAATCAATATTAAATTCAATAAAGTCAGCTGTTATTTTTTGGGTTTTTTTTGGGTTTGTTTATAGAAATTCAATGGAGTAGAGTTTATTTATAATATTAGTGCTAATAATGAGTATATCACTAAATATCTCTTAAATTTAACTAACCCTCTGTTTTTTTTGCACAGTAAGGTGGGCAAGAGGAGCAAATGCATGCAAGTTGCAACAGACACGGAGCGACAAGCATGAGAAATCTGACTGAAAGAATTGAGGAGATTTTCGATACAAACAAATCAACAGCTTCTCTCTCTAACTTCGTCATTCTACCTCTTATCCGACATCTCCTCCATGTGTATTTTCTTTTGTGCCTTTTGGTCTTTTCTATATTATAAACCCTACCGACAATGATGCTTCGAAGTTCGAATTTACAACGACATAACTCCAAAACTTGTGTTATATATTTTACTGATCACATACTTTTACTCTGAGATTTTGAGATTGTTCGTTTCAGATCAGAGAACATTGCTGTCTAAAAGATTGTACTGATTAGTTGGGACCATAAAAACTTTTCCTTGACCGGAAAGCAACGTCTTAATTCGATGCGAATTGGGGTGAAGCATGAAGAGCAAAAGATAGATATAGGGATAGGTGTTATATTTGTGTATAATAATGTTCTATAAATCATATAAAAATGCAAAAAATTACTATATTTATTTTATTAATGATATGGTCACAGTGCAAATTTTAAGTTCAGAACATAGGAATTGACTAATAGTAATATCCCAGCTTCAACAAACCTACTTTTCTCTGCTGGACACGAAGTACTATGTCGTACTGTTGATTGATTCATGAGAAGTTGGAAACATAAAGACTTTACAAATCATGTTCCGCAACTGAAGGAAGAATGCATGCGTCCTGTTTGATTATTTGTTTTATTTCTGTGTATGGTCATAATCCTGATTAAATTAACTCACTTTTGCTTAAACCGATTAATAAGTTGAGGCTTAATTTTCTCATATATGTCCGGCCCCTACAAACATATATATATATATATATATTTCTCTCTCAAAGCTTTTAAGTATCCAGCTACTCTGTGGGTGGTCTCTGTTTTGGTGGCCCCTGTTTTAATTTCTTGTAGTGGACAAGCTAAGTGATGCAAGCCTCTAAGACCTTCGTTTTTCTTTCTGCATAAGTCTCTTCACTCACTGTCAGCGACATCTTCTCTTGGCAACCCTTGCTTGCTCAGCTCAAATAAAAAAAAAAAAAAAAAAAAAAAAAAAACAAAAATTGAAACTTGAGACTAGTTTCTTTCTAGCTGCTCCTTCTCAATCTTGAAATTTAGAATAATTTCAATCTCATAATCATCATCATGTCTTCTCTTTTCTTGATCTTTCTTCTGTGTCTGTCCATGCATGCATGTGAGGCTCGCTATATTGGGCTTGGCCATAAGGGTTTTGGTGCGTCACTCCAGCAGTCTGGCAAGGTTTGTTATTTTATATTCCAGGGTTTTCAAATTCACAACCTTCCTCTAGTTTCATCTGACTATTAGTTTCATGTATAAAATTAGTTCAAAAACTTATCCATACTTTTTCAATGTTAAACTTCAGGGTGTGTTGCTGGTTGTGGAAAAGTTTAGGCTTGGAATGGATTCAACAGAAGGCTCAGTTAAGAAGGAAGATGGTGCAGCTGAAAACGGTCATGGTGCAATCATTCAAGACTCAATGACTAGAGCTACAAAGGGACTGAAGTTCACAAGCAGAGCACAAAAATCAGGTGTTCCTCCAGTTAATAAGCCTCTTGTTTCAGTTTCTTGGCCTGTGCCGTGCAAGATTAATCGCGACAAGAACCACGGTGACAAAACTACTAGTCCTGGGATTTACTCGGATTATTCAAGACCAAGAACACGTCCTCCATCCCATAACTGAACTTGATTCATTATTTTTCTGGTCTATCTATTTTCCTTCTCTTTCAAAATATGAGCCAGAGTTATGTCTCACGGCTTTTGTGAGTATATGCAGAAACTAAGAGCTTAAAATAGGCTTGGAATCTGATGTATCTCCCAGGACTCTCTGTGTATCTAAAAGTGCTACAACTTAACATATACTTGTTTGTTCCATGCTGATATCTCCAGTTTTGTACACCTAGATGTTAATTTATCAACGTATTTATTTACGATCGAAAGATCTTCTTATGGTTGTGACTTGATTGAATAGGGATGGAAAAGGCCGGAGGTGATCAGATTGTAGAGTCTTCTGGTCATCACGTTGGTTTGCTTAAAGCAACAAGTACTACTACCACTAACAAGGTAAATCATTATGCAAGGCTTTTTGGAGGTACTTTAATTGGTTTGGACTAGCTTAGCTAGATGTGGTAGCAAGCACAGAGATTATGGGACCTCCTCATCAGGAACTATCTCTTTCATTATGTCTCTGGAGAGCGACAATAGGGTAATTTGCCTTCGTGCACGTTACAATTAAATAATTTCATGACAGGGACTGGTCATATCACACACACACACACACATATATATAAGTATATATATGCATGAAATCCATGAGGGGAATCTGGCTGGTGCTGGATTTGGATGCCTGATGAGATCATATACCTCAAAAACACAGATCTTATCAGGCATCATAGAAGTTAGCCATGAACACTTAAAATTAGAAAGAAAGAGAAGAAGAAAAAAAAGGACATGTTAACATGTTTGGTATGCATATGTTTATGTTTTATGTAGGAAGAAGCAAGGAGGAGGAGATCGGTGCTGCTATCTGTTAATAAAGAAGCCGTAGATTCCAAGAATAATGACAAAGTAGAAAACAATGTGGTGTTTACAGATTATAACCCACCACATCAGACACCGCCCATTCACAACAAAAGAACTTAAAATTACATCTTCAGATCACATCATCATTTGGTCTTCAATTGGTTTGCTTCTCTTACTAAACTAGAAAGGAACATATATTATGTATAAATATTTGAAAGATATATACAGTACTAGCTAGTAGCTTAGTACTGTTGTTGTTGTTGTGGAACTCAGCGTCCTATATTGATCTATCTAAGGCGCTTTCTGTTCTAAAGCGGTTCAATACAATCCCCAAAATTCCCATAAGGCGTATGAGAGTCGAATCAAATTGAGCCCCTACAAAATCACATGCATTTTGCCACAATCTTCTCCACACATTCCAGATATGACTAATCCCCCATGAAAATCTGCATATACTTATTCTAATGACACCTTAATTAGCATACGACAACTCGAAAAACAAGTGTGTTAGCAAGCCTCCAACTATCTTACTTGTTAAATAATCCTAATCTATAAACGCTTATCAAATTAAATGCATAACTTCACAAGTTTTAAACAATCAATTCATTGAATTATTAAGTAACCTTGCATTGCGAGCACAAGAAAAGAACCCAAAAACGTTATCGTTTTAAGTAATATCCAGGAGTACATGTACATATTGCATGTACTATTCAATAAACAGAAAGAAAAAGGAAAAGGAAAGTTAAGTAGGAATAAGAAAATTTCCATATTGGTGATCTCCTCCTCCACATGGAAAGAGGAAACCTGCAGAAGACAACATCACCAGTCCCATGGAAACCATCCCCAGCATCCACCCTGTCACCATTGCCCCGCACGTCATCCCAACCCCACTACTCCCTCTCTTCCTCTCTACTTCTTCTTCTGATATTCTATTTGATGATGATCTCTTCATCACCTCTACCACATCATCTCTCTCCTCATCTTCAGTCACCTTCTCCTTCATCTCCTCCTCACCTTCATCGTGTTCAAAAACAGAATTATTAAACACCACCATCGGCATTTCCTTGTTATTTTCTTCAACTTCAGAGCCTCCTTCTGCCGCCTCTTTGTCACGCTCCGACGGCGAGCCAATCAGGCTATCATCAGCCGATGTCTTGCAGTCGTCGTCGTCGAGGCAGGACTCGGTGCAAGAACATGTCGAACGGCCGTCATCACCATCACCATTACCATCACGATCCACATGATACTGATCAAGTTCCGCGGAGGTCAACGTGAAACTGTTCCAGTCATGAAAGATTTTCTCGAGTTCCCCGAGTCTCCAAGCCATGTGCTTCAAGTGGTGGGGCTTCGACGGATGGGATGCCATCTCAGCGCGCAGCAGAGTCTTCACGAAGGCGAGCCTCTGCTCCATGTCATAACGCTGAAGTTGGTGGCTGCATGGGGTCGTCGAAGGATCTTCTGGCGGAAGAGAGAGGACATGGTTGAGTTGGGCTTCCACTTCGTTCAGTTTCTTCTGCAAAATTAAGGATCTCTTCGCCATCGTTCGTGTGTCTGACTGAGTGAGAAAGATTATGGGAAGAGGGTAGCGGTTACTTTGAAGCGTTTTGATAGGCCTCTACTTTTATATTAGTGGGAAGTGGCGGTTGATGATTGGGTAGTGGGCCTAGTATTCCTATTCCCACCAAGGACACGTCGGTGTTTTTTTTCCTTAAAATGACAATTACACCCTTTCCTAATTTTATCAGAAAGGGCTTATGCATGCATGCTTACTTACCTGGAATTATTAGAGGGTCATTACTCGATTTCGTACCCTTTCCTTTCCTCCCATGCTGCTGACTTACTCGATTAGTCGATTCTTCGATTCGTTGCTTCTCCCGTTCCAAGTAAATAAACATGTCATTAATATGACCTCTAATACTTTCCAATTTCTTTGAAATTGTTGTGCATATTCAAACACGAGCTAGCACACTATTACTAGGTAACAACCACACAAATTTCAATAAAGACGAATTGTACAACTAAATGAAATTGCACAATTGTTGGGCGTGTCTATTATTGATAGAAGGGAATTCGAACACAAACCACTCAAGTATAACTCTTAATCACTTGAGTTACAGTCTTCTTCGCATCATTGGGTGTCGTTTAAATTGTTGAAACAAATGTGAGTTTCGGCATACTTCTAATTTAATTTGTGCTTGGTGTCTAAAAAACTTTAAATTTAAAATAAGAGCCCAAAGAAATCGGGTTTCTACAGTACAAGTAGATAAGGCCCAGCCAGCCCAGAGTTAGACCGAGTCCAGTGGACTAGGACTAACATAACATAACCATGTTCGGCGCCGAAAGCCTCACGTGGGGTCAGAAAAATCACAGACTCCACATGCCCACCACCATTATTCGCACACTATTGCGATCGCCCAGTCAGAGATTCTCATGTCGCTGTAAATTCGACATCCCCTTGGGGCCATTTCCGTCCATGCACCCACCTTAATTACGCGGCGAATCTCATCTTCGACGCCGATCCGAGTCATCAACCTACTACACCAGCTCCTTTCACAGGTCGAATTTCCAATTCTACCCTTGACATTATCCTCATCCTTTTCGACGCTCCTCGTACCTTTCACAAATTTGTCGCCTTTCTCTTTTGTAGCTCGTTTTAACCTCAGCTTTCAACATCTTCAATAATCCCATCGATATCGCATCACAGAGAAGAAGGCCTACCCGCGTAACCAATCATTTTAACTCGTTCAGTTTGACTCACTGAGTTATCACCGTGTTCGCTCAGCTGCGCCATGAGCTGGCTCAGGAGGATCGAGCTCGTCGAGCCCTACTACAGCCCTCCCCTTCTTCTCCGAGAAACAACCTCCATTTTCGCTCCGAAAGCTCTACCTTTCCCTTCATTTTTCGAAGATGTTGAGGAGGATTACGAGCTCGGCTACGCTCTGGACTTCTTCAGTCCTCCCAGCCCCATCAAAACGCCGTCGCTTCTGTCGTACAAGCTGAGTCAGCGAGTTGAGAGGCTCGGAAGTGAGATCTTGTTGCAGAGCCTGAGCGACCGAGTCAGTGAACTGGAGTCGCGGTTTGATCGGCTGGCCAAGGTCAAATCGGGTGGGGATCGGAAATACACGTGGACGGCGGTGATCAAGGGCCCCGAGAAGCACTGCCTTGAACGGAAGTACAAATGGACGACGGAGATCAAAGAGGGAAAGCATAAGAAAAAGGCGGAGAAGGAAGAGGCGACTGACAAGAAGTACAGATGGACGGCTGAGATTGATGGGAAGGGAGAGATCTCGCGCAAGTACACGTTCACAGCATCGAATGGTGATTATGCAAGTGACAACAGCGAAACGAAGGAGAAGGAGAAGGAGAAGAAAAAGAAGAAGGATAAGAAGGAAAAGAAGGAAGGGAGGGACACGCGTCTGGTGGAGATTGAAGAGCTTGTTGATCATGGGGCTGTCGTCCTAAGACAGGTAATGTGAGGTTACATTTTAAGCCCTGCATTAGTTATTGAGCTGAATCTCGTATGACTTAAAATTGTTAGACTGTAGTGAGTTTAGCCAAAAAAGAATGTTGGTTTGATAGGATTTGATTCTTTCTTACTTATGTAAAAACAAAAAAACAAAATGTAGTTATAAATTTGATTAGTTTATGTTGGGTCAGTGTGAACATTTCACTTTAGTAATATAGATTTTTGATGATGGAGGTAGGCTTTTGCAAAGAGAGCTGGAGCTACTGGAAAGGCTAGGGGTAAGAGGAAGGAGCTGTCTCCCCAAGATGCAGCAATGATGATACAGATGACTTTCAGAGCTTATCTGATCCGCAGATCGCAGGCTCTCCGGGCCCTTAGAGATCTGGCAGTTGCCAAGTCCAAGTTGAAGGAGATCAGAGCATTGTTCAATAACTTCTCCTACCGCCGCCGTGTAGCTCATGATGCAGCAGAGCGTCAGAGGTTCACTGAAAGAATCATTGTTCTGCTCCTCACTGTTGATGCCATTGAGGTAACTTGAGTGATGTCTGCCATTGGCATTTATATCTGTCATTGGCATTTAATTGGAGGACAATGTTGCTGTTTTAAACAATATATGTTGTTGTGGGATTCTCATAACTTGAATGTGCAGTTGCTAGGCAATGTGGATGTGTGTTCTGCTCAGACAAAATTCTCATCATTTTACATCATAAGATTAATCTGATTCCTTATTGAAATTAATGAAAACGACATCATCTCTGGTTACGATACTTGTTTGATGATTATTAGTACCACTTCTGTTAGAACCTTGTTGAATAATTGACATCATCTTTTTATTAATTTTTGTTTCTTCAGCATGTATTGAACTTTTATTTGGTCAAAAGATGTGTGAATTAGTGGTTGGTTCTTAATACTAAACGCTACCCTGTGAGAATCAAGGAAGACATTGCCTAACATAAAACTGAATTCTGCAATATGTTCTTGAAAGTATGTCAACTGTTTACTCTAAATATGAGATCAAAGTGTTATCAACCAACCCTTGATCTTTATATTGTTGACAACATTGTCTCGTACAAATATGCACGCTTGCGCACAATTTGGTATTTCTAAATATGCACACTTGCGCGCACTTGTTAGGTTCCTTGTTTCGCTTTGTTTTACTCCATGTCAAAGCAATGATTAAGTTACTGAATGTAATGGGGTTGGATATATTAGGGCGCTGATGTAATGGTGCGAGCTGCGAAGAGGTCGATGGTGGATGAGCTGGAAGCAATGCTCGATGCGGTTGACCCCCAGCCTGCTGGAAAATCACTCTCCATGAGGAGGAGGACCTTTGATATGCCAGATGGGGTCATTCAGAGGGAAATTGCTGAAGGTGTGGCGCAGGTTGTCCAAATGCTGGAGCGTGATGAGAACAGTTCTAATACCTTCGAGGCATGCTTGTAAGTGCACGGGAATGTGACCGATGACCTCCATTCGGAGGTGTCTCTTGTTGTAGCTGTTACTAGAGAGATGTAGCCTAGCTGAGGAATTTAAAACTAGATGTTGTTCTCCTACTAGCAAGATGTACCCCTGGTTTCCCTCGTTGTGCTTAAGACTTGTATGATCTTTGAAGTGCTGCGTTTATATATTTGGTTTTCTAAATCTAGCAAATCCTTTGTTGTGAACTACCTTGAATAACATGCGTGGCAGAGCTTTAGCATCCATGTCTCAAGTTGTTCATCTGCTCCACTTGTATTTGGGCTTCTCTTAGAGGGAGGCCCATCCAAATTATTGCATTTTTTGCTTAATTTATTTGGCTCCTTAAGGGATGATCATAATAGCTGGTCAACTAGTGAGCCAGGCTCTTAGAGCATCTCCACCCACAAGGGCTAAGTCTAAGGCAAGGGTAAGCAAGGGCTACAACTATTCACGTGAATAGTGTCAGCCTTTGCATTTGTGGTTCCACCCACGAGGGCAAAGTCTAAGGCAAGTCAAGGGCAAGAAAAAAAAATATATGCAACAAAATATAAAATTGTTATGTATTTATAGGGAAAGTGAATAAAATTGTTATGTATTTATAGGGAAAATATCCATAATTTTTTGGTTTTTTTTTAAAAAAAATTGAATTTTTTATAATTTTTTTGATTTTTTTTTATCGCTGACGTCAGTATAACACCAGCGCTGACGTCAGCGCCCTCGGGCTGAAGCTCAGGTGAAAGTTGCCCTTGGGCCTGCCCGGGCTGGTGGGACCCAACCATTGCCCGAGCTCTTTTCTGCGCGCTGGAGGGGAGTTGGGCTGCCAGGGGGGCCTTTTGCCCAGGTTTGGATGAGCGCTGGAGTTGCTCTTAGTGTTAGTTGGGTGGGGGACCTCTGGCCCCGACCTGATTTTATTTGTCTTGTGTATTTATTATTTTCGGTATGGAATTAAATTTGGGTTTGAATTCTGTAGTGAGAAAAACGTTCTGTCCACTGTTCTTGGTCCCGGTGCCTCGCCCAAGTTTGAGCCTCTAGCTTTGAGCCAACACCGAAACTTCCAAATAATAATAAAACCTTGGAATTAATACTGGTAGCCCATCCTGGCATTTTGACCCACAAATCAATTTTATAGGTTACTTTATGCAACCCAAATAAATTACTTGCAAGTCAGTCAAAAAGCCCATACTTAGATATTGTTTTCGAGTCAATTTTACACACCCACACGCAGACGCACACATCACTGCGAAATGGAATATATTTCAAAATTATGCATTCAGCCAATCAGGGGAAATGAATGTAGACAGATTATTTTTCTAAATAAATCTATTTTTTTTAGCACTTTATTTTTGTGCAGTAAAAATAAAAGTAGTAGGTCACAAGTGGTGTCATTGACTCGTTGCCCAACGGAAGTGATCATCTTTTAATATTCCTGCATACAGAACACATAAACAACTAGGCTTAGTCAACACAAAACGCTATTACTTGGGAATTAAGAAAACTTTGTGCCTTTATAATTAATTATATTAAGTTAACCAATAAAAAACTATAAACACATACAGTTAAGATGGTAGTTGAGGAGGCTGCAACTTTTTCTACGAACGGAACTTTTCATCGACCTTTCGTGTTATGCAATGCGCAATAGCACCGAACACTCTTCAATCATTTGACAACACAACACGAGAAAAAGCCTGGAATATTCTATAATTCAATTAGGTCACGCCTTATGTTATATATTTAATGTGACTTTTATTGGACTTTATGGCTTTTTATTATTATTTACTATTAGGGTTTCCATTTTGTCAAAGTCGATGAGCACACGTTTTCATTGTTTCAAACAATTTCCAGGAAAACTCGCAATCTTTTAATCTATTATTCATTGGCATAAACTTGTGAAAACAGCAACACAAATAGGAAAGGAAAATGTAGCAATAAAAGAAGCTACGAAATTGTTCTTCTTCTTGCAATAATTTTTTGGTTTTGTAGTACAACAAAAAGTCGCCAAGTCTACTAGAACTCGATTTGTTTCTTTAAACTAATATGAGTAGTTTCTTTTTGGAATTTATGTCGACCGATTCACTATAAAAAAAAAGTCAACAAAACTCAAATCTGAATCTTCTTCGCTATATTCTTAAGACCATATGTATATTCAAGCACGAAATAACAATTCATGGTCATTAAAAAACAGGATCCAATAAAAATTACATTAAAATTTCCGACTTATCATCATATTTTGAACGTCCAAGTTCTTAACCAAGTTAATAAAATAACGTAATTCTCTATCACAAATAGAAAAAAATAATAAAAATCACTAAATTTAACAATGTCTTTTGTTTCTAGCCGCGGCTAACAGACGTGCAAGCTTCATTGTAAAGTTTTAAAATAGCAAATTAAAGGGGTAAAAAATGGCTAAAAATAGTAACATCTAGAAAATCCCGAGTCTTACTATTTAAACCGCATCTCACGGCGTTGAAAATGAGATTCCGTCGTCGCTTGTACGAGACCACCAAGTACTAACTGCCACTTGGCCCCACCCTGCCTTATAATAAAATCAGTCATAAATTACCTACATAGAAAATAGTTAGTCAAACCTCTTGAAAGGGCAGCATTCACTTTTTTTTAAAATTAAATTAAATTTCTAACAATCTTCCTCGTAGTTTCCATTTCCTGTTTTGGTTCTCTGCTGTCACTGTCTTTGACTGGTAAAAAAAAGATGTGTCGCCAGCTCGGACGGGCCCTGCCCGATCCCACACGTGTGCCCAACCAAGTCATTCATAGTACAACTTGTTGCTTCCATTCCGAGTGGCCGTTAGAAATGACACTAGACGAGTGTGGTCTTGTATCTTGTATTGTAAAACTATGGACTTAATGGTATTCCATTCGATAACTCAATTGATAAAAGTTTTGTTTACTGTTGGTGTCGTGGTTGTCATGGCAATACAATACATTGATTGTATATGACGTATAATCCAATATTAGCAGTTCAGATTGATGTGATACATATAGTGTAAGCATTATTAGAGCCTATGTTAAGGTTATCTTTTTATATACAACTAGTATTTAAGTTAATTTATACGTTTATATTAATTTATTGGAATAATATGACAAATAAAAAAGCAAGCATAACAAAACGTAAAAAATGAATAACCATGAAGACTATACATCTTATTTGGGTAGATTCATGGACGAGGCTCCGAAAATTTCTTCATAGTTAATTAGATATTATGAGAAGTAAATTGCATGGTTCATCAATTTGCTAATTGTGCTTTGAAAATGAGCTTTCGATCAATCAAGTCAATTGAGGTATATGAGAAGAGGTAAAACAAGTGCCCAAATCTTTGTTTGAAGCCAAAAATAAAAAAAGGCTAGAGTTTCTCTCTCAAGCACTTGCAGATACCCATCAAGCAATGTCGTTTTGCTATACATATCATCCACGTCTTTCTCGCTCATTGGGTCCACAGATGCCACGCAATTCAATCGTGTGGCCAATGAAAGACGTGTAGGCCCGCCATCTCCCTCTCAGCGCCACGTGGGACTGACCTCTTTTGGTTATATTATTGTCAACATGAGAGACAGACCCACCGCCACCGACGACCACCAACTTGCCCCCTGAAAGCGACGACACGTTTCATACACCTCCAGCACTTAAGTGGCGGGCCCCGCTCTACAACGTGGCCACGTCAACTCCGACTCGATCACAAGTGTCCTCACACGCTTTGCCACGAAACTCCCGCCGTACGTGTCCTCCTTGGATCCTCTGGCCCCCACTAACTCCATCTCCTTTTTCAAGTATTTTATTTTTCCTTTTTCAGTTACAAACCGAAGCTATTATTTTATTAAACCCCGCCACCAAAATCCACTCTCCGCAAATCCCACGCGCGCCCTCCATAGCCGCGTCTGCTACACGAGCGGAGCTGCGACGGCGTCTCGGGTCTTTTTCGGGTTTGGCCGGGTTGGATTGTGGAGCACGTTTCTCGTGGGTGACCCGAAACGCTATAAATACAAGACTCTAAATTTGAGGGCTTTCTTTCTTTTCTCTCTCTTTCTTGTCTCGCTCATTGCCTTTCCATTGATTTCTGGTTGTATACGTTTTTGCCCTTTTTATTAGTTTCTTTTCTAATTGGGCGCTTGATTCCCGATTCTCCACCAAATTTTTTCCTATTATTTTCGATTTTCTGCGCAGCTCGTTGCTTGCGGACTAAGGTGAATGTTTACAATCGTTGTTGTTATTGTCATTTTCTTTTAAAGCGCCTACCTTTCTAAGGCACCTGTTTGGCCGCCGAGAAAATAATACCTTTTCTTATTTTTTTCAAAGCTTGGGCTGCTGGTGAAGAATGCTTCTTTCTTTCTTGCTTCCCCCTTTCGTTTTCCTCTGTTTTCTTGGCTGCCAAACAGAGCATTTTGGATTTTTCCATCCGCCTCACCAGTTGTTATTATTGGCTCCTGCTTAATTTGATAATTTGGTTTTGAAGGTTTCTGCATCCGCCCCGGCATTTCGAAGACTGCCTAGCATTTCGGATAGAAATTCCTCAAATTGGGTACGCCGTCGTTTCCTCTTCTTATTCTTCTCTTCTTTATGTTGAGCTTTCTCACGTAATGTTATTTGAAAATGAATTCAAAACTTTCAGCTCTTAAGAGTTTATTAGAAAGGCGGAACCTTTCAGCTCTTAAGAGCTCATTAGTTAATAAAGTTTTGATTTTTATCACTCGTGAGAATTGGGTTCTCTTAATAATTCAGATTTACGAATATGAAACTAATATCCCAGTTCCCTGTGTAGTTAATTAAGATTTTATTTCCTAGTTAAGTTTTTCTAACCGCCAAAACGGATTATGTCAACATTGTCTCCCATTGAGTTGTTTTCTGTTGAGCTGATGTGATATCATTCTTTGTTTTCGTCTTTGATTTTTTACTCCAATTCCATTTTATTTTTTATTTTCTTTGCTTCTATGCAAATGATTGGTCAAATGTCGATTCGTGTCGTAATCGCGTAAACTATTCTAAAGCGGGGGAAATTAAACAAGAGAGAAAAGTCATAATCGTTGAACTCGTAATGTTTTCTCGGGCAATCTCTACCCTTGGGTTTGGTCTTGGTGGTTGTTTCAAGAATGCCCAGAAACAGAAAGTAACCATACAACCTCTACCCTTGTATGCTTGAAAAGTATATAATATTTTCCTATTGGTGGTCCATTTTTCTGTCTATTTCAAAGCTTAAAGATTCCTTGTTTCATGTAGGCCCTTTTTTTTTGTGGTTGTACATGATATGTTCCCCCACCCCAACTATGTGGGACATGGGAGCTTCTTATAATATGCAGCTACCGATCACATATTTTTCTCTAACCAAATATCAGCTGTACCAAACACTTCTAAATATTCTGTGTCATATCCATTGCTGAAGAATCTGCAATATTTTTTTGTGTTCCTCTGTGTCTGCGTATAATAATGTAGGTGATTTATGCATTACAGTTGGTTCGTTCTACAATTTGATCAAGTTCAATCATACACTGATTGAAACCTCTGATCCATGTCATGCTGGACGTTTCTATGCTTTTTAATACAATAGCACTAGTACAAGTAGTTTGGAAAGCCTTCAAGTTCTAGTTTTGTCCCCTTGAGCCAATTGCTGAGTTCCCTATTTGTCTGGTTCGATATAGGAAACTGAGAAGAGAACTGAATCTGGATCCGATGGACCTGAAATCAAATCATGCTGCTCCTGTTCTCACTGATCCTACACCCTTGAGCAAGTCAAGACTTGGTGTACCTTCCAGCCTGTTACAATATTCACCTCCTGGAGCAGCTTTTTCTGCAGGTCTATTCCTAACAATCCCTAGGAGAAAGGCTGGATTACTTGATGATGTCCGCTCTAACTCTTGGCTTGATGCTATGAAATCTTCTTCGCCTCCTCACAGAAAGATAACAAAGGATGTTAACAACGAGCCTGTGGCAAATGAGGCTGATATTGCTTATCACACTTGGATGGTAATAATTTTTTTCTACCTGTGTGTTTCAACCCTGATTGGTTTTGACAAATTTCTTAGTTATTTATGCAGTACTCCACATCTTTCTGTCTAATCTTGCAGGTTAAGTATCCATCAGCACTTACATACTTTGAACAAATCACCAATTATGCCAAGGGCAAGAGAATAGCATTATTTCTGGATTATGATGGGACTCTTTCACCAATTGTAGATAACCCTGACTGTGCCTTTATGTCGGATGCTGTAAGAATATCTAAATAGTGTATATTTTTCGTCTAAAACTTAACCCTCTTTCTTTTATTCGCTGTACTTGCTCATCAAAGATGTAATAATCTTTGCAGATGCGCGCAGCTGTAAGAAGGGTAGCAAAACATTTCCCAACAGCAATTATTAGTGGAAGAAGCCATGACAAGGTGATTTTTAGGTTGTGTCTTAAATGATGTCATGACATATTCTTTGGCAATCATCTGTTTGTTTATCTTTCAACCATCTTTAAGGGTGCTTTCTGAATTTGACCACTCCATGTCCTATGCCTTGTTCTTTCAGGTATATGAGTTTGTAGGACTAAAAGAACTCTATTATGCGGGTAGTCATGGGATGGACATAATGGGCCCTGTTAGACAATCTACCGCTGATGACCACAAAAATGGTTTTAGGACTACTGACAAACAGGTAATTGACTACAAGCTCTATCTCTCTCTCATGCTCTCTCACACACGCACCCACACAAAATATACATTTGGTTGTGTTTTTTATTTATTCTGTCCTTTTATCATTTTTGTTTGGTGAATGCAGGGTAAGGATGTTAATTTGTTCCAGCCTGCAGCTGAATTTTTACCTATGATTGGCGAGGTTAGTAAATTTCCTCTCTGCATTAGCGTGCATCCGTGCAATAACCTACAAGTTTCCTTTTCTTCTCTGTAGAAAATGACAAGATAGCGTTCTTGTTTTTATTCTTGACCAGGTTTATGAATCCCTTGTTGAAAGTACCAAAGACATTGAAGGGGCTAAAGTTGAGAATAATAAGTTCTGTGTCTCTGTACATTACCGCAACGTAGATGAGAAGGTAGTCTTTTTTAAGAGTAGTAACTTGATTAATTATGAATTTGAGGTTTTTCTTTTTTATATGAAAAATAAACTTAGCAGAGGGAGCCTTTTCTTTTGTTATTCATTTTATTTTCGTTTTATGTTTACTTATTTTTTACTTTCTCTTCAGAGTTGGCCTGCAGTTGCACAGTGTGTCCATGACGTTCTTAAAGACTACCCACGTCTCCGTTTGACTCATGGGCGGAAGGTATTCTTTAAAGCCAAAATGCAAGCTGATCTATCTTAGTTTCGGCTTTCATATTAATCTGTTTATGCTATGGTAATTCTCATTCAATCTATTTTTGTTCTGTTTCTGTGTTTGTAGGTTTTAGAGGTACGACCTATAATAAACTGGGACAAAGGGAAGGCCGTCACATTTTTACTTGAATCTCTTGGTAAGTATTTCTTTTGGTATTTCATATCTCTTTCTCTTATTAAAGTATTACGCGGAGGAAATCAATGAACTCCATCTTATTCTGTGCTACAATGAAAAATTTGTATTAGGGTTAAGCGATTGCGAAGATGTGCTCCCAATATATATTGGAGATGACCGCACTGATGAAGATGCGTTCAAGGTAAAATATGGATGTGTCATTAGGAGGTGTTTTGATGGACGTCTACCAAATCAATTGAACTAACTTAATGGGACTGTAACAGGTCTTGAGGGAAGGAAACAGAGGTTATGGCATTTTAGTCTCTGCTGTGCCCAAGGAAACCAATGCATGTTACTCTCTCAGGGAACCCTCAGAGGTATAGCTCCCTTATACACAGAATTTCTGAGTAGTTTTGAAGTTAAAGTAACACACAGCCCCCAACTTTGATTAATTTGTGTAATTTATGTAGGTGATGGAGTTTCTCAAGTCACTGGTGATGTGGAGAAAGTCAAGTGCTCTATAAAATACTGCATAGATTTTACATAGAAGAGATAATCTTGACATGCTTATACGATGAAAGCAACCTACTTATTTTCAGTTGTCTAGAAAGAAAAAAAGTATACCAACAGGAGGTTTGGGGAGCAGGCTTCGCTTGGAAGAAGACCTCGCTTTAGTCTGTGTGCTCATAGCTTCTTGCCTTTTTTGGTCGTGAAAAGCTTTGTGCCTCAATTGTAAATTCCTCTTGCTTAATTTATCTTCTGGTTTTTACTGAGGGAGGTGCCTTCATTCTTTTCTTCTTTCTTTCTGAAATGTATTAATTATTCATTCCTTCTTTTTATTTTTATTTTTCTCCACTCCTCTTGGATTTTGGTTAAAGTATAATATATCCCTCATGGGGTCGTTACTTGTTGGACTTGCTGTCAAATGATTCTATGATGAGGCCCAACCAGAAAGTTTCTTCTTCCCCATAGAACTTATGTCAGGGATGGATGAAGGTGAAGCAGCACTTGTAATCAGAAGCATGAATTTGATTTTATTGTAAATGCGTAGGCCATTATTAGGCATGAAGATGTTTCTTTAAGCACGTTGGGAATTCATACAAGATGTTTCTTTAACAACCATGATCAATCTCTAATTGCTGTTGCCCTTGAAACTTTTATGCTTTTTGCACCTAATTTTGTGGTTAAATGAAACCGAATCCGTCGACGCATCCCTCAAAAACCTTTTACAAGACGAGAGGAATAGAGACAGGGGACATTGCAAACAGGTAGTAGAGGGATGGGAAAAGTCCCTCCCCTCAAGCACACTGTCACAACTCCTGGAACTACAAGGTAAAAATAAGTTGAGGATACTGCAGAGAATCCTAATAGCTGAGCTACTGCCATATTCTTTTTTGGACCTACCATTCCTCCCTTCCTTCCTCATGCAATTTTCAACACTACCAGAAATCAAACAAACAACGACTCTGAATGTTAGATAAAGGGTTTTGTGAGATCTGGAACAAAAAGGGTTGGTTAAACACATGATCAAGATCCGATGATTGATAGATACTGCCATATATTGATAGATACTGCTATATATTTACGTGAGATTTGGGGCAAATCAGACAGGTCCACATGTTCCCATGTTCCTTCGTTTCATGGTATTTCAAATTCATTGTAGATCCCATGCACATACCCAACATTAACTGCAATAATCAACTAGCTAATGTTTTTTGTGTGTATATTTTGTTTATTTGCTTCATCTAAAAATTTTGAGCTCACCGTCCATTTCCGCACTTTGAACTCCCACCACATCACACATAATATTATATTTGCAATTTGTTCATTTTCCTTTAATTTTTGTCTCTGGCCCTTGAATTATTATCTGGGTTTTTCGGCCCTGCAATTATTATCAAGTTATCCATCATAATTTATTGGTATGTTCATCATCTATCCGGTATCCCAAACTGTGTGATGCTCTGGTAGCCACGTTTTTTTTATGTGGACCCTTCGACAACCCTCTTGTGTATGACTGTTTCCACCTTTTCTTTATTTTTCATCAATTTCCTTTTTGTTTTTCTATGTGCATTATTCATCATTTTATTTTAATATTCTTTTATAAAATTGGAGCATGTTTTTTGAGTTCAAATTCCATAAAGTTTTGTTGACTCCATCATCATCATGCTTAAGCTCAAACAAATCACCCACGTTTTTATTTTCTTAATTTTCCTGGTCCGCATCACATTTTGGTTTGAACTTACAACCCAAATTAGATGGGCACCATGTCATGTGATTACATGACTTGGTCACCGTGTCATGTGATCTCCATGTGCACGTCTCTTTTATGCAAAAAAGGATTGTCACAAATTGTTGTCGTATTTGTGAAATGTACGACACCAAGTCAAGACTCAAGACTCAATATGTTATTACAATAATATTTTGCTTTACGTACAATTTTCATCTTCGAATTTCTTGGCCATGTCATTGTTATAGATCGAATGCATTATTTGTACTATTTTAAAAATAAATAAAAAGTCGATCGAATGTCTTTTCATGAGCAAAAAACAAAAGAAACAAAAATACTAACAAAAACTTTGTAAATATGTAATTAATTACTGCCAAACTTTGTCTAACCAAAATACTATCTTCTTTTTTACCATGACTAACCTAATGAAGGATTAACCAGCATACTGTGATGTGATCTCCAACATCTTAAATCTCCTGTTTAGCATGACTAACCTAACTAATTAGGAAGTTTGGGACGACACCTTTTTTGGAAGCCCAACTAATCGTTTTAATTTTCACATGCCCAACTAATTTGTAAAAAGTCCACATCTTGGGGGGCAAACCGTCCCCACTCTTTTAAAGAGGCTAAGAATGACATGCCTAAATTGACTCCTCTTGCTATAGAGATTACAAACAAGTTAATTTACAATTTCCCGGTCACACAAGGATCATTAAACCCTTTTTTAGGTTAATTGTACAAATCTTACTAACTTGATTGTCAAAGGATTCTTGACCAACACCGCATTGATACCTCGTTATTTTAAGTACTTGCTTTGTTTGAAATTTTGTTACTACATTTGGTGTTTTCACACAAATTACTTATAAGATAATAAAATTTTTTTATTTTCACTTTTGAAAAAGATGTTTCAAGTTTGAATCCTACTAAAAAAAGGGTTGGGTGATTAGCGTATATATAAATGGAGAATACAACCCATTAACACTTGTATTGTACCTGCATTAATAAAGTACTCTCTCTCTCTCTCTCTCTCTCTCAATTGGACAACCACCAATCTCCATGCTTATATCTCAATACCAATAACCCATATACTACAAAGCCTACAAGCCTTTGCTGAGATCTACAACTTAGATGGGCTTCTGATTCTCCCTCATTCTCTATTTAAACCCCATTGAATTTAATTATCAACACACTCTTCTCTCTCAAACCCCACTTGCAGAGAGACCGCAATGGACACCAACACTAGTTCCTACACTCCCTTGCCCTCCGGAACTCCGGCGACTCCCCGGAGACCCTTGAAGGGTTTTGCCGTGATCTTTGCCTCCGTCATTTTTCTCATGTCCTTGGTCGCATTAATCATCAATCAAGGGCCACCCCAACAAGATGGTCACCACCATAAAAAACAGTCAGCTTCTACTGCTTCATCAGAGACGATGTCGTATTCAAGACTGCCTAGAGGAATAGCACAAGGAGTCTCCGCCAAATCTAACCCATCTTTTTCCGACGAAGCTTCTTATAATTGGACCAATGCTATGTTTTCTTGGCAAAGAACAGCCTTCCATTTTCAACCAGAACGTAATTGGATGAATGGTAGGTACACTCACAGCTTTTAATTTCTTTCTTATTTTTCTTTTTCTTTTTCTAGCACAAGGTCTCAATTAAGTACTAAGTTCAATGATTTATTTCATATTTTTTAATTTCTTTTGACTGATATAATCAATGGTAGGTTAGATACGTCTCCATGATTAACTTTCCGAATTTGACATCATTCCAAATATGCTTTTGGATTTGTTTCTTCTATGTTCCTTATTATTGTTTTATATGAGACTAATCAAATTTCTTTTCATCTTCCAACGTTGGCTGCTGCTTTCTCCTACTTCAGATCCTAATGGTAAGTTCTTGTGAAAACTCATTATTTACTTTTTCTTTTTTTATATTTACAGCACTTGACTTTTGTGTTACTTTTTTTTGGGTTGGTAATTCTGAATTAAACCATCTTCTAAATTCGTTATCGAGACTTGCAGATCAAAGTTCTCAAATTTGAACTCACATGACATTTTGGTTGTGTGTGTGAGAAACCTCATCCCGTGCAGTTCACTCCTTTTTATTTCCTAGTTTATATCAAAACATTAACTAATGCAAATTGCATGCCTCATGTGTTCTATTGCTGTCCATTAGGTTGCCCTTTTTTCTGCAAAGGCCTTGCCCGTATTATCCATTAGGTTGCCCTTTTTATTTATCTTTTCGCATTGCCAAAAATTTGTGACGCATACAGCTTATATATAATAAATTTCTTTTTGTATTATAAACTAAAAATTAAATACCATTTTCGTAAGAGGTAGAAGCTCGAAAAATTTACTATTATACCCAATATACGTGACACGCCAAAAACAATCAGAGGTAAAAACTAAGCATTAATAATGGGAGAATGGTCACACCAAAAACAATGGAATCCCATCCAAACACTGTTGCTTTATGAGTTGTGGCCAATGGACTGCACAGTCAGGGCCCACCTTTACCCACTTAATCCCCAATCAAACATCGCCACTTGGCACACATAAGGGCCACAATGATTTTAGACAGATGTGGCTCTTTTCTAGATGTGATTTAAAAAAAAACAAAACAGTTGGTCTAAGTGGAACATACGGTACACCCACCATTCAAAGCATGGATGATTGGAGTTTTTAGTGCTTGTTGTGGGTCCATATGCTTGCTGACATCATCTATCTTGTGCCCTTCCTTCAGTATTGAATTACAATCAATTAATCAAATTAATCATTTGTGTAGGTCCAATGTTTTACAAGGGATGGTATCACCTGTTCTACCAGTACAACCCGGACTCTGCTGTGTGGGGCAACATCACGTGGGGCCACGCCGTGTCAATAGACCTGATCCACTGGCTCTACCTTCCGCTCGCGATGGTCCCCGATCGATGGTTCGATGCGAACGGCGTGTGGACTGGGTCTTCGACCATCCTACCCGATGGCCAAATCGTAATACTATACACTGGCAGCACCAATGAGTCTGTGCAAGTACAAAATCTTGCCTACCCTGCCAACCTATCTGATCCCCTCCTCCTCCATTGGGTCAAGTACTCGGGTAACCCGGTCCTAACTCCCCCACCCGGAATTGGATCTACGGATTTCCGTGACCCGACAACCGCGTGGATTGGGCCCGATGGCCTATGGCGAATTACCCTCGGGTCAAAGGTCAATAAAACTGGCATTTCAATTGTCTACACCACCGCTAATTTTATAGACTACGAGCTATTGGAGGGGGTTTTGCATGCGGTCCCGGGTACGGGTATGTGGGAGTGTGTGGACTTTTACCCGGTTTCTATAAACGGGTCCAAGGGTTTGGAGACGTCCGTGAATGGCCCGGGAGTTAAGCACGTGCTGAAGGCCAGTTTGGATGATAAGAAAATGGATTACTATGCAATTGGGACTTACTTTGTGGAGAACAATACGTGGATACCTGATGACCCGAAAATAGATGTGGGTATCGGGTTGAAGTATGACTATGGGAGATACTACGCATCAAAGACATTTTATGACCAGAACAAGGAGAGAAGGATCCTGCTTGGTTGGATCAATGAAACTGATACTGAAACTGACGACTTGGAAAAAGGCTGGTCCTCCCTTCAGGTATATTACATGAACCATTCTCAAAACCAATATTTTTCTCGGGCCTCACATTAAAAAAATAAAATAGAAGCAAAATTGAATCAAACCCACATTGATTACTTTGTTTGCAGACCATTCCAAGGTCTGTGCTGTTCGACAATGCAACTGGAACCCATTTGCTTCAATGGCCAGTGGAAGAGATTGAAGACTTGAGATTAAACAGTACAGAGTTTAGCGATGTCTTGGTTGAGGCAGGGACGGTTGTGCCGCTTGATATTGGAACAGCTACACAGGTTTGTCTAAGAATATGTAATCTTTGTTATATACCTTTTTCCTAATTTCTAACGTATCTTTTTCTTGGTTTCAAATATGGACAGCTGGACATATTCGTCGAATTTGAATTAGATGTATTGGAAACAGAGTGTGTAAATGGCAGTGTAGGTTGCGGTGATGGGGCTACAGATAGGAGCACATTGGGACCATTTGGCATTTTGGTCCTTGCAGATGAGACTCTTTCTGAGCTAACCCCTGTTTATTTCCGAGTTTCCAACTCCACCGATGGGGATGTCACGACTTATTTCTGCGCCGACGAAACAAGGTTTGCATCTTTAATCAATGTTCAGATTGCCCATCAAATAATTTTCACTATGAAATTAATCTTACGAACAATAACATGTTGGCTTTTGATGCAGATCTTCTAAGGCTCCTGAAGTCTACAAAACAGTTTATGGAGGCCAAGTTCCTGTGTTGGATGGTGAAACATATTCTGCCAGAGTATTGGTAACAATTTCTCTGATTACCAAGTTTATATTTGTTGAAAATCAAAAGGGGTTGTTGAAATTGTGATCATTTTCTAAATTTTGGTGTTGAATGTTGCAGGTTGATCATTCAATTGTGGAAAGCTTTGCACAAGGAGGTAGGACGGTGATTGCGTCGCGGGTTTATCCAACGGAAGCAATCTATGGAGCAGCAAGGCTATTTTTGTTCAACAATGCAACTGGAGTGAATGTCAAGGCCACCCTCAAGATTTGGCAACTCAATTCAGCCTTCATTCATCCTTTCCCATTAGACCAGATTTGATCAATGACATTAAATTAAGGATTATTGCAGCAGAGCAAAGCCAGTAGATTGATCAAATCTATTGCCGCAAGTCTCCTTCGTTAGGATCATAAATTTTGTGGCAAGCAAATGCCAAGTGAGCGTCATTGTTATTTAAACCTTTTTCTTTTTCCTTGTTTGGGTTGTACCTTTCAGTTTGTAGTTAGGCATGCCCTTCAGCCATATCTGTTGATTCGAGTTCCAATAGTAACAAATTAATGAAGTGAAAATTTTGCTCATTGAACTGAAATTCCTCTTGATTTTCCATGTCCTGCAAAATTAGGATGGCCAGAGTCTGAATATGCATAAGGGCAAAAGAAATCGTTCCAACTTGTTATCAATGTACATTATTTGTTCTTTCAAGTGTCCATAACAAGTACTTGTTACAGGAATACTGTTTCTGATTTCGAAGTGTGTAGATATATATTGTGAGTCCCATCTAGTAATGGGATTCAAATACATCAACGACTATGAATCAATCACGTACCCAAGTCCTGACTGACCCTAGCATCTTCCGTCGTAATACTAACAAATTTTGGGCCATGATAGCCAGATTGGGTCAATGCCTGTTGTATTGGACTATAATCAATTTGGGTTTCGTTTTGGACTGAGGAACCATCCAAACAAACCACATGTGCTGGTGCTTAATTTAATTCAATTTTACTACTCATACACATACATGACTAGCCATTCGACCGTTGGTCCTATTTTTTTTGAAAAAACTCCTGATGTAAAGTTTTAAAATTGTGAAGCACATTTGACTTTTATTTCCAATGCTGCATCTTTTTGGCCGCATCAATCCAGCCAAATACTCATCCCTGAAAAAGAAAGATGCAGCAGTTTCTGCTTAATTTATGGATCATGGCTAATTCTAAAGTATCATTAATTAGTCTTTTAGGTTTTTGAATGGAAGCCAGCCCCTATGTATAAATTTGTTAATATAATGCCTTGTCTTCTACGTTTGTCATTGCATTCTTATCCATAAGCTTTTATCTCTTTTTTCTAATGTAGTTTTGTATTGGTTCCATGATCTTATTTTACCAAGAGTTTTGTTCCGGAGTAGAATTTCGATGTCCATATGGAAGATAGACATTTAATTAGGAATGTACTTTTGAACTACCACAAATTTGAATCAAGCAACTGGCTTCATATGCCAATAGAGTCTTAAAAGGTTTCGTAGAATCTCGGAGTATAAAAGAAGATGTATAAAAAGTTTGTGAAGTTTACACAACTACAATGTAGTTTAACGATCGTAACTGTTTATATATATATATATAATGCTTTAAGGATCTTTCTTTCAAGATATGCGTTGTTTAAACTCGAAGTTGTTTAGTCATCGATTATGTACAGAACACATGTATGATATACTAATTCAATTGCAAAATTTTGAAGAGTCATCTACTTGTAAAAGCTGAAAGACATGTCCCTTTTACTTGGTTAAATAAGACTAGGTCGTTTTTTTATTGAAAGATTGAGCTCATCTTTATTATAGTCGTTGTTATTTGTCCTTGTAGCTTGTACTGTCTTTTATTCAAAATGTCCCAGGACTTCGTGTTAATGTCATTTTATTCTCTGCGTGTATGCAGGCTTCTTTTGCTTTTCATTATTATTATTTTGTTGCAAGCCATGTGCAAGTTAGTTGCTTCCTGCCAACCCCCAGGATATAAAATTAAGCAAAGGACAAGTTTACTTATTCTTTATATTATCGTAGGCAATACATTCCATTTGTTTTTGTTTAATCGCAATTCAAATCGCTAATTTTTAATTTTTAATTTTATAAAAAAATAATAATTAAAAAAAGGAGAGAATTGAACTAGTATTGTCCCAGTTGCTTAATTTGTGTGTCCATGGACCATGCACATGGTTTAGTAAGACTTTGATCACAAATTATTAGTGGCACACCAAACTCATCAACACTCTCATTCAATTGGACCAATTGACGGGCATATCACTTTCCCAACAACAACCTCATTATCGACTTAATTACATCACAACTATGGCAAATTCTCATTAATATTTGTCCACTTACGGTTGCCGCCACTTTAAGCTCTTCCTTCGTCGGTTGACGACGACAATTCATTTCTGAAATGAAAAATGAAAGAATTTTAAAGTATAGTCAAATAAAACAAATGCGCATGGAACTAGCCGCTCTCCATATCAATTTTGGATTCTATTGCCACATCCTCATGCTGCTGCCACAAAACCTTAACCCTCACGAAAACTCCACCAAACCAACCTCTATTTTTCAAAACATATAAATATTTAATTTATGCAGATATGGACTTAGCCAAGATGTATGATTAGAGCAGATATGCTCTTCACTCTGTACTCGAATTCAAATCTCCACTGTAATTTAGATTACATTAAAATATAATATCGTTTATATTAATTAAAAAAATTTATATATACAAATACATTGTTTGAAATTTACTAATAAAGTATAGAATCTATATGAAACAAATGTGAAGTGAAAATCAAGTTTAAGCATATGCACATTACTGCTCCGTTTGAATGTGTTAATAAACCCCTTAATTAATATTTGCAATGTATCTTATATGAAAGGATTTGGATCATTTATTTTGATTTTATCTGTCATGATATGTTTGACTTTTATTCTCTATATGTCACATCAGTAAAATTTAATTTAAGGAATATAAAATGAACACATCATCCTTAAAATAAATAAAACCATAACAAAAGGGAAATAGTACAATAAGGAATTTTGATTGAGGTCAAACTATTTTTCTCAAAAAAGAAAGAAGATTATAATTGTTGTAAATTAAAAAAAAATTGATGAGCCCATTAATGGCACGGAGAATAAATTGCCATATCAACCAGATCATGCCACCTCAGCAAGGAGTGGACCATCCCAATAATGTTTTTGGCTTTTAAGAAAATCATTCAAATGAAGGAAAACAAAGGTGGAATAGTAAACCGTGTCATCTGCGTGTTCTGCTTCAGTGGGGATGTGGACAGCCAATAACAATATACGAGAATAAAAAATAAAATAAAATCACAGTCAGCAAATTAGGGTGGGGCCTGAAGCCGTGCATGTTGTGGCTTTTTCAGAGATGAGAACGTTAGAAAATCTGAGCGAGCGCGAGACGCCGAAAATTGTGCCTTTGTGTTAGTGGGCCAGCTGCTCTGTGGACTCTCCTTCGCTGTCAACTATTTTGATTCGCCGTCCCGCTTGTCACCGCCAACACCCGGTAAATCAGACAATATATTGTGTGTCTATATATATACATATATATATATATGTAAATTTTGTTTTTTATGCTTACACATTTTCTTCAAAATCAAATAATATTCGTTTGTGATTCTGTTTTCCCAAAGGAAAAAAAAATCAAATCAATATTAGGAATGAATTAGCCTTTTCCCATCATCATGTTAATTTTTTTTGTTAATTAAATATATTCTAAAGGAAGGCCCTCGTGTCCCTTAAGGACATTCAAATGATTTGGAGCTATATATATATAATATATATATATATATACACACACATATATATTGAATACAAGCGATAATCTAAATTATAAGAGAATTTAGATTCCCAGTCATGTGAAGAAGATCGCATTTTAGAATCTAATAAAAAAATGATTGTTACATAACCTTTTGTTATATGCTAACTCTTGTATTTTATAACCAAAAAATGTCACTACCATGTCAAATTATTGGTTAAATTCAAAGGTTATGGTAAATCCGAAAATATTTTTATTTATGGTATTTTTTAGCAGGAAAGATTTTGTTTTTATGGTCCGAAAAAAATAAAATTCAATTGATAAATAAATAGAAACTGAACCGGTTGAGGCAGTCACCTATCACCGTCCTAAATATATGCGCGTTAGACCAAAAATTTCGATGAACGGAGTGGTTGTAGCATGATACAGTGCGTGACTCATAGCCTTCTCCATTCTTCTCTTACAGACTAAGAAGAAGAAAAGACTTCCTCCCGTTTTCACACTCAACCTTCGTTTTTGCTTACTCTATTTCTCTCTCCTGCTTTGATAATGTAAAAGAAGTTCTCCAAATCCCAGAAAAATCGTCTTTGATTTCATAGAAGCTTACACTCATACATATAGTTTTCTGTTTCAGACGCTCATGGCTCTGTTTGGGCTCTCTCTGTTCACTCTGTTTTCTTTGACCCACATTGTTCTGCTTTCAACTCTCTGTTCCGCTGCAGACCCCATCGTCTCCTATGACTTCCGAGTCTCTTACATCACCGCCTCCCCGCTCGGCGTTCCTCAGCGGGTACGCTTCTCATAACGCTCTCTTTTATTTCATTTGGGTTTACTTTGTTTTTACTGCTGTGTGAGAAAGCGGGCGATTATTGGTTAACATTTTGGCTTGGGATCATTCGGAAATGCCATTATAGACTTTTTTTTTCTTTATGGGTTTTGTATTTTTATGTAATTTTTTTTTCAGTAAATCCATGGTTTATGTTGTGTGTGGTATTCTATCAGAGTCGAGGGTTTATGTTATGTTGGGGTTTTTCATAAGGGTGCTTATAAGTTATTTTCTATGTGGGGTTTGGGTTTTCAACGATTTTGTGTTAATTTTCAGTAAATTTTCAAGGATATATTTAGTCCTGATGAGGAAAATTGGTTGTTCCAAACCCTTCTACGCAAGGGTTTTCCACCCCATTTTGTAATCATTCATATATTTTTGGCAACGTTTGGACGAGTGATATAGTTTTTAGGCTTTTATCTTAAATGATTAGGAGTTTGAGTCTTTTGAAGTAGATCAAAATTTAACTTGCATTACTTGTTATTGTTAGATCAAAATTTAACTTGCATTACTTGTTATTGTTGGAATTTTTTACTGCAGGTTATAGCAGTTAATGAGAAGTTTCCTGGTCCTCCTATCAATGCTACTACAAATAACAATGTTGTTGTTAATGTACACAATGAATTGGACGAACATCTCCTCCTTACTTGGTAGGCTTCACCACAACATTCATTTTATTTCATGAAATGGAGCGTTTTTGAGATGCTTGAGATGATTGTCTATGACAGGTCTGGGATCCAAATGCGGCGCAATTCATGGCAGGATGGTGTTCTTGGCACAAATTGTCCAATCCCTCCTAAATGGAATTGGACTTATCAGTTTCAAGTTAAGGATCAGATCGGGAGCTTCTTCTACTTCCCATCTTTAAATTTTCAGAGAGCAGCAGGGGGTTTTGGTTCCTTTCATATTAATAACAGGGAAATTATTGCAATTCCTTTTAATAAGCCTGATGGGGATATCTTCATTACTATTGGTGACTGGTATACACGAAACCATACGGTCAGTAATTGTTGCTGTTTTGGTTTTTTCATGTGAACAATGAAGTTACAGAAATGACTCCCCCAACCACCTTTCTCTTTTTCTAGGCACTGAGAACTGCTCTTGATGCTGGAAAAGACCTCGGGATGCCAGATGGAGTTCTTATCAATGGGAAGGGGCCTTATCAATATAACAATACCCTAGTACCTGATGGGATTCAGTTTGAAACCATCAACGTTGATCCAGGTATTCTTTTCAGCCTCCTTTTTAATATTCACTTTGTTTTCACAGGTTTTCTAGTTTCTGATCATTTGAGTAGATAAATGTTGATTCCTTTGTTGTTATAGCTTTGTTTCCTCTTTGTATGATATCATTATAAGTATGATTATTTGTTAATAACTCCATTCTACTATCATGGAGCTTAATTATTTCACTTGATTTGGTTCAGAATGCCCCAAGTAATTTCAGTTTCCATAGCTGTGCCTATGAAGCAAATTTCTGCGCCTCTAAATAACACTAAATTGAAATTAGGATTGTGCCAGGACATCTCATACCTGTGGTGCAATATTCTTATCTGTTATGTGTGTGGCATTTCTCTTGGAAAATTGTTTCACATGAAATTCTACTTTGCAGGAAAGACTTATCGATTACGTGTGCACAATGTTGGTATTTCAACAAGTTTGAACTTCAGAATTCAGAGTCACAATCTGCTTCTAGCTGAAACAGAAGGGCATTATACAATGCAACAAAACTATACAAACTTTGATATTCATGTCGGACAGTCATATTCATTTCTTATTACCACGGATCAGAATGCCAGTAGTGACTACTACATTGTTGCAAGTGCAAGGTTTGTAAATGAGTCACTTTGGCAAAGGGTTACTGGTGTTGCTGTCTTACACTATTCCAACTCTAAAGGTCCAGCAAGTGGTGCTCTCCCTGACCCTCCCAATGATGTTTATGACAAGACATGGTCGATGAACCAGGCATTGAGTATCAGGTTTGTTTGTTTTTTTTTTTCAGATTATGCTCATTCAAGAGGTTGATTTATTGTAACATTTCTTGTGGTATTGAGATGTTAACAGTTTGCTTATGAGGAGTCATCAGTTCTCCTATATAGAAAAGAATAGAACAGAGATATCGACTTAAACCGTTTTCGTGCATGCATATATTGGATTTCCACTTTAAGCTTCCTCATCCTTTCCCCTATTTTGTTCAGCTTTAGGCGAATCTGAGAATATTTGTTACTAGTGCACTTCACTCGAGAGTATTTGTTACTAGTTCACTTCTCTCAAGTCTTTGGCTTTGTTATTGTCAGGCAAAATGGATCTGCAAGTGGAGCTCGCCCTAATCCTCAGGGATCATTTCACTACGGTTCAATTAATATCACCGATACATACGTGTTAAAGACAGTGCCACCACAGATAATCAATGGGAAACTGCGAGCTACACTAAATGGCATCTCATTTTCCAATCTTACTACACCAATCAGGCTTGCTGATCTGCATAAAGTTAGAGGAGCCTATAAGCTTGATTTCCCCAATAAGCCACTAAATAGATCCCTCCGAAATGACATATCTGTTATCAATGCTACATATAAGGGTTTTATTGAAATCATTTTCCAGAACAATGACACCACAGTGCAGAGTTTTCATTTGGATGGATATTCCTTTTTTTTGGTTGGGTAAGTTTTATTTTATTTTAAATTTCTTTATATCATTCACTTTAAAAACATGGGTGTTTAGAGAATCTGATTTGTTGTGTACAGGATGGATTATGGTGAGTGGACTGAAGACAGCAGAAATAGATACAATAAGTGGGACGGAATCTCTCGCTGCACTGCACAGGTTTGTCTTCTTATTGGAGCATCTGTTTTTCTTACCCCAAAAAGGGAAAAAAATTTCTGTGGAATAAGCCTATATGAATGTGATGTTGTGTTACAACTTACAATATGGATGCTTAGATGTTGATTGAGGTTGCTATTGTTTCTCTTGTGACAGTTTTAGATTGTGATTTTTTTGAAACGAATGGCCACATATCTATTGTCCTGGATCGTCTTATTGTTCATGCATTGGTATTATGAAGTTATGAGGATGACTTGCAATGCTTGTTTTTTATATATCTTGCATTAAGTGCTTCTCTTTTGCGAATGTGTAGGTTTTCCCTGGTGCATGGACGGCAGTGCTCGTCTCACTTGACAACCCTGGGGCATGGAATCTTAGATCACAAAACCTTGATAGATGGTATCTGGGCCAAGAGACATATTTGAGAATTGTGAATCCAGAGGAGAATGGTGAAACAGAGTTTGGTGCGCCCGATAATGTTCTGTATTGTGGTGCCCTAGCCTACTTGCAGAAGTATGCTAACAATGCCATTAACTCATTCTCCCCCCCTCTCTCTCTAGATGAATGTTTTCATTCTAACATTTCCTTCTTTGGCATCTTCAGGGAACAGAAGCACTCTTCTGCAACATCAATTTCCGGAGGAAATATCAAGCTCTTCTCCCTGCTAATGGCATTCTTCACTTTGGTTTTGTACTTTTAGATGATGAATTTATTGGTGGCTGTTGAGAGGTCCTATGGTTCCAAGCAGCGGCAGCATTTTCCTGCTGAATTGCTGGGGGGTTCCAATACATATCTTAGAGTTTAGGTGTGCAAATCCAGTCAATCGTGGTACATTTTTTTTTCGTGGTTTTAGTGACATTTGCTTCTTTTTTTGAATTTTGTGGAAGCAATACACATACAATACCGTGTAATAGGTCTTTTGCTGATCCAACATTCTTTTGTGCGTTTATGTGTACTCATGATGATGATTATTAACCCATTCTCAATCAATCAAGCCGATACCATTTGTCTTCCTTTAAACTCAACTTGGCATGCGTTTGATGTCGATTTCTTATCATTATTTTTGGGTATATAGATAAGTGCAAGAATTCTATAGTGTGGGCCTTATATTTTGCTATGATTAGAGCGGCCCTAGAGTTTCATGAAGCTTTTAGGCCCGTTAGTGGCCCATATACAATCAAAATTTCTACCCTCAATAACAGGGGCTTATTCAGACCCAAAATTAAACAAGGGCTTACGAGTGAGTCCTTAATACTCATCTAATCAATGAAAATGTTATTACTAGACGGCTAGATTGAATCCCTCACTATAGAAGTTTGCCTCCACCTATGATCATAAATTTGTTGAGACGCAGATCAAATAAATTTTACAATATGATCAAGGACACCTGCAAAAGCATGTCTAGGGTGGGCACCGATTATAGAAAGGGTTGAATTTGTGGGTTTGATTGAAGAACATGATAGCACGAGTCACATGGTGTGCTTGTTTATTATTATGCGTACTTATGATTACATTGATATCTTCCTTCTTCCGCAAACAACAATTTGAGATAAATTAATGCATTAAACCTTAATTATCAATCATAATTACCTCTCTAAAATACCATTTTGTTCATGTCATGCCTATGGCAACATTCTCTTCTTGGTCAGAAATTTTTTTTTTCCATCCCAAGCTTCTACATATAGCTATCATGCACTTACCCGCATTTCGCTACATCCAAACCATCCTAATAATCTAACATGCCACATCATCAAGCTTGAGTTTTTTTTTTTAAACTCACGTTTTATGCCTTCAGTTTTGAGGGTCTTACTTGGTTTGGGTGTGTTTCTTCTAATTATTCATCGTACGACTTTCTCCTTTCTTTGTAATTCAGTGAATTAATATTGCCCATTATTGGAAGAGTTTCATTTCCAATAAGGCAAAACTAGTTTTTCTATTCTTCTTTTCTTTGCACATATTTTTTTCTTCTTCTTTTGATTGAAAGACATCAACACAAGGTTTTGCTTATCAGTGGAGGAAGAAGAAGGTAGCTAATTGAAGTTCAAACTCAAGGAATCATATAAACTTCCATTGGCTTCGCTCTTTCTTCCCAAAGCCGAAGGAAAAAAAAAAGTGAATTGGAAGAAGAAAAAAAAAAACTAATTTTACTTGATTGGTTGGGAATTGAAATTTTTTGCAAACATTGGAGTTTTTCCATTACATGACAAAGCAGGAACTCAACCCAAGTGAAGACGCTCAAGGCATGAAGGCAGAAAAAAAAATATTTAGAGCATTAACGTTAGTTCAACGTCAATTTAGAAAGAAAAAAAAAACTCAAAGCTTGATGATGTGGTATCTCTTAAGCATTTAGATTATTAGAATGACTTGAATGTAATGAAATACGGATTGCACAATAACTAAATGCAAAAGCTCGCCCTCTTAATTAACTTCTCCCGAGTTTGCTGCTCTCTTGGACCATGAGCATGCCTAATGAATATGTCGCTGGCTCCATAACTTTAATTGATTGCTTGAAATTGAAAGGGACTTTGAATTAAGCTTGACTTGTCCTCAAGCAAATCCACATATTCTATCATTTGTATTTATCCCACTTATTATATATAGCAAGTCAATGTTCTCAATTGAATTTCACTTCCAACCTTTTATTGGTTTCTCTCCAAAATTCAAAGTTGGTGCTGATTGCCTTCACCATATCCCTCACTGCAACTTCAACTGCAACATCTCCATCTTGGAAACTCGGAGCACGTTCATGTGTTTGGTAGTTACCATACCTTATATTCAGCTTCATCATGATTGAGTGCCGCCGCCATAGGTTAGTAATTATTCTAGTATTTTTCTTTTTATTTTTTTCAACAAATTCAGCATGACATTCTGCTACTATCAATCTAGCTAGCTAGAGTCGGTGTCGGTAGCGTGTTTTTGGTTTTCAAGTTAGAAATAGATTTTTTTTTAACGCTTCATGGTGCCAATATATAACAGAAGGGGTATAAAATTGCTCAACTTTTCTTTGCTAATAGCTTTAGATTGAAACTTAACCTATTTAAATGGTTGACAGTGAAATTTTCACTTGGTTTCCTCAACCTATCTATATCATCAGGCCACGTCTTTACGTCGATCTGTCCTATTTTATTTTTTTTCACTCTGACTGAGAACAAATCTAAGCATACTCTGCCAGCACATAAAACTTACTTTCTAGTTGGTGCCAAAAATATATGTATGGGACTCTTTGCTGAATGAAGTATACCATATACTTGCCTTCCACGCTTTGAAAAGATTAATGATATGCATAACTGCATTTGCCAAGCTTTGCAGCAAAGCAATATTCATGTTGCTGATATAGGTCGGCTTAATCACATCATTCTCTCTTCTTTAGTTAGGAGATTAAAGAAGAAGAAGCATTCTATATAGATAGGCAGAAACTGTGAAACATATTATTGAAAAGAATAAGATAAAACTATCGTAATCTTCTATGTAATGTAACATTTCAATCAGCTGACATACAAACATTTCTACAAATCGATATCCACAACCTGGTTGAGTTCTTTAATTAGCCGCCTACATGGCATGCAATAATCAATGCTTCAACTTCATTTCTTGCAGCAAACTGAGCTCCACAGTCCACCTGTTAATCCATCTTACAAGAAGCTGACTAGAGTGTTGGTGGACTTAACTTACTACATACTAGAACAGACAAGAAAGTTGAGGGCTTAATTAAGTTACAATCATGATGTCGTTTTATTATGTACAGGGAATTTTTGAGTTCAACAACCTCCTCCACCTTCCCTTTTATATATGGACTTAAAACCTATGATCAGTATATACTACTAAAATAAGTAATTTCAAGGTGTCACTTCCATACTTCGATTCGATTAGACAACTACTGGTTGTCGTTTACTTGTATCTGAATGTCATTATATATATAGACATTATCAATAGGGCATATATATATATATATATATATATATATAATCTCATGAGTAGCTATTTCCCTTATTTGAAGCATCATCCTGGCTGAGCTGTGAAGCTACAAACTTGTCAAGCATTCGCCAATCGGTCAGTTGATCTACGGCTTGCTGATGATCATCATTACTGTTATTACCATAGACTGCTCCATGAAAGTTTTGATCTTGATCCGACGGCTGAAAAGTGCAAGCGTGGTTGATGTCAATACTATATGCATGAGCTGCCATGGAGTTGGAGCTGCTTACACCTGTGGCTGAAGATTGGAGTAGTTTTGGGCTCCCCAGAAGAGGGAGCTGGAAGAAGTGCTCATGGGGAACCTGGAAAGCTGGCAAGTGATCCAGCTCTTTCTTGCAAGGGTAAGGAAGGTGGTGGTATGGTGCCATATTAATGTTGGAGTTTGAGTTTTGGTTTGGTGAGTCCAAGTCCGGCATGAAGGAGACTTGGTCATCATACCAACATGGTGACTCATGTTCACTCATTTTAATTCTCATGCTTGCAATTTTCTTCTTGAAAACCCTACACACAACCCAGCCTTCTTCCTGCTTCAATTGCAAAAGAAATCAAGTTTGAATGCAATGTAATAAGAAGAATCAAACTATTTGTTCTATCTCAACCGACATGCTCTATGATCAGTTGAAATGGTACAAATAATAGCCTCTACATAATGCAAGAAAGTCGTAATATCAGTGAATTAAGTTCTTACCTGTGGAGTTCCATTTTCATCGGTTTCAAGACGGTATTCGTGCATAATCCAATCTGACTTTTGTCCATTTGGGGCTCGCCCTTTATAGAATACTAAGGTCTTCCTCATGCCAATTAAGTCATGCTTTGAGTAAATGGCCTTGTCTCTACCTGTGGCTTTCCAGAAGCCTGCAGCGGTGGCTCTATTTGTTCGAGTTCCAGTGGGATACTTCTTGTCTTTATGGCTAAAAAAGTACCATTCGTTTTGCTCTTCTGTCCCTATTCTGCATAATTCTGTAAGTCCAAATTCATGTAAGTCATATTAGTATGCATTCTTGTGAACTGACTCCAATATACTGGTTTTGAGAGTATACATACCTTGAAGATCCCATGGCTCAATTTTATAGAGGTCTACATCTTTGATGACATCAAGGTCAATCCTTCTTGAACTAACCTTTTTCCTGAGGTAGTAATCAACAAGTTCTTCATCCGTCGGATGGAATCGGAAACCAGGAGGAACATGTGAAAAAGTATTCATATTATCCAGCTTAGCTTCTTGTTCTTCAGTCCTGATTATTTATAGGAATGCATGTAAGGGTTCAATCAAGTGGAATTGTCTAACACAACTCTTCATCAACATATGTAATCACCTCCATTTGATTTTAGTTAAGTTCAACTCTAACCAAATATGAATGTCTGCATGTCAAACCTGTCTCTAGCTAGCTTCAAATGTCATACAAGGAAAGAACATACGTTCAGACTAATATGCAGATTATATGATTGAACTTTTCTTATACACACCACAATTAAATATTTCGCATTCGTAAAATTGGAAAAAGGTGAAGAAGAAAAACGTTTTGACATTATACTAATCTGTACTTCATATTGCACTCAAAGGCCTTTATGTAATTGGAGAAGAAGCCTGTAAAGTTCAAAACTTTCATATTGCATGCACTACACAAATTTATTTTGCATGAGATGAGTAATTATTGAATGATGACTGATTCTGTCTGGTTTTATAAACAAAATGATCGGCTCTGATGACTGAGATTGTTTCAGGTTCCTGAAACTTAATTCATTTTTTTAATTAATTAAAAGACTATTTGCCCTAATTAATGTGGGAAAATATCCATTGTGAAGGTGATAATGAAAAGTAGTATTTAATCATGAATATTCAATGAGTTGAACGAACTCGTGAAGAAAAGGGGGTTCTTTTTGGGGAGTTCTATACCACAGAACAAATTTCACAATACGTAACATGTGGGAGAAAACTTTTCCTGGATGATGATTAATATTATTATGTTTGTGATATGATCAATCTTTGTACAGTCTCACGATGATATCAAAACCAGCATTCGATTACTACCATTAACACATGAAAATTACAAATTAATGATCTCCAATTATGATCAGATGCCACTTGTATACTTCTCATATGATTTTTAATCACTGGAATTATAGAACATCATTAAAAAGAAACCAAAAAGACAAGAGCTGATATTTTCCCTTAAATTGTACGTTAGTGTTGATATCTTTGATAGGTTTACAAGGTCAATGAGAAGTCCAGATTATGTATAAGGGAAAGTAAAATCTTTTGAGATGGTTGATGAAGAACAAGCTCCTACGCTTAGCTAACCCACCCTCTAACTTCAAGATCCATGTAATATTGAAAAGATATATATCCCACAAAGTATTCAACCCATGAACACATCGAAAAGCAAACAAGCAGAATTTCATGAAGCGAAGAAAATTAAGAGGGGAGAGAGAGAGAGAGAGAGAGAGAGAGAGAGAGAGAGAGAGCTTACAGATAAGCAACAAAATCTCGAGCTTTGCAATCCCACACAGATCTGATCGGTTATATTTCAGGCAAGCTAACTTCACTTGTTTGCTATATGATGTGCTTCTCAAACCCTCACTACGCCAAAGTATGAGACAAGGAAGCAAATTCAAACAGCAAGACAGAACATGTAAACACAGTGACACATATATATAAGAATATGAGTACTGCAGCCCTCGGGAGTTGAACACCAACTTGTTCTCCGGTCCCCAAAAACTGCTGTGTCGAGTTGTCGGGACTGGATCCTAAGAAATGATGAAAGACAGGCCAAGACGGGCGAAAAAGTTGAGGAATGGAAGAATAGAGGCCAAGTTGGTTTAAATAAGAAGCTGCAAAACCCTAGAAGTTATAAAAAGGAAAAAAATGACGAAGCAAAAGTTAAGTAGCGTCTTGAGAATGTCTTAAGCACTCGTTGTCTTGTCACTCATTGTCGACATAAGCTAGATTGCTGGGAAAGATTATAGGCGGGAAAAAAGGGTGGCGCAAAATTGGCTCAAGGAGAGGAAGCAAAGCTCTCTCTGTCTCTACTGCCACCTCTACCCGCAACTGATAGTGATAGAGACCCACCCTATTCAAATATTCAATATTTCTCTTTCTGAGCTAGCCAGGTCTCTCTCTGCCACAGGCAAAGAGAACTAGTCTAAGAGAGAGAGAGAGAGAGAGAGAGAGAGATGAGGAAGATGAAGAAGAAGAAGAAGAATAAAAATATCTGAGCTTTATTGGTTGGGATATATTGGTGACGTAATGGAACAGCCAACAGCCAAAAAGTTTCACAAATGTGGCATTGTGGCCCTAGCTTCAGCTTAAACTCTATTCCTAGTCCCTACCCCCATGGCCCCTTCCTTGTTCAACTCTCTTAACTGCAAGGACTATTGAGGATGTCATATATATGATGATGTTTGCTGTGTTCCATGTGAGTCTGCCCTATGGTTTTCATGGATGTTCCATCAAATTCTCCCGGGGCAACGACACGTGGAATTCTGATGGATGATCAGACATTGTACTGGGGGATTATATAGTGAATTTGTGATGGCAGTGTTTGTTTGCACACAATTTATAATTAGGTTAATATGTGCAGTAAGTAACATAAACAGGTGGGTTCAGTTGTATTAATAATTAGTCCCATAATTAAAGTAGAAATGAAATGGGTCTAAATTCAGTTTGCAACAATTATGCACGATTCAAGTGTTGTTGAAGAAAATACTAATTTGGTTTGGTACATACTAATCTGCTTCTCTCGCACAAACCCAATAACCATTATGTTTTTTGTGATTATTATCCAACATTAAGAACCCAACAAACATACATTATGCTTCTCTATTATTAACATGTACTTGTTGGCTGCTGATCAACTTAGTTTAACCAAAACTTTAAGGAATTGGTGGTTAAATTAGCAAAAATTACAGCCCTAATGATCTTATCGGTATAAAATAATATTAATATTATATTTGAATGCGCTCAACTCGGCAGACTTGCTCGTGACAAATACGTTTCCATTGTCATCATGATACGCGGTTTTCAAATATATCTACCTTCTTCTTCATCAGCTGAGTCGACCGTTACGGAGCTCAAGCCCCCGTTCTAACGGCTAACGGGTTTCCACGCCCCATCGTTTGAAAGGCCCCACACGTGGCATCGTCCTAGTAATTAACGTTGTATCTATAGTCTTTATTATCCTTCGCTGCGAGTTAGTTAGCTTTGCACGAGTGGTTCGCGCGAAAAGTGTGGGCCCAGTAACCGACGTTTAACATCCCAAAAGAGACACTCCTCCAAATTGGCTTGATTGACCGAGAGGCTTGAGCCCAGCCGTGTCTCAGCCGATCAGGGAGTGTTGAGGAAGATTTGTTCGGATCACTAAAGCACCGCAAGTGTGGTGTGGTGGTGGAATGCGGGACCCACACGAGAGGGAATGATTGCCCGGACGGCTTGCGATGGATCCGGCGTGGGCTAGCCACTATCATTGAGCTCGCAAGTTGAGGAAGGAAGGGAGGGAGAGAGAGAGGGGAGGTGTCTTTTGCTGGGTTGTGTCTGTGGGTCCCTCACCTGTGGTCCCTTGTTGGGCCCCCCAGAATGTCCCCAAACAGGGCCGACTAGGCCCTACAAGCAGGTTTTAGGAATGAGCCCACTTCTTCTCACTCGGACTCAGCAGTCAGTATTCGCTCCCGTCGACAGGCAGCCCAAAAGCATGGGAAAATTAAGATCAACCACGTGCGTCCATTAGCCCTGCGCAGGTTAGCATGCGAGAAATTATCGTATGATACTCTAATATAGTCACGATATAATATGGATGGAGAGTAGGGTTGATAAATTCCCAATTTTAGAATATAACTTCACTAAATATTCACTTGAATTATAATACGTATGCGAATTATACCACATATACGATAATGCATGGACCTTGCTCTAGTAGCACATTATAAATACTCGGGTGTAGTGACCTAGAAATTGGTGTATGATTTTGGTCTTTACGAAAAACAAAAGACAATGTGTAGGTGTTCAATTTATGTATGTATATATGTATTGTAGGTCCCATAATTTTCATGATGACGGATATAAAACATCATTGTTCCCGTCCGAACGTTTTGGGTGGGTGGACGGTAGGACTCCGTTGTTACATTGACGTGTCGTCATTTGGGTGGATCGACTTCACCGCAACCAATAAGGATGCGGCTTCCCTAATACTCATTGGGCCCCACCCAAACGTCACTGTTCTTTATCTAATCATATATATGGTGTCCCTACTTCTACTCACCTCTTCCAGGTCCACACCACGTAATCGTATCATCTACAGATTTGGAGGATGAATTTTTTTTATCGTTTCTCTTGGGTCCATGGGGTGGTTCTGTTTCCTAAACCAATTTGTAAAGATAATATTGCCAAAAGACCTCTTTTTTTTCTCTAAATAAATAAAATAAAAAAATCATTCCAATGTCAACTAAATTAACTTCTTCATTATGTGTTTAATCTTATTTTGCAAAGGACCCGCTAATGTAGTGGTTTGGAGCAATTACTCATTCAGGAAAAGTCCTAAGTTTGAGTCATAACATCCGTATAGTGTGTGTGAGTTTAATATATAATCGACCCTCTCAATAGAAAAAGTCTTCAAAAAATCCTATTTTACTTGACTTTTTAGTGCAAGGAAATGCCATTTAATTGTTTAAGACAATATCACATCCCGATATGTTGTGTCTCTCAAAGTTTACTAAAATTTCTCTAATCAACCCTAATTAAAACGCATTTTTAGGCCCAAAAATCCGCAAGAAAAACGCAAGATGAGGGCACAAAGTTGTCAAGGTGACGCATGGTTGACAATTTGTGCGCACGAAGACACAAAAGTACTTGACTATTAAGTGGTTTATGATTATAATAATTGTGTTTTTAGTGTTTAGTTGTCACTTCAAATATAAAAGTGCAATGCAAAAGTCTTACCTAAACTTGGATAATTACAAAACAGGAGGATGATTACATTGTTCGGTTTATATGTCACCTCGAAAATTGTGATAACTATTATTACCATGATCATGGTGAATAAGATATCAGAACAAATAAAGCTGGAACTAGTGAAACCCTAAATAATTAGGAGACTATAATCACTCCCAGGCCCTTATACTAATATTCACAATGACTAATAACGACGTCACAAATTTAAAGGGGGGGTTTTCAATTCGGGTGTCTTGATCAGATTTTAGGGTGCACCGTGCACCATACAATCCCCTTTAAATCCAACAGTAGTTTTCAATGAGTCGATCGGGTGTGTTGATCAGATTTTATGGTGCATCAACAATCTTCCTTAAATCTTAAAAGGGTTTTGGGCCTCTC